ATATAGTTGAATTATGATTGAGAGTTCTGGTTATAAGAATGATACCTAGTATAGATGTACATTGTATTGAAGTAACCATGGACCATATGTGTAACCTTTAAACGCCTCTGGTCAACTTGTTTGTTTTGTTTGATTGATTTTATTTCTGCGTTCAAAAAGATAATAATTCAAATTCGAACAATAACAAATACAATGAATAAAATGTTTACAAAAGTAATTGAATAGAAAATCGTGTACAATTATATCATACGATAAACTAACTCCAGGAAGCATACAGAGAAGATGAGAAATATATAGTAAATATTTTTCAATAAATTAGAGAGGTAATTTAGAACGCAGGATACCGCACCATCGTGAGCGGTAGTATTAGGCGGCCTCTAAGCTCTGCTTCAAGTTAGTTCCTCTTTTCTCGTGCTTTTGCCATTATATTTGTCGTTTCATTGCATTTTTTTTTGTTGTGAAAAAATTATTCTTGTATTATGATTTGCATGAGAATTAAAATCATTTGATTTGAATGATGACCCGATGACTACATGCATGGTATTGTTATGGAAGTATATGATCACAATTATTAGTGACAGCAACCCGTGCCGAAACCAAACGATGAACGCGGTGATCACTTTTTGTGGTCGCATGTATATGTTTTTGATTAGGGTACTATTGGGTTCTGGTTTAGCTCGAGGTAAGTGGTTAGGCCGGGTTAGAGGGCACGTACGTATGCGCAATGTACTAAAGAATACCTAGGGTTCATGCATGGACCTATAGTTAGTAAAAGCATTCGTCAAAATTATCATCTCACTGCTAGATGATATTATTTTGTCATTTATTCTGAAGAAAAAAAATGAGACTATGTTCTGCGTAAACATGGTAAAGATCTCGATCAGAGGTAAACGTTTAACATCGATGTTACGCAGTATATAGCTCACATTTGCTTAGAGTTAGATCAACCCCGCCACAAGGTTACTTCATAATAGTGTCCAAAAGCAAAACAACTCCTAGACTCTCTTCTAAATATGTTGAGGATGTTATTATATCGTGACTCCATTATTTACATTTCATCACGTTTTTACTTCTAGTGCGAGTTCCGTTTGATTTTGGGAAAATTATTTTCTTTCCTCGAATGTGATTCTTATAATCAGACCTGCCATTTTTCTTTTAATTATTGTTATTATTATTATTATTACCTTTTTTTTGGGGGGGGGGATGTTGTGGTCAGTTACACCATTTTTAATTTGGAGGAGGGAGGGTAATTCCAACACGCCCCCTCCCCAAAGTCCTCAGAATTTTAAATTTCCGATGATAAGGGTTAATTGTTATAGGCTCACTGGTAGTATAAGCGAGGTCTCTTGTCGATAGACTTCACATTTTGTTGGAAGGAAACTGATGTAGAAATTTACAGCCAAAAATAGTAAAAGACACAAAGAAAGTGAATTTTGCAACGATATATATATAGAACAGAGGAGATTCTAAACCTTGCATTTTCAGAATATTACAACGATAGCAGAATAAATAACATATGATTAAACTTATAAACACATATACATGATCGAATCTCGGTTTGTTTGACTCTCGACTCAATCTCTTTCTCCCTCATTCTACGGATCTAATTTCCCTTTTCTAGAGCTTTTGCAATCATTCATTTTCCCTTTTTTGTATCTTTCTTTCTTTCTTTTGTCTTTAACTATTTTTCTTTATTTTTCCCCTCTTAATTTTTTTTATTCACCCCCCCCAAATTTACAATTTCTTAGCTACATATTTGTCTATTTATTGATTTCTAAGCATACTTTGTTCATGTTTTATCGTAAAACAGCATCTGAGGAACTAACACGCCAACAAGCTCTGCTTCAAGTTAGTTCCTCTTTTCTCGTGCTTTTTCCATTATATTTGTCGTTTCATTGCATATTTGTTGTGATATAATTATTCTTGTATTGTGTTTTGCATGAGAAATAAATCATTTTAAATCATTTGAAATAAATATGTGTAAACTAACCGCTTCTGTATTAATTACACGATCAACATTTGCACTGCATCGACTTTATCTCCTAATTGCGTGTTGAATAATTACCAGACAGTGTGACATTGTTGATCAATATTTAATTTAAAAGATGGTACCATTATTCATGAAAATATCATTGAAGTACAAGAAGGAACATAAAGTATTCCAAAAGTTTATGTAAGTAATGATGATTTCCGTATGCTTCTTCAAGTCATTACAATTTTATTATGTTGACGTGCAAAATGAACTGTACAAATCAGCCAATCATTGTTGTAAAAGAAAATTATACAATTCTTTTAAAATATTATTTTATTTTAAGTAAAGCAACAAATAATAACACTCTATTTTATGATATCCACCCTAAGAAATCAAAGGTAAAAACCCCGTCCTTTATGTTTCTACGCATTTGTTCGTCTTTATTTGGCTATTGACATGCCTCTGATGGTGGCATATCGAGGTATTTCGGCGCCCGGATGGGGGGGGGGGGGGGGGGGGGGCTGGGGTGGGGGCGGCAAGCATTGAAACTGCGAGCGCCCCAAGCCCCCGCCTGAACTGGTCTACTTCACTGTACACTGCTGGAATATGAGCTGATGGTTCATGGTTGCTTGAAAATTGGAACTTTACCAATCTTTGGGGGAGGCTGCCCCCAATCCCCTCCAACTCTGTATACGCCTGTGACTGCAGCGGCTTTCTATTTATTTCTTCTTTTTAGTATTCTTCAAGTGGGGCTCAACTCTTATGAGAAATGTAGTGAAATAATTTAGCAAAGAAACAGAAACAGTTTTCTTTCACATATACTGTACCATCCCAGATGTCATTATATTATACTGCAGTATCACTCTCAATGAGGAGCATGCAACGATAATCTTTTGCAGGGTTTTTTTTTTGTCGTCCCTTCAAGTGCCGACCCGGAGCACATTCCCCCTGTCTCCTTAAATACGCCGCTCCCCCTGATGAAGCAGAAAGCTGCTAAATATGTTTTTATATCAGTGATATCTTGACATCGCTTTCGTTACATCGATCGAAGTAAATATTAGAGCTTGCCACGGAATGTAATACAATGTATAGCCGCGTATCAGGACAATTACCCCTGGGCAATCACCCCCCCCCCCGTAAAATCGACCCCGGAAAACTACCCCCAAAGGACAATACCCCCCGGAAAATTACCCCCGGAGAATTACCCCCCGAGGACAATAACCCCCGAGCACAATAACCCCCGAGGACAACTACCCCGAGGGAAATTCCCCGTGGATAATTAACCCCCTAGGACAATCACCCCCGAGGACAATTACCCCCCGAGAACAATTACCTCCGAGGACGATTACCCCCTGGACAATCATGATTCAATAGCAAAAGACGATCTGACAAATTGAGAGATGGCTACGAGCCCATAAGATCCCCTGCATGAACCCATATTCATTCAAATACTAATAGCACGTTGTCTTCCTCATCACTTCACATTTCCCTTTAATTACATTTTTTTTGCAACGCCAGTGCGTTTGCTGATTTCCACGAAGGATGTAAGTTTTAGGTAATTGTCTATATCGCTTCTCAAAATGCATAGAAATACATGTCTCTGGAGCAGCGTTATTTCAACTTTTTGTTAGTCACGGTACCTTCCTAAGAAATGAAAAGTTTCTCCCAAATCCCACAGTCTTCACAGACTATATTTTTTTCATGACTCTGGCACTCGCCAAGTACTATGTCCCCACGTATGGGAACATTTAAGAATAAAAAAGGAGAAGACATTTTTAAACTGGTAAAAAATTACTTTGTAATCAACACACTAGACACGATTTAAAGTACTGTATGCGGGGGGGGGGGGGGGTGGAGATAGTGATTGAGCACTATTTTTTTTAGTGGGGCCCTCGAAAATTTGAAAAAATCGCACCCCCCCCCCCTAGCGCTCAAGATTTTGTCGTGGTAACACAAATATTTTTTTTTCAGGGTGGGGGGGGGGGGGGGGGGGGGGGGGCGGGGGGTAATTGTCCTTGGGTGGTAGTTTCCCGGGGGTAATTTTCCTAGAACCATAATAAATCAGCTTAGTATTTCCATCCATTGTATAATCATTAAATCATACGTAACATTCTTTTTACCGTAAATGTATGTATTTTGTTGACTATAGGGCCCGCCCCGCTCATAAGCCTAGCTTCTAAAGGGTCCTAAAAACCATTCAGTTTATGATGTAATCAAGTTAGAATAATAATGTTGAATGATATACTATTACTATAGCATCTTTCTTATGTAACAGATTATATCATGCTTTGTGTGGTTTTGAATAAAATGAACTGAACTGAACTGAGCCCACTGACGAAACTGTGTTCGTTTGCTTTATTTGAATATAGATCTATTTGAAATTTGAAATTTGAAATTTATTTGATTTCCAGGTACATGTATAAACAAAATAGAAATGACAACACAGAGCATATAACATTAAGAGTTGCAAGACAGTGAAAAAGCCACCAGTGGACGCCTGAGGATTACCTAAAAGAATTTCCATCCTGTCATGAGGTTCTCCACATCCACTGGTGTTACATATAAATAGATTTAAGAAGTAACGGTAAAATAACATAACATAATTCAAGTTCATCCATCAAGCATAATAACTAAAATAATCTATATCAATCATATGTGTCGTATTCTAATATGGAATGATGGTTGCCCCCTCCCAGATGTAATAATAATAATTATGAAAATAATAATAATGATATAAGTGATAATAATGTTATTAGCGTTTAGAGGCTTCGGTGGTAAGCGCTTTATAAGTAACGTTTTTATTATTATTAATGTTATTGTTATTATTATTATTATTAATAATACAAATAATAATAATAATGATTTCGTTTTTATCAAGGGAAGCCTACGGCCTGATATTCGATCCCTTAATCCTTGGACTAAGAGTCAAGTGAATGAACCACTCTCCCACGACACTCCCGATTCCATATAAGGGAAATATATTTATAGATATCCCCTTTAAATGGTTGTCTCGTATGTTCTATCACAGGGAATTTCCAATGCGATTTCGATGAACCTGCGTTGTGCGGTTTCACCCAAGATACAAGAGATGATCTGGAGTTTCTTCATCATAGTGGTTTGACTCCAACTGAAGGAACCGGACCTCGTGGCGACCATACCTCAGGTACACACCCACTAAATCGATCTGCTAAAACAATTCCACTCCATCATGTCATTCGAAAACCAGACAAACACTCCCTACCTCCTCTCGTGAAAGGGAGTATAGTCTTGGAAACGCACACCGTGGTAGTCGTAGATCTGTGGGGATGAATTACCACTGTCCTCCTTTGTTTATTGGTGTCCCGAAGAAAGAGGGAGAGAGAGAGAGAGAGAGAGAGAGAGAGAGAGTGATAGAGGAGGGGGGGGAGGGGGGGGGGGGGGGGGGGGGGGGTCGGGGCTCAGAGTTTGTTGTGTGTGCCCGTAATGGATAGTGTGAAAGACGATAGTAAAATGTAGTATGTCATAGTACACAAGAGACAGACTGCTAATCAGGAGAATTGAAGTCAGTTCCCAATGTATGGGCAATTCCACGGAAATTGTTCACTTGCGCAAAATACTATTTTGTTCTATAACCCCATAAATATTTGTGTTACCATGACAAATTAGAATTGAACATTGGAGCTGAAAACACACTTTAATTGGCTTGGTATATAATATTAATAGGACTGAAACTGCATTAAAGAATTGTATTTTTCGAGAAAAAAAAAGAATCCCAAAATTGAGCGGCTATTTTTTCCAAAATATATTTAGGTCTCATTATTTCAAGTCATAAGTTGGTAGTAAATTGTGATCAGGGGCGGCCGAGCTACTTCCTTAGTGGGGGGGGGGGCATCAAGAAAAAAGGGCTCTTTCTGGGAAAAAAGGGCACCTTCAAAAGGAAATTTCAAAGCGAAAATATACAATTTGTTAGACATTGGTATATACCCCTACATTGTGATTACAATTACAAGGGATGATTTCAATATTTGTTTCACTTTATACATCATACAAGATAAAGCATCGTGCTTTGCGGTTGGGTTCGATTGTCTAAAAAGATTGTTTGCGAGCGAGCGAAGCGAGCGAGGAAAAATGTTAAGATGTGTGAGGTCGAAGTGCGAAAAATTTTATCTTATAAAGAGGAAAAACCCCAATCCTAATGGGGTTATATAAGCACATCCTCATAACGGAAGACTGAAAAGACCTTTGATAACTAACATAAGTAAATCATCTATAGATGCGTGCGAGCGTAGCGAGCGAGCTTTGGGGAAAAGTGCTCTTAGTCGCTTGAAATTAGCTAGGGCGCATTTAACGATGAGAGGAAAAGGGGACACTTATCAGGAAAGAAAAGGAGCATCTGCCAAAGTACAAAGAGTAATTATCAGAGGTCAAAATGGGGCACTTCTTACACCCTCACAAAGAGGCACTCACCAGGGATGAACAAAGTCAGTCATGAGAATAGGAAATGGGCATTTGTCGACGGAAAAGGGGCCCCCATCAGATTTTGATAGGGGCATTTATAAGATATTATTATATATTGTTGAAAGGGAAATTATCAGAGGTGAAAAGAGGCACTTTTCGCATCTGAAAAGAGGCAATGACCAGATTATAGGGACACTTATGTGAATAAAAAAGGGGCACTTGTAATAAAGGAAAACGTGCATTAGTTAATAGAAAATGGGCACCGATCAGATTTTAAAGGGGCATTTATCGGAGGTGAAGGGGGCACCTATCTGAAGTGAAAAGGATTAACTTCTCGTAGGGTCATTTACCAGAGAAAGGGCACTTATGAGAAGGAGAAGGGGCTCTTTTTAATGGGGAACTTATCATTAGAAAAGGGGGCACTTATTAGAAAGGAAAAAGGGCACATGTGAAAATATATGGTGCGCTTATCCGAGTTAAAAATGGGGATGTTATTAAAAGGGGAAGGGACGCTTCTTACAAAGGAAAAGGGGCACTTGTCAAAGTAAAAGAGGCACGTACCTCTCAGATTTAAATAGGACAATTATCAGAGGTGAAGGAGGCACTTATCAAAAGTGAAAAGAGGCACTTCTTGTACCAAACTAGGGACACTTACTAGAGATTAAAAAGGGCACTTATGAGAATGGAAAATGGACACTTATTCCAAAGGAAAAATGGGAACTTTTCGAAGGAAAAGGGGCATGTGTCCAAATAAAAGGGGCACTTATCAAAGTTGAAAAGGGGGAGGGGCACTTTTACAAATTAATAGGGGCACTTGTCAAAGTAAAAGGGGCACTATTCCTATGTAAAAAGGGGCACTTCTTAAAAGTTTAAAGGGGCATTTTTCCTATGTAAAAAGGGGCACTTTTTGGTTACTTGAAAAAGTGGGAGGGCACTGTGCCCCCCCCCCTGCCCCCCCCCCAAGAGGGCCGCCTCTGATTGTGATAAATGAAACCAAAGCTAATTTTAACGCAAAGAACTGATGTAGAGGTCTTTAAAGATAAAGACCGGTTGTGGTAAAATTGCGGTTCAAGGGTTTTGGGTGCAAAATATCCATTCAATATTGTTTAAATATTGCCTTCAGAGGTTAAGATTGCAATATTTCAACCAAAATTCGCAAAAAACAGAATATATGCCCAAATGTTCAATGTTGAAGTGCATTCGCGATATCCATCCAGGCTGGATCACCAAATATATTTTAATAAGTGGGCCGTTTACCGGCAACATTTTTATCATCACGTATTAGTCAAAACATATTATTTCACATTATTGGTAACATGAGCTTACATTTCATTTTTTGAGAGGGGGGCGTTTCCAAAACTGGTCTTTACCTTTAAAGATTGGACAAATGCGTCATGTCTGCTACGCTACTTGTCTTTCTTTAGCTCTGACAACGATAAGTGTAATCTTAAAGTTTTACAACAGGTATTTATATTTATAATCGGATTATAACAATCTAGTACTCCCTTTAAGACTCATTGAACCTTAAATAATTACAAACTATTCAGAAGTGCAAAATGTCCCTTGTCCTTTCTCTGTCATGTCCGTTACATTTACAAAGAGTTCACAGGGGGAGGGTTACACTCCTGTTTTTGAAAGCATACAGTACATGATGTAATTATAAATACATTGTGTATTATCCTGTAGTCCTTTTTGCTTATGTACTTCTTCCTTACTTTCTAAATGTTATAATTGCTATTAAACAATCCTGTGGTTAGGGTTAGGGTTAGGGTACTAAATACTATACGCAATTTAATTGTTGTCTTTATTGGCGGCTGGAGTGGATCGGAGGATTGATACCCGAGTTACATGTACTTGATTGCGTTCCTGGTGCTCCAATTCTTACTTGCGTAACTCCGTCTTGTTACTTTTTAATATTTGTATAAATAATATTTTTGCTCTGCAACTAAGATATAGTGGATAGCATGAGAAAGTCTTTACCACTATGAGGTCCCTAATATTATTGATCTTTTGTTCAGTTTTTAGTTTTAGGTGCTGAAAAAAATAAAGCAAATCAGAAGAGACTTGTTAATTTCTCCTTATACTACTGATACCGCAGGTTTCGGACATTATATGTACCTGGAAGCAACGGGTGCAACGTTTGGTTCAACTGCCCGCCTCATATCTCCTCGCTTCAATGGTAGCAGTGGTGATGATGATGATGAGGGGACCAACGGTGTGAAGGTCACCTTCTGGGTTCATAAGAATGGCCAGGAGATGGGGAACCTTCGTTGTTTTCTTATGAATGCAACCACGGATACATCCACAGCGACTACGAACACCACCACTACAATGCAACAAATACTAGAAGTCCCTGGTGTACTCGGCACCGAATGGGTGAAGAAAAATGTGACGATTCCTAGACCATCAACAGATTTTCATGTACGTCGCTTGATTTTTCTTTTGGTTGTAATGCTATCATTTTAACTTAATACCTTCAGAGTTATGAAAAAGGAGCGAGAGTGAAAAGTCCAGAGGTGAAAGTATTCGAGTGTATCCCTTTTGAATGGGGGAAACCCCTGATCGTTTGAACATGTTCATTTCAGTGTGGGTAGAGTGGTAGACGCAAATCATTGGATTATCGTATTTGCTTAATTGCAAGTTTGGGTTGTGGTTTCGCATTTGAAAGAAAAAGTTGTGGTTTCGCTTTGAAAGACATACTATGAGAAAAGTGATCAGTGCGGGGCTTTATAAGATTCGTCATGCTACCCAATGGAAATTTAGAATGAAGGGAAGTGGGAGTATGTTACATTAGTAGTCTATCTAGACAAACGGGTTGGATGTGAGAGTGGAGGGGGGGGGGGTCCCCCTCTCACCCTAATTTTTTTAAATAATGTGAAACAATATAGTGAAATGCATTATTGCCACAAATTACCCTTTAGCTTTATGGTCCGTTTCTGTTTTGTTTTAGGAATAGGTATACTCGACACTAAAAAGAAGAAGCTAGTTTTAATCTTTCGATTTGACTGAATGATTTTGCTTGAATTATTTAAATTCTAAGTTCTAAACGCAATGATAACGAAGTGTATAATCCTGCTTGGAATGGAATCATGAAAACAAACAACAACTTAATAAGCGTCTTTCTGGCACTCAGGAGACGATACATAATTAATATCAATTTCCCTCATTTTCTAAATATATATTGACTAAAGTCCCTCATGAATCACATGCTCTTAGCAACATTATGAAACAAAAATAAAAAAAGGGTTTGGTGAAAGAAGGGATGTATTCATGTGAATTAAGTTCTAGCGTCTTCGAAATTGTTTCATAACCGACAGATCGTTTTCGAAGCAACATGTGGAGCATCTGCAGCTAGTGATATCGCTATTGATGACGTCACTGTGAATGATGACGTCATTCCAGGTCAGAATAAAAACTCTTCTATATAATTCTAACACTGCAATGAGATAAAACAAATACAGACCGTAAAACAGAGTAGCATGACAATTTTTTTTAATTGTTTAAATATGTTATAAATGATCAATAATGGGCGTTTGTATTATTTTCTAGATTAAATAAAAAATTGAGCTTTCTAATTCTTTTAATAATATGTAAGCTTGGACAAGTACAAATGTCCCCTGAAAGTATTGCTCTTTACATGCCCTTATGTTCAAAATATAGTGAGAAATAGCTGAATAGCTTTGACCAAATATTTCTTTTAATGTTATATTTTTTTTCAGAACCAGCACCTATTGAAGAGTTCAACTGTACTTTTGAGGCTGCAGGCCTTTGTGTATTTTCTCAAGATGGAACCGACCAGTTCAATCTAGTCAAATACCATGCTGCTGAAAATCCAAATCCATTTGCTATGAATAGAGATCACACATTTAGCAATGGCACAGGTAACACCAAACCTTACTCTACTCCACCATTTTCAATACTGTCTTACATTTCATGCTTTTTAAAAAACACATTACAATTATGGGCTAAAATACATTTCTGAACTAGAAATAGCTGAAACCCAACAAATCCTATAGCGCTACGAAGAAGGCAATTGCTAGTAAAAACGAAGGGGAAAAAAATCCCCAATAATTATTTTTTAATTATATCATAGAATGTGCAGTCCACCTAGAATTGGGTCAAGTCAAAGTAAAATGCGGAAATAGATTTTCGTCCTCAACATTGAATTTTCATTTTGATATGAGGATGGGTTGTCTTTTGCATGCCATTCATTACGTAATCTTTGTACGAATGGGGCGTCAGTGTCGGAGGCGGTGCTCGGGTAGGGGAGCACTTTGTCAAGTACACCAAAAGTATGTCTCGTTTTATTACTGGTAAATGTCCTTATTCAAATATGAAAACTGCCCCTTTTTCTATTGAGTACACTTTCCCTTCTTTTGCCCCTATACAAAGCTAACAAGTGCCCCTTTTTAGTTGAAAAGTGTCCCCTATTATCCGAGTGCCCTTTTTCTTCCGAAAAGTGAGTTTCTTCAAATCTATTAAGTGCCCCTTTCTCAAATGCGAAAAGGTCAACTTGTTTTCTGCCACTTTTCCCTATATTTCCATTTTACAAAATATGCACTTTTACAGTCATCTCTGTATAGAGAGCCAAATCTTTTCTTGACAAAATAGGAGAAGCTTTGTGTAATAACTGGTATCGTATTGTTTCACCACAGTGTAAGACAGTGGGACCGGGGGCATGTGCACAATGCCCCAAGTTTTATAAGAGCAAACACTGTCCCTTTAATAAAAACAATGGTGCTCTTTTTCGATGCTATCAGTTGCTTCTGATGTAAATGGGTCATTTTGATACGAGAAGTGTTTCCATTATACAGTAAAACGTGTGCCCTTTTAATAAACTACCTTCTTTTCAACTAATAAAAAAGGCACGTTCGAACCCATCCTTTAAACTGCATGCCCTATTTAACTTCATCGCATAGCGAGGCTATCATGGGCCCTTTTGCAAGAATATAAAATTGTAGAGGCGCGATAGCTTAGTCGGTAGAGCAGTGGTCTCGTAATCCGGTGACCCGGGTTCGAAACCAAGGCGATGCGCTAGGGCCCTTTGGTAAGGCATTAGTCTTCATTATCAGGTCCCTCGGAAAGGACCTAAAGCCGTTGGCCGTCTGGTTGCTTACTTACAAGCATTTATGCTTTCTTAGCAGTCAGGTAAAATAACCAACCAACCAATTTAGACAATTATTAAGGAATTTTCGGGGCAAATGCTGACTGCAAAGATCGGTAGCAATGCAAACACATGAATAATCATTATTTTGCTTGGCAATGCTTGCTTCTTTAGCTCGCAAATGAATCTTCAGACCAACAACTATGATGCGGAAGCTTTACCTTGAAAACGTAAAAAGTGTAACGTTAAAGAGAGGAACAAGAAAATGCTGAACACATATCTGACAATGAATTGATTAATTGACAGGATGTAGGAATATTCAAATTTCTATTTAATACAATGCTTACATTACGATTGTACGTGTCCCTTTTTTCTTTCTTTCAAACACGGTAGCTTTTCGTTGTTGCCCCCTCTTTGTATCATTTGTCATTCGTGTCCATAGGGTTCACGGTTTACCTTTGTTTTAACAGGGCAATACTTGTCAGTCGATGCGTATAGCCGCTTTGGGTGGGGATGGCGTCGTACATCATCGAGACATTCAGCAGGGCAGGTTGCTCGTCTTGTATCACCCATGTTAGCTCCCGTGAATGAAGGCGAAGACCCAGCATGTCTTCTATTCTGGTACCACATGCATGGAGGGGATGGTGTGGGTCAGATCAGGGTCTACGTCAAGAATGAATCCTCAGAGGAGTTAGGTGATCCGCAATGGCTCCTTGGCGGTGAACGAGGGAACGTTTGGCGCGCTGCTGAAATCAGAATTGAACAACTTCTTAAATTTCAGGTAAATAATATACAGATGATGTTGTTGTTGTTGTTGGGTTTATCGGTGCTATCCATCGATTCCGATGATTCCCGCCAGGCTGTGTGTGAGGGCGTCTTGCTCTCACTTCTGCTGCTCTACATTTCTGTGATTCTGATACTTGCCCGGTGTGTGAGATAAAGATTTACCTTGACCGTTGTTATTGAAAAGCTATCATGTGATACTCTATAGTATTAATGACTGCTTTGAGAGAAATAGTTGTTTTTATACGCTCAAGGAAAGGTTAGAATTGTGCTATTGCCCCGAGGCGTGCCGAGGGCAATAGCCCAATTGTAACCTTCCCGAGAGCGTATAAAAACAACTATTTCTCGAATATTAAAGCAGTCATTAATACTTTTATATGCCGAAAACAAAAGAGGCAACTAATGACACCACCTTGGCCTTTCTCTAGTTTATCTGCACGGTTGTTTTTAATGAGTGTATCTTTGAGAGTAGACTAGATCTAGATTCTAGTCTAAGCAAGATATTTTTTTACAATTTTGGGGTGGACCGGCCCTGTGGGGAATAGAGAGAAGAACCTGCGCTTTCATATGACACCTCACTAATTGAGTATCACCTTCAGGATCACAACAGATAAAGGTTTGAATCTCGAATTGGAAAAAAAAAATTGACTTTTTTGCATGGTCGCGCAATGCACGTAGACTGCATAGAGACTGCATTGCGTGTAATCTTTAAGGGAAGAATATAGCACACAACATCGGGTGCGCGATCAGACACCATGACAACTAGATCTATTTTCGTCTATGTCTATGCTGGTACTCCATTTTCAGCAACTAAACTAACATGTTTATGGATAATTTCACGTACCCTTTTTGTTGTTCTTGCTGTCAGCGAGTCTTGCATTTGATAAGTTGAAAACTTGGGACAGTTTCTTTAGCCATTTTTGTCTTGTTTGGAATTGTCTTGTCTTGTATGAAAATACCGACCAATTCTTCGCACACGTACGGTATCCTCGATCGCTCAAACCATTTTTTAACATGTAAACCTATGGGGTAACCATGGAGACTGAACTATTTTCCCGGTAACCATGGTTACTGGGATTTTAGAACTGTTTTAACCATAATTACTGGGAATTTTACAGAAATAGTTAAAGTTTATGAATGCAATTTCGACCAATCAGATGGCTGGATTTCTTAAGTGAGGTATATAAAACATCTTGTTATACATGTGTTCGCACAAAAGTCCAATATAACATGTTTTTAATGTTATTTTAATGTTATACCGCGCTCGAAAATGAATTAGTATTCCCATCAGTCTTCTACGTGCGTACCCTTAGGTTGCATTCTCATAGTGGAGCACATAGTAGATCACAGCAAGACTACATGAAACTCATCAAGACGGTTGTTGACTAGAGAATAAAACGAGGCATAAGATCGAAATACCCTTATTTATATCTAAAATATATTGAATACATATCGGTGTTTAATGAAGCATTATATTCGCCTCCAAATTCTGCATTACCCTCGTACAATTACTCCCACCTGTCCTTCTGCCTCCATCAAATATAACATCACTTGGAGAAAATCTGAATGGGCCGGTTCACAAATATTTATATAATATTGAATGGTTTGATATAAAGGTAAATCCCACGAGCTCATGAGCATATTTCACGTCGGAACGACTAGCGAAATATTTTCAAGACAAGTGCGATATCATACAAATATGATATGAATGTTCTGGAGTTCAATATAACAAAAAATATGAACGGGCAAATTCAGAATTTTCATCTGGGCCTCAAGCGGAGGTAATAGCAGTACGGGAGTAATTCTGAATTGGGAGACGCTTAGGTTATAAACTGGACTTGCAGCTTAGGAGTGCCGGTTAGGTGTACACTTTTGAAATAACCAATGGCACAGTCGGAAAATTGTCATATCATCTTCGAGGAACCGTCTATTTGTAACTTTTTTTGTTACCTAGTATACTTTGATTACAAATTTACATTATCACTATTACTATCAGAGTCTTTGGTCGCTCGCTTCGCTCACAAATAAAGTTAACTTGGAAAAAAGAAGTCAGTAATCTGGTGAAAGACAAAACAGATTAATGAAATGGACAAAACGTGTCGTGTATCACTTATTGAAAATGTCACGTACTCTAAATTAAAGGATTAATTATTTATGATATGTCTAATTGTGTAATCAACTCTAATACAGTATCCCAATTCGCTTTTTTTCCCTTAGATTATCTTCGAATTTACGGCTGGAAACTTGGAGAATATTGCTATCGATGATGTGAGCTTATCACGCTATGATGTCCTGGAGAACGTGAGTATATAACGAAACGAATACAGAGATATCTGGTAATTGTTGCTACAGGGCTTTCTTTCTAATTCATCACAAGTAATTCAACATATATCACTTGTTTCACTTTTGTGCAAGAAGTGGGCTAAGAAAATGAACGAAAACCTAAGTTGTGAGAGATGTAGGAATGCAAGAGATGGAAGAGATTAAGAGTTGTAGGAATGCAAGTGGTGTAAGAGATTAAGAGCTGTAGAAATGCAGGAGATGCAAGAGATTAAGAACTGTAAGAATGCAAGAGGCGTAAGAGATTAAGAGCTGTAGAAATGCAAGATATGGAAGAGATTAAAAGCTGTAGAAATGCAAGAGATGGAAGAGATTATGAGTTGTGGGAATGCAAGAGATTGACGAGATTAAGAGCCGTAGGTATGCAAGAGATGTACGAGATTAGGAGCTGTAGGAATGCAAGAGATAGAAGAAATTAAGAGTCGTAGGAATGCAAGAGATGGACGAGATTAAGAGTTGTAGGAATGCAAGAGATGGACGAGATTAAGAGTTGTAAGAATGCCGGAAATGTACGAGATTAAGAGCTGTAGGAATGCAAGAGATGGAAGAGATTAAGAACTGTAAGAATGCAAGAGGCGTAAGAGATTAAGAGCTGTAGAAATGCAAGATATGGAAGAGATTAAAAGCTGTAGAACTGCAAGAGATGGACGAGATTAGGAGCTGTAGAACTGAAAGAGATGGACGAGATTAGGAGCTGTAGAAATGCAAGAGATGGAAGAAATTATGAGTTGTGGGAATGCAAGAGATTGACGAGATTAAGAGCTGTAGAAATGCAAGAGATGGAAGAAATTACGAGTCGTATAGAATGCAAGAGATGGACGAGATTAAGAGTTGTGGGAATGCAAGAGATGGACGAGATTAAGAGTTGTTAGAATGCCGGAAATGTACGAGATTAAGAGCTGTAGGTATGCAAGAGATGTACGAGATTAAGAGCTGTAAGGTATGCAAGAGATGGAAGAGATTAAGAGTTGTAGGAATGCAGGAGAGTGAAGATATTAAGAGTTATAAGAATGCAGGAGATTACGAGCTGTATATGCAAGAGATGTACGAGATTAAGAGTTGTAGAATGCAAGGGATGTACGAGATTAAGAGTTGTAGGAAAGCAAGGTATGTACGAGATTAAGAGTTGTAGGAATGCAAGATATGGACGATATTAGGAGTTGAAGGAATGCAAGAGATAAAAGAGACTAAGAGTTGTAAGAATGTAGGAGATGGGAGTGATTAAGAGCTGTAAGATGTATGAGACTAAGGCGCGTTCATGCTTGATTTTGACGGCCAGAATCAGGCATCTGTTACGCGTTTAGTTTAAAACACGGTTGCGTCTTAGCTCACTTTTGTAGAATCACCGAAAAACGGCGATCACGATCGCCGATCGTAAACTCACAAAAGATGCGTTTACAATTTGTAAACGCGTTTAAATGGGGTCAACGCACTGACCTCTAGTGGGTCTACGTAGCATGCACAGTGAAGGTTTGCGAATCCAGCTGGAAGACCAATTAAGGCCACACACGGAGAATTGCCTGGGAGCCAGAGAAGTAAGCATGAACACTACATCGTGGAACTGCGATCACGATGAGCGTTTACGATGAGCGTTTCAGATCGCTCATTCTGCCTTCAAAATTTAAGCATGAACGCAGCCTAAGAGCCGTAGGTATGCAAGAGATGTACGAGATTAAGAGTTGTAGGAATGCAAGGGATGTACGAGATTAAGAGCTGTATGAATGCAAGAGATGTAAGAGATTAAGAGCTGTAAGAATACAAGAGATGGAATAGATTAAGAGTTGTAGGAATGCAGAGATGTACGAGATTACGAGCTGTAGGAATGCAAGAGATGTACGAGATTAAGAGTTGTAGGAATGCAAGAGATGTACGAGATTACGAGCTGTAAGAATGCAAGAGATGAACGAGATTAAGAGTTGTAGGAATGCAAGAGATGTACGGGATTACGAGCTGTAGGAATGCAAGAGATGTACGAGATTATGAGCTGTAAGAATGCAAGAGATGTACGAGATTAAGAGCTGTAGGAATGCAAGAGATGTACGGGATTACGAGCTGTAGGAATGCAAGAGATGTACGAGATTATGAGTTGTAAGAATGCAAGAGATGGAATAGATTAAGAGTTGTAGGAATGCAAGAGATGTACGAGATTATGAGTTGTAAGAATGCAGGAGATGGAAGAGATTACGAGTTGTAAGAATTCAGGAGATTACGAGCTTTAAAAATGCGAGAGATGGGAGAGATTAAGAGTTGAGTAGGAATGCATCTGAGATTCAAGAGATTCTACAACAGGGCTTGGAAATTATCTGCTTAAATTCTACTGAATATCAAATTGTCCTGATCCTGATAATACTAGCTTAGGGATAACTTCTCCGAGCGCGTTTTCATCCACTAGATAATATCGTTTTCAGATAAATAACAGTGTGCAGAGCATGTAGAAGAATCGCTGCAAGAAAGTTTCCACATATTATTAAGAATTTGCGTAATCATTCAACTGATTTTCTCCATACAAAACTAAACAGTGTCATTGATGGTTGATTAATTCGTTTCATTGATTTATTTGTTTCTTTTATCGTGATCTAGACCCAGTGGCCATTGAGCCAAGTGTCGATTGTGATTTCGGAGAAGCTGAGATATGTTACTATACGCATGACCCCACCGCAAACTTTAACTGGGAGTGGACGAACCGAGCCACGGATAGTTCCTTCACTGGCCCCGCCCAGGACCATACAAGAGGAGATGAATTGGGTAAGACCGGTTTGGCTCTTTCAATAAGCCTTTTCGGGATCGAACACGGGTGGATAGAAAGGCTAGTTATCTAAGTTAAGAATCGTTATGATATAACCGACGTGTATTCGCATATTCACTTTTCATGAAAAAATAAACGTGGAAGCCGCTTGAGATAAAGCCTTGTCCAGAATTGTAGGCCAAGAGATTGTCTAGATTGACCTAAAGTAGTCACTCCATCTAGCCCATTAGATGTTACCCTTACCTAGTAGTTAGACTAATACCCCATTCACAGTGGCCTCAAACACCGCGACAGCAGCGGGACTGTCCCGCTGCTGTCGCGGTGTTGTCTTCAGTGTGAAGGCTCGGACCCGTTATAAACTATCGCGGGATAACACCGCCTAGCGATAACGCCGACACAAACTATCGCTAGGGACGCCTAGCTACAGCAGCGGGACAGTCCCGCTGCTGTCGCGGTGTTTACTCAGTGTGAAGGCTCTCCGCTATAACACCGCGACAAACACGTGTGATTTGTTTACTTACCTATCACTGACCTCTTTTCTACAGCAATGGGGAACATAAAGTGAAATAGAAATAAAGTAACCAGTGGATTCAAATTGATTTTATTATTATGTAGGTATTATAATTATCCAAATAAAAATATTTCACACTTCAAAAAATTAAAATATTCTGACTGGAAGCAATAAAAATGCTAGTTTTTTAAAAAGTAATATGATCGAGGATACAAAAAGCAACTTGACATGTTTACCGCGCAATTTCAAGCAAGTATTTCCGGTCATATCGGGGTCACTCGCGGGTCATGAGCCATGCATACACGTGTTTGTTACGGAGGTAATAAAAATCACCCGCTGCAGCGTGAATGGGTACATGATATTTATCCCGCTGCTGCAGCGGGATAACTTTTCTACTGTGAATGCATTTGTAGCGGTGTTATGGCGGTGTCGCCGCTCCGCTACAACGCCGCTACAAATTTCAAAACCACTGTGAATGGGGTATTAGAGTCATTGACAAATATGTTGTCGGTCTTACCGTAGCTGTTGGGATTACGGGTCCCCAGAACAGACCCCACGTTAAAGGGATGTTACCCATGCTCCAAACTTCGTTAAATTACTCCAAAGGAAGTTGTAGGAAAGAACTATTAAAAACAAAGGCGAATTTTGCCTGTACCCAATCTGACTTGGCACCATTTGAATTGTTTTTCACGGGAAGGGGGTTATTTTAAACTGATATATCTTAACAAAGTGGGCGATCCATATACTCATATTCCTCATTCTATATTACGTTTCTATTATGTATGTATTGTTTTTATAATGTGATTTGGAAAATGTATACCATACCCTCCATGTAAATCAGATGGATATATTGCATAATTTATTATTTCAGGTAAAATATTTCTTTCGTGATGTTAAGTATCAATATTATTAATATCGTAATCTATACCGGGAGGCAATGAACAGTTTTGATAGTGCTCAGTTTCGCCCTCTCTCTCATACTTCCTTGTCTGTATTACCTTCCTCAGCTAGCTGTCATGACTATCAATGTCTAGTTATGGGCTTAAATTATTATAAATTAGGTAAGTTAGATCCAAAAGGAATACAATGCTCCTTTCTGTAATGATCGATCTCTTGGTTTTGACTTAACCACCAATCGATAGTACATTTCAAACCAAGTTTATAATTTTAATCAAGTTAAATTTAAAAAAAGAAAGACTTGCGCTCCATAGCATTAACGGAACACCATAAGGCTCTAAAACACATCCACCCCAGGAACCCCTCTCGCTGTTTCGCTCCGTCCCAATTATGACCATATTCTCCTTCAAAATATAAGTGCATAAAGACTATTTGGTTCATGCTATGAAAAGTTGACATCGTTCGTTCGTGTCTCGTTAGATCAAGATTAATGTATCTTGATCTTTGGAGTAGTTGCTACAACCGGCCGTGTCAGACACGTTACCCCGGGGTGCGAGATAGGACTCTTGTAGCGTGCCCCCATTTAAAACAATTATACAATAACAATTAACATTACATTCAATTAAAAGTATGAAACTATCAAAACGTTGACATAAGTACATGTGTATTGTTTCTATTGTAATCAGGATTCTACGTACACATAGACAGTGTCTACCAGAGACCAGGAAGTAAATCTAGACTCATCTCTCCTCTTATCAACGCTCCACAACGCTCATCTTGTCTTGAGTTTTGGTTTCATATGTATGGCAGCCATATTGGACAGTTGAATGTCTACTTCAAATACAATGACAGCGCCCTCCCTGATAAACCAGCTTGGTCACTTTCTGGTAACCAAGGCAACACATGCACAGAGCATCTTCTTTAATCACCGACATGACGCGAGACTTCAATGTATGTTCTTTCACTTTCAATCTTTGTTATTGCCACTTGCGCGTTCATTCTTTGTTGTGTGATCTGCACACTACCGTGTGAGACAAAACAAGTTTACACCTAAAAAATTGCTAATTATTTTACAAATCATCTATAAACAGTAAATTATTATACATCTTATGATAGAGTGTTTTATCCCAAATCATTTGGTATCATTTTTGTGTGGTATGTGTTCACGCTTGGATGAACAGGAAGCATTGTTTGCGAGAGTGCAAAAATCGACTTGCGCTAAAGTGATGCCTACAGTATTATGCTGGGATTAGCGGATGAGAGAATGAATTGATTGTATCAAATGAAATGCACTGCATATCCTTTTTGCAGAAGGAAAGTCACACACACGCGCACAAATGTTGTTGATATTTGATATTTGATATGTGTGGCTTGATTGATTTTGTTAGGGATGTTATTTGGATCTGCAAAGACCGAATTAGAACCCAAATCCCATTGTTTTATTCAATCATCACATATAAAGCAACTTTGGCGCAAGTCGATTTTTGCACTCTCGCATACAGTGCCTCCTGTTCATCCAAGCGTGAACACATACCGCACAAAAATGATACCAAATTAATTGGGATAAAATACTCTTTTATAAGATGTATAATAATTTACTGTTCATAAATCATTTTTAAAATAATTAGCAATTTTTTAGGTGTAAACTTTTTTTTTTGACTCACACTGTATATCGCATGTCATAATTTGCAATTAGTATATCGAACAGTATACCCAAATCTAGTCATTTTTGTATTGAAGGTTACAACCTTTCTTACCTTGAAATTTATTTCGTGGTAAAAAGTAATGAAATGGTCTGTCCTATGATTCCTTATTCATACTTCTGCTGTCAGTGAGGATTAAAACAGAAGGTTTTGTCAATATCTCCTTGTACCAATTCAAGTTTAAGTTGATTCAATGAATATTGGTCAAGCGATATACATGTTAGACTAGAGTTTCAAATTAATTGAAAGTTATTTTCAATTTTTATCTATTCATCGATCCCCAAGGAGTTGATTACCACCAGGTCCAGGTTAAACCTTCAATACATTCTTCGTGAATTTGAACAAAATTTAGACTGTTTTTACCATATTGCATTATTGTTTTTTTCACAAATCCAATTTTCCATGGTTTTAACCGAAAATAACATACCTTGGTCCTAGAAAAGCAATTCACAATCTAGAAAATCTGTAAATATAAAGTTATAAACTGCTCTTCTGAAAAATATTTACAATGAAATTTCATAAAAGCCATTTATTTTGATGATTATTAAATAAACGTATTGTTTCCTTCTTTCTGAATTCTGATTATTGAGAATAAAACAATTCTTATCATGCCCCGTTTTCTTACCTTCTTTACCAATAAGATAACTTGATATTTAAATGACCAAAACATTCGAGATAACCCTTTTATTCCGGGGGGGGGGGGGTCGAGGGGGTGGGGGTCATAAATGTTCATGAAAGCATTTCTTACTATAATCTTTGAACCAGGAAGGAACCTGATAAATAATGTAAGCCACTTCGAAGATACTATTTAAGCATGGACAGATAAAGGTCATGTGTCGAAATCTGCCAAACCAGCGAGACGAATGCTGGATACGTTTTCATGAAAGTTAAGTAATTATTATTCGATTATGCACCGATGGTATATATATATCATATGGTATTGTATGGTCTATCGGACCTTTCCACTGCGTATTATAAACAGTAACATTTCCATCTATACAGTAAAGCTTGCGGATGCACCATGTGAGAGAGAGGGAGGATTGAGGAGTCCTGAAAGAACTCTCGGTAATCTTTCTTGAGGGTGTGTAGTCGTGAAAAGGACTGTTGATGTAGTCCAGGCGCGTACGCAGGGGGGGGGGGGGGTGTTTGGGGGGGTTAAACCCCCCCCCTTTGTATTTTTATGTGTATAAACCCCCCTAAAAAATCCCTAAAACCCCCCCCCCCCCCCCCTTTGGATTTTTTTTTTTTTTTTTTAATTATTAAAAAAAAAAAAAAAAAAAAAAAAAAATTACCCCCACGACTGACCTAAGAAAACCTTACCCCCCCCCCCCCAAAGGAACAAATGTCAAATTTTCAAATTTCGAGACCAAAAAAAAAAAAAAAAAGTGTCCTCTTACCCCCCCCCCCCCCCCACTGAGCGACTTTTCGGCTGGCTGAGTCGTTGCGATTTTTTTTTGGACTACCAAAAAAAAAAAAAAAAAGTGTCCGCTTACCCCCCCCCCCCCCCCCCCCCCCCCCCCCCCCCACTGAGCGACTTTCCGGCTGGCTGAGTCGTTGCGATTTTTTTTGGACTACCCAAAAAAAAAAAAAGTGTCCGCTTACCCCCCCCCCCCCCCCCCCCCCCCCCCCCCCCCCCCCCCCCCCACTGAGCGACTTTTTGGCCGGCGCGATTTTCAAATTTTCCTGAGTCGTTGCGAAATTTTGGACCCGATTTTAAACCCCCCCCCCCCCCCCTTGAAAAAATCCTGCGTACGCCACTGGTGTAGTCTATTTTCCATCTACTACGGAAAGCCTGGAATTTGGTTTGTGATTACTCATGAATTGATGAGTATTATGATTGATTTCTCACTTTCTTCACGAATAGGTTGTGTTTGAAGGAGTCCTCGGCCTCTATTATCGAACCGATATTGCCATAGATGACGTGCAGTACTTTCCCAATTCACCCTGTCCAATGTGTAAGTATATATAACAGCTATAGAAAGGTAAAATGACAACAAACAGTATTTACTTAATCATTCAATTAATTAAAATATAACTAATATATACTATACTGGAAAACATTTGTAAATATATCCTGGAGCGAAAGTGCCATGAGTGAACGTCATTTACCCTACCATAGTGGCCATTGCGACACATGGAGCTTAATGTAGGACTACACCATGTTATTGGCAAGATCACATGATGGATATTAGCCCTGTTAGGCTATTTGTATGATCCCATATAATTATGGCTAAGAAGGGGTTCACTCTCTGACAATATATGGCTGGGGTAGGTTTTACTCTTTGATAGGGTTTACTCTCAGACTATTCAATCACGATTAAAAACACTGATGGGCCGTTTTGTTAATGAAAAATACCACAGACCCCCCCCCCCTCCCCCTCCCCCCGGAACGAACGTTGTACTGCTTATTACGAAATGCCAACTCTAAAGTTGCTTTCCATTTGTCATGTTTAAGTCTTTCAATATTATTATTTTGATAAGCTGTGATTATGCGTCTACTAGTCTAAGGGTACGTTTTTGCTCCACTTTTTCTGGCCAGAATGAGGCATTTGTTACGCGTTTAGTTCAAAACACGGTTGCGTTCTCATCTTTTTAGAATCACCGAAAAACGGCGATCGTAATCGCCGATCGTAAACTCACAAAAAGGTGCGTTTTATTATTATTACTGAATTCCGGAGCGTTTACGATGAGCGTTTCAAATCACTCATTCTGCCTTCAAAATTGAGCATAAACGCACTCTATTATTAGTATTACTGAATTCCCCTTAGATCCCACAGAAGAACCTATCCCAACTACATTACCAGCAGGACTCCTGTCAGATTTGACATGCAGCTTTGAAGATGATTCGTGTAATTTCACTCAAGCAACAGATGACATCATGGACTGGAGGCGTGTTAGAGCCAATTATCTTCAAGAAGATATCAACGGTTATTATTACAGGAGCATGACGATAAATCGATTTCCAAACTGGAACAGACTTAAAGGACCATCCGGTGACCACACCTCACAGACTCCTGATGGTATGATACTGTTTAAACACTGGTATAATCTGACATTAGAGGAATATTAACATGTTGAATAATCGATTTCCAAACTGGAACAGACTTAAAGGGGAAGTCCACCCTGAAATTAAGTTAGTTTTAATAGGAGTAGAAAAATGAGAAAACAAGTCAGTGAAAGTTTGAGCAAATTCCGATTAAAAATAAGGAAGTTAGGATTTTTGAAGTTGTGATCAATCAAACACAAATTGGCAACTCTATGACGTATCATGCGAGCTCAACTTTCATTTGCTCAGTACTAAAAAAATCTAAAATTTTCATTTTCCCTCAAGAAAAATTTCAACCATACATGCACCCTAAATATAATAATTGCAAATATGTTTCTATACTCCCCCTGCAAGGAACAAATATATATTCCGTCATCAATAACGAAGAAAACATGATTTTATGGAATATTATGCACAAAGCAAATGAAGGAGAGCTCGTATAATAAGTCACAGAGTTGCCAATGTGTATTTGATTGATCACAACTTCAATAATTCATAACTTTCTTATTTTCATTCAGAATTTGCTCAAACTTTCACTCACCTGATTTTCTTATTATTCTACCTCTATCGAAACAAACTTATTTTGGGGGTGGACTTTCCCTTTAAAGGACCATCCGGTGACCACACCTCACAGACTCCTGATGGTATGATACTGTTTAAACACTGATATAATCTGACAATAAGGGACTATGATCATGATGCTGATGGATACTTGTATTCACTGCTATCTAAATCATCAAAGGTATTTTCGTGTATATGTAAAATGAGTATAAATACAACTACTCAATGCATATATATACTTTAAGAGCAGAGCCAAGAAGAGCAAGGTATTAGGGGAATAAGGAAATACATATGAATAAACTTAGATGTGAAACTAAATTGTATTTGAGTGTGCAATTTTAGGGTAAAAAACATAAAGATACAATCGAGGGGAAATAACTTAAGGAGAAAAGTAATAATCTATTCACTTTCTATCCATTTCTAATATAATAAGGACACTGATCTTTTCAAAATCATCAACTATTTATTAAATTTGCAATTCCTTGACCCTTGTATCTACCTCTTTGTTGTCGGTTGTTCAGGATGGTTCATGGCTTTCTGGTATCGTGGAAGCTGGGATAGACCTCGGCTGATGTGGAATGATCGTACTAGGGTACTATCACCTTTGTTGAGTGGATCGAATCAACCGAGATGTCTCACATTCTTCATGTACAAGGATGGTTACACCAACGATTTCTTAAATGTCTACATCAAAGAGTACGGAGAAACACGAGAAATCGATCCAAACTGGGCCTACTTTTGGCGTACGAATAAGAAATGGTGGAAAATACGCGTCGATATCCCTGCTTCCCAAAGACCATTGAATGTAAGTTTATCAAAGATTACAATCATGTCAAATTTCAATCAGACATATCATTTTATAGAACTTTGAATGACGTTTAGTATTATGATAGACGTAGAAGGTATCCTTTTTCCCAACCATGAATTTAAGGAATACGTATAATATTGAATTAATGCCATATGATTTATTATCCCAGCCATTACCATACCAATAACTATAACAACAATAATAATAATAATATAATAATAATAATAATAATATAATATAATAATAATAATATAATTAATGACAATAATGATAATGGTAATAATGATGGTGATGATGATGATGATGATGACGATGATGACGATGATGACGATGATGATGATGATGATAAGATGGCCTATTGAAGATAATGGTGAGAAAGAGAACAGTTCGAAATATATTCCACATATTTATCTAGATTCTACTACTAACATATATATAGAAAAAACGTATTTATTCACTCTCATTTTGTGTGTCTTAGATTATCTTTGAAGCTGTTGTGCCAGCTCCGAGTAGTCGTTATCGACAATACATGATGTATATTATTGATGACGTCACTGTCGAAAGTGGGATTTGTCCTAGAAGTAATGGTGAGCTTTTGTTTTATTATTCCGCCCGGCATAGAGACTCTTTAAACTGTTTTCAACATGAACTACATACAAGCCTAATCTGCCAGAGCGCTTACAAAATCCAAGAATGTGAAGAGAAACATAAAACCCGTAAAATATAATTATTATTATTATTATTTATTCGGCAAAACAAAGTGTATACAGAGGATTACATAGAAGAACAAACCACACAAAACAAAGGATGAAAATCATTTAATATTTTTTAATCGTGATTCCCATGGGCATTTACAAGTTGCCAGGAATGGGGCAGGCAAACTAAATGAAACCGTGAAGGTCCCCCATTCCGAAATAAAAGAGGTCAATCATATCATTACTGAGTAAAGAAGTATGATTTAAGGGATCTTATGAAAGTGGCAAGACGGTTAAATTCACGAAAAAATTATGAATATGATAGTATATATGATCATGAAAATATATGATCACGATATTGATAACCTGCCCGGTAAGAAAGGAAATATAGTGTTTGTAGATGATGCAACCATACGGCTTTGATTCCTCGGTAATTGAGGATGAATGATTTACCACAGGCGGTAACCCGATATCTGGCAGCTAGGACGTCCCAATTTACGAAACCACTGGTCTAGCATTGAGCCATCCACTGTGAGTCTAAATCTCACTCGAATATAATATGGACACCGGAACGAATAGTTACCATGATCCCCATTTTCTATTATTATTATTATCATTATATTATTATTAATAATAATAATGATAATAATGAACGTTATTTGTAAAGCACATATCACTAACACAAAGAGAGTCCCTATGCGCTTAGAAAAGACGGAAATAGAGATAGGCCGGAATAGAAATGAACATTAATTTGTAATATTATTATTATTACTATTATTGTTGTTGTTGTTGTTATGTTGTTGTCGGTGACAGGAATCCCTGGAACCTGCGACTTTGAAGAGGATTCCTGTGGTTATTCTGGCAAATGGACTAGGATTAGTGGGGAAACCCCTTCCAGATTTACAGGACCTTCCGGTGATCATTCATTTGGTAACGCAAGCGGTAAGTTACATGCTATCGGTTTTAATGGCATTCTTTCTGTTTTGGTTTCTTTGGGGCTTCCAAGTGGAAAGAAGAGTATAGTAATAATGACTGCTATGAGAGACATAGTTGTATTTATACGCTCAAGGGGAGGTTACATGATCGTGCTGTCGCCCCGAGGCGTACCGAAGGGTGATAGCACGATCCTCCCCGAGAGCCTATAAAAACAACTATGCCTCGAATATTAAAGCAGTCATTATAACTTTATATACCGAAAAGGGTCATAGAATACATGTGCGACTTACTAATCATGATAACCAAGTTCGCTATCGAGACCTAGTCTTAATAGGGTGTCTGATCGCGCACCATTCGAGTTTGTGTGCAAAAATCCTTTCCATTGAGATATTGCACGCATATACGTAAAATGCCAAAACCGGTCAATAGTCTTTTGAAAAGTGACCGGTTTTGTCATTTTGCGGGAATATCTAAAATCACGACTTCACTTTCGACCAATCAGATGGCTGGATTTCTAAAGTGAGGAATATAATGTTACATAACCCAGTCCTTTTACTACTAGGATTAATGTTAATCATGGTAACGGTTTTACATGAGAAAATAGTGGTGCAGAGTTTGAATTATTTGTGTGACTTAGGACACTACATGTACTACGAGACATCACAGCCAGTCCGACCAAGCCAGTACGGGGATTTGTTCTCGCCTCGGATGCACCTGTACGGAAAGCAGTGTGTACGCTTCTACTACCATGCCGGTGGCAATGACACTCGTAGATTGGAGGTGTACTTGCGAGAACCTGCTCAGTACACGACCTATCCTAAGCTCACACTTTTGAAGACGATTGAAGGCAAACAGAAGAATACTTGGATGCCTGTCAATGCTGATATTGATATCAGTGGGGACTTTAACGTGAGTATACATACACAAGATCATTATCAAATATGACCCATCTTATTTATAGAGAAAGTTAAACGTTATAACCATTGGATTTCTCAGATCCGTATAATTAAGTGGGAATTCAGGTAAAGGACTATATTTTAGTTTTCCCTACTTTTTAAAAGGACCGCCACTGGCTTTTATCATATTCATTTGGTTGATTGATCTTACGAAACCCATTGCCAATCCAGAGGGGGGAGTGAGGGCGCACCCCTATCTATTTCTCAACTACCAGCCACAAGCATTCACAATTAAATCGGACAAAGAGCCCACAGCTTGCCTATTACCATTATGTCCTTGCACAATATTTATGTCCAATGGCCAACTATCCTAATAATCATGTTATCAACTGCCCAACCGTTGTAATATTCACTTCAAAGTTAACAAATAATAATATTGCTTTTATCGGCTTGTAACTTATGTGAGTGCTGTAATTCGTAATATTTTTACATTGTGCCCTTAAAGAAATAAACCATGATCCAAATCTTGTAATTAGTCTGCTAGGAGGGTTTCGGAACTCATGGAAAAGAAAGTTGATATAGATGTTTGTTTAAACTTAGTACGTAACCCCAACCCCACCCACCACTTTTACATATGATAGGCAAATCAGAACATGAGGTCGAAAGGGACAGCTATAGAATAATATAGAGAAGACATTTCTTTATTAAATGTGGTGTAGGGACAATTGTTTCATTTTGAATGGTGAAATTTGCATTTTATAGCACTAAAAGCCTCAACAGGTTGGTGCACCTTTACTTATTGTTATCAATTGTAATGCATTATTAAAGAGCCTCCTCCCTCTCCCGGATCACAGTGACCGCCCCCTGATAAATGCAGTCAAAATATTCCTTTGGTGCATACAGAACACTTTACAGAAAAATATACTGTCCTTCAGATGTCTGTTTATGAAATTGATACCATTAACGGGGTCTATTTTGTGTTAGACAGATTGTATTCAGAGCATATGCTGGACGAGGTTACCAGGGAGATATAGCCATCGATGACATCATCATTCTACCCCATCCTTGCATTGACCTTGTCACCGAAACATCATGTGACTTCGAGTTAGGACCCGATGCATGCGGTTTTACAAACTCCGCTAAGAATGAGGTCCACTGGGACTGGTACGATGCCATCTATGGAAAAGGTTTTCCTCTCATCAGTAAATCAGTGGGTAGGTTGTTTGTTCATCAACCAATGAATGCGCTCTTTACAACAAAAAGAAAAACAAAGAACAGGCGAAGAAAGGGAATTTATTAACTTAATTATTCAAGTTTTATTTAAAATAGAGGGTAGGTACATTCAGTTTAACAAAACTGCTTTCCAATTAGGGACAATAAGTAAAGAAGTAACGAATAAGAAACCGAACTGCACCAATTACATAATAGCGTTTGAGCTGTGTACAGGTACACAAACAAATAAAATGGCAAGGTTTGAGTGAAGAGACCAAGAGGTAAATATTTATTGTTTTCATTTTTTTTTACAGAATGTTACTGTAAACGATTTATTAGACGTATAATGACGTGAAACCAAAGGATTAGTCCAGGTCAGCAGTTAACAAGAACGGTAATATTGGATAACGTTGTTATCTTGACTACAAAATAATTACAATCATATTTATCAAATAATGATTCTTGTCAGAGATACTTTGTTACCTATATTAAAAGTGTGGTCAACACATAACTACTGATTACATTTTCACAGCGTAATACATGTATATGGTCTACAGGAAGCGAAATTTTCATTTTCAGTGTCGGTATGGAGGCATTTAGTATAGACTTGATAGAATTCAAATTTATATTGATTATACTTTGTGCATGGTTTAGAAAAACAATGTTTTTTCTCCTTTCTCCTTCTAATTTTAGCTACCAATTCTTTCATGTATGTGGCGCTATCTCAATCATCCGTAAAATGGCAACCCTCTGAACTCTACTCTGGTCATCTGACTGTTTCACCCACCACTGGGGATCTCTGTGTCAGCATCGAGTACGTGATTGAGGGGACCAGCGAACAGACGATAGTTATGTTTGTGGAAGAAAAAGACGGGACGAGAAGAAAGGTCGGCTCTTTGACCGATGAGAACATGACTGAGTGGAAGATGTACACGTCATCCTTGCTACAGTCTCACTCGTTGAAGCCTTTTATTGTATACCAGGTAACCATTCACCTGAATGTCATTTAACATTAAAGGGAGTGTATCATGACGAGACTATGTGTCTTTCCCGTGGCCCTACTCGGGGCCAATCGGGTATATAATAATACGACTACGGACGACGCGACCGCAGCATTCACGTGCATGCAACATACGCGAAACCGGAGCGTGAGGAGAACTTGGTCTGTTTCGCGAACGCTGCGCACTGACCCAGTTAATCAAGTCCATTCGTTAACGTGCAGTTGTCCAAAAGAAAACATAGATGGCGTTAACCAGTATTTCCCATGATACACTCCCTTTAATCCTTTAGCAAGATCCATGTGCAATCATAAACACTGGGTTGGGGAGCTTTTCGTATTATAGTTTGGTCAAAAATGTGTTGTGTACAGATGTGGTCAAAGACCGGCTTAAATTTCACATCGTTTTCTCCGTTGGAAATAAGCTTTAAGTTATTGTTAGCTTTTGTGGGTTCTTCTGTCAGGGTGTATCTCTCTCTCTCTCTCTATTGTATATTCCATGATATATAATTTACTAATAAAATCAATCAATAAATCAATCAATCCTTAACCCTTACTGTACTGGGGGGGGGGGGGGGCCTGGGAGGCCCCCCCCCTCGACATTTTTGGAGATCGCGCCGCAACCGCTCGGAATTTTGAATTGTCGTTTCATGACTTTTTTCCTTCAAGTCTTACGCACATTTTGATACCATTTTCGTCGAAATCGGATATACCTGTAAGGTGTTACATAACAATTAGTATGCGCATGTCATCAAAAAAGTGCTATAATTGCATATATTCATGTACAAGCAGAAATGTGAAGATATGAATTGATATCAAATTGCTTTTATATGTTTCTCAAAGTAACTTGATGTATTTCAGAACAAAAGAATACATTAGAAATAAAACAATAGATATAATAACAAATAAAAAACAATGAAATACATAAGAAAATAAAAAGTTGAAAATCGCATCAAATTTGCATAAATTATCATTATTAATTACATCAAATAACTATTTTTTGTGTTAGAAAAGAAGTTTCATATGAATAATGAGTTTCAACATAACAAAAGTGGAGTCTGACAATTTTGTAATGATTCTAGTTCCCTGTATATTACCAGATTAGATATTCATGAATGCGTAATTTGCGTATTCATAATTTATGCAAATTAACCTATGCATTTTCAAATATCATAAAAATAATGAAACCTCATGAATTTGAGATGAAGGAAACATTTATTCAATACATTTTCAAGATTCTTCACAAGTCTACGGACAAATATGTAGAGTTTTCTGTAAAATGCATAAAATTAGCATTTTGCATAATTAATTAGGCTATAACGACAAAAATTTGCATATTAGGAAAAAACTAATTATACCATCTTGTTCCTTACGTAAATATCTACAAACATGCAAATTTTCGCGTTCATCGGACATTCGACGGCCGAGATCATAGGGGGGGGGGCCTCCGAGGCCCCCCCCCCCAGTCAGAGAGTGCTCGAAATAGCCCAGTACAGTAAGGGTTAATACTTCCAACTAACCTGCGTGAGTGGGGTGCTGATATCATAAATCTGGATCCATAGTTTATGAACATGGTTCATTTTTCTTAGATAATTTTCCGCTTCCTTATGCGATAAGTTGATAAAATACCATGATGAATTACATATTTTTCAAACTTTCTAATAATAATCTATCTATCGGTTTTCTACCGTTGCATTCTCATAGCTGAGAGCATCAAACTCACAAACCCTCCCCCTTCTCTCAGGCTGAAATATGTAATTCATAATTGGTGGGCTTTAAGTTTTTCCTTCATAGATAATAAAGTGTTGAATTTTTATTTATTCAGGTCGTGGTATCCATCCAATCCACAAACAATGCTGCAGTAATTGCTATAGATAACTTTGTCGTGTCATCAGCAGCCTGCAACTCTCTCGGTAAATATATTGTCATTTGATTAAATGTCTGTGCGTGCGTGTGTGCGCGCGCCTACAAGTGGGCGTGTGGGACTGTGGGTGTAATATTATGAAGGTTACTTTCCTATACATGTGCAAAATTGTGCATGTATTATTCGTGTCTTGTCTATAGTGACGCGTTTTGTAGCTCTATAAGACCGCTAATAAGTAATATTAAAGGCACACTGCCATACTTGTAGCTACTTGCTCCCTCTATATAGAAAACTTCCCCAATCGGTGCCTGTTGGTCCCCCATGATCCTCTTTTTCTTATGTTAAATGAGAGCTGAGTTAATGAGATAGCCACCTGTCACAGTGACCTCGATGGCTCTCTGTGTGGTCTAATCCCTTCTGGCCCAGTAGTGGTGACGGTCTTTAATTGACTGATTTTGAAGAAAAGGAGATCAGACAATATCAATGTCAAAGCATTCTTTGGCGATATATTTACCCATTGCAATCTTCTTTTTTCTATTCGTGCTTCTATTTGAATTATTAGGATCGTTGAATGGCAGATCACAGACACGATCATCAAGGAGTAGTAACCGTTCTGGTATGGCTGCTGGTATCATTATCCTCATCCTCATCATCGTGGCTGTCTTGGCTGTCTTGCTTTTCATCTATCGTAGTCGCATCCAATCCATAGTTCATCGCTGTTCTCAGTCCGTCACCGAGATGAATTATAAACGTCACGATGTCGCCTTTGTCAACGAAGACAAGAAAGAAGCGGTAGAGATTCCAACCATCATTACTCAAGAACTGGATGCACCCGAGTCTTCCGTTGTCGATGGATAGTCTGTCATCAATGCCGATAAGAAGAGGAACATTGCCCGTGTCTGTGATAGAGGATGGATGGATGGGCATGTCTTGGTGCAAACATGCTTTAGGTGGACCATTCAGACTGACACTTTAAAGAATATCTCATCATGACTTACTAAAGTGTCTCGTAGTTTTTAGAAATTCAAAAGTCTAGATACATGAAATGTTGTTATGCCTTTCTCCAGGTGTTTTCTTTAATGAACCTAGCAAATACAGGTTTATCATGTAATATATATTTCATATAGGCTGGTAATCAAGCATAACATGTGATTCTCTTACATTGTGGAAACAAATATATATATATATGTATAGAGATGGTGTGCAGAAATGAAAGAGAAACTTCAGTATTCGATGCCCTTCAATAATCTATAATGTAAAAACATTGTACCACTCATCAACTCAATGCACAGCGTACTGTTTGCCTAATAATATAACATTTTGGTGGTGCCACTCAAAGAGAAGAAGTCCAGGACTCCCACCTTGAACAGACTTTGGGCGAATGTTGCTCCGAAATATAGCTACGCTTACTATCTGCTTACCTCTTGGTATCTACGTACCTTTTACTATCTGCGTACCACTTATACTATCTTGGTACCTCTTACTATCTGCGTACATCTTACTTTCTGCGTACCTCTTACTATCTGCGTACCTCTTACTTTCTGCGTACCTCTTACTTTCTGCGCACCTCTTAATTATCTGCGTACCTCTTACTATATGCGTACCTCTTACTACCTGCGTACCTCTTACTATCTGTGTACCCCTTACTATCTGCGTACCCCTTACTATCTGCGTACCTCTTACTTTCTGCGTACCTCTTACTATCTGCGTACCTCTTACTATCTGCGTACCTCTTACTATCTGCGTACCTCGTACTATCTGCGTACCTCTTACTTTCTGCGTACATCTTGCTATCTGCGTACCTCTTACTATCTAAGTACCTCTTACTATCTTCGTACCTCTTACTATATGCGTACCTCTTACTATCTGCGTACCTCTTACTGTCTGCGTACCTCTTACTGTCTGCGTACTTCTTAATTTCTGCGTACCTCTTACTTTCTGCGCACCTCTTACTATCTGCGTACATCTTACTATCTGCGTACCTCTTACTATCTGCGTACCTCTTACTATCTGCGTACCTATTACTATATGCGTAACTCTTACTTTCTGCGTACCTATATGCGTACCTCTGTGATATCAGAGGAAGAGGTGAAGGAGTACGGACATTTTTTTGTTTAATGTCGATACTCTTTACAGTATTTCAGGGCACTAGAAATATCTTTCACGATGATTGTATTACAACTTACAAGAATGTTACTGTATTGTTTTCTTGCTAAGGGGACAGAACAAATATTGCACTCCCTTATTTAGAGAGAAATACCTGCCCTAACTCGCCAATTCGGGGCCTTGTAAAGTACTAGAAACACTGTATCCACAATTTATGAGGGATCGTAGCGACCGAACTAGAAAATATGAGTTTAAAGCATTAATTTGAGACTGCGTTTTAGAACAAGAGAAAACTTGTTAAACATGTTTGTATATCGAAATCAATTCACGTTATTTTCTGCTTTATTTCCTTGTTCATGCGAGGGGACCCAATGGGGAGGTCAAAATCGATTACTGCAAACAAGAACATAGATATTATTGCAAGTTGTTACGTCACTCTTATGGAACACCATAGAAAGCTTATCGTTAAATTAAAAACGATTAAGCTACCCCTTTGATAAAGGTCCCTCATTTCTCTCCTTGGTATGGAGTGGCAAATGTAGATTAATGTAGATTAATTAGTACCGTATCGGGATCGATCTCGGGACCTTTGCACTTCCAGCCAAGTGCTTAAACCACTACGACAAGTTCTTAACCCTTACTGTACTGGGGGGGGGGGGGGGCCTGGGAGGCCCCCCTCGACATTTTCGGAGATCGCGCCGCAACCGTTTGGAATTTCGAATTGTCGATTCATGACTTTTTTTCTTCAAGTCTTACGCACATTTTGATACCATTTTCGTCGAAATCAGATATACCTGTAAGGTGTTACATAACAATTAGTATGCGCATGTCATCAAAAAAGTGCTATAATTGCATATATTCATGTACAAGCAGAAATGTGAAGATATGTATTGATATCAAATTGCTTTTATATGTTTCTCAAAGTAACTTGATGTATTTCAGAACAAAAGAATACATTAGAAATAAAACAATAGATATAATAACAAATAAAAAACAATGAAATACATAAGAAAATAAAATGTTGAAAATCGCATCAAATTTGCATAAATTATCATTATTAATTCCATCAAATAACTATTTTGTGTTAGAAAAGAAGTTTCATACGAATAATGAGTTTCAACATAACAAAAGTGGAGTCTGACATTTTTTGTAATGATTCTAGTTCCCTGTATATTTCCAGATTAGATATTCATGAATGCGTAATTTGTGTATTCATAATTTATGCAAATTAACCTATGCATTTTCAAATATCATAAAAATAATGAAACCTAATGAATTTGAGATGAAGGAAACATTTATTCAATACATTTTCACGATTCTTCACAAGTCTACGGACACATATGTAGAGTTTTCTGTAAAATGCATAAATTAGCATTTTGCAAAATTAATTAGGCTATAACGACAAAAATTTGCATATTAGGAAAAAACTAATTATACCATCTTGTTCCTTATGTAAATATCTACAAACATGCAAATTTTCGCGTTCATCGGACATTCGACGGCCGAGATCATAGGGGGGGGGGCCTCCCAGGCCCCCCCCCCCCAGTCAGAGAGTGCTCGAAATAGCCCAGTACAGTAAGGGTTAAACCACCTCCCCCTCCTCCTCGCTTCGGTTTGTGCTACTTTGTACAGATAGATGATTTCTTTTTTTTAGTTCTGGTATCCTCAATCGGTATTTCCGTAATATGGTTTGATAGTCAATATGTGATCTGTTTAATATCAAATATGTAAAAAGCTTCAATTTCTATAAATTCATAATACATTCCAACACGCTTAAAGTAGTTTAATCACTACCTTATCTCTTTTACTTAATCATTTTTGTTTGGTTTAGATGTTATCGTATTGTATATGAAAGATTTCATAATTGTTTACGTAGTTGATTTTAATAATTGATGTATTCACCTGGTGTTAAGCTAGTCTTGTCATCTCTTTGAAAAAATAAAGTTACCATATTTAACAAAAATATCTTCATTCGTTGTGTGCTTGTCATTAATATAGATCTTGAAACAATTTGAAATAAAGACTTTTGTAGCAAATAACAATTAAAAGATTAAGCCACATTATGGTGCGAATGGTAAGATATGTTGTTGATATAACAATATTACAGTCGATAGTACGTTCAATGAAACACTTTTTAACTCTATGCCAAAGACGGTACAAACGATAATCAAACACAATAGCCATACACAAAATGTATGTGTGATGTGTGCGTGTGTGTGTGTGAGAGAGAGCAACGAGATTTTAATTGGCACCATCTTTAAAAATACCCAATATTCTTAATTAAATTTTGTAGGCAATGTTGTAGTAGTATCTCCCGATCCTAATACCATTGTGAATTGCGCAAGGATCTACTTTGGGAAGACGTTACAAATGTTACAAAGTGATCTGAGGGGATTCAATGGCACCAGTGCACAGCAATCGTATACCTATAACGCCTGAATATTTTGATGATGAGCTCTCTAGTTAACTCAAATTATTACAAACAGGTGGTTAGATTAATATTCTCCAGGTTAATTATTTTTTCTAGGGGCTAGGGTAGGGGGCAGTTTCCACAAATTAAAAAAAGAAAAGAAAATGCAATAAATTTTCAATATTTCATTGAATTTTACCCCGGTGACCCACATAAACAAATCCTCTGTACGACCGGGCTCAAGGCATGGGCACACAGAAGATTTTTCTATGTTGGGGACCGGGGGGAATTCAATGAATTATTTAAAATTGATTGCATTTTCTTTGTTTTTTAATTTTTATTTGTGGGAACTGCCCCTACCCCCGCTGCGTACAGTCATGGTTCAGTGGCAAAGCAATGGCCTCGCAACTGTGAGGCCCCAGGATAAAAAAAACGTGTCGATGTGCTATATTAGTGCCCTTTTGTGGGCATTAATCCCCATGACTGTCATTGATGACTTGAGGGCGCAGGTCCCCTCGTTGATATGCATAGTAGCATACACATATGGCTTAAGCAGTCACGCAAAACAAACACTGGTAAATTATTATTCAATAAAATCTGAAAATGTATACTATTATCTAGATGTATTAGGAATAAATCATTGTCAAAATAATTCCATAAATTGAGGTAAAAAATATATATTCCAACTATATGAGCGACAGTGTACATTCATAGATCTCTTTAGACTGGATATCATGAATTCAATTTTGGGTGCTTAATTGTTTAGGATGTTGCTAATCATATTCCCGTTATTTTTCCTCCTTTTCGTTGTTGCTGTTGAGACATCCTGTATGTTTACATGTAGAGAGAGAAAGAGAGAGAGAGAGAGAGAGAGAGAGAGAGAGAGAGAGGGAGTGGAAGGGAGAAAGAAAGGGGAATAATTATATCAACTTTCCCGCGTCCTATACAAACTGACGTACATGTATTTTATCTACTAACTCTTCTCCACTTGTCTATGAAATTCTCTCTCTCTCTCTCTCTCTCTCTGTCTCCCTCTGTCTCCCCCTCTCTCTGTCACACACACAGTTTAACATCTCTTCAAGCAGATACAAATTCCTTGTAGGCATCGTAGGGGGGGGGGGAGTTCATAAATTCTGTCAGGAGCTATAGTTTTTCTAGTAGTATTTCTTCTCTATTTAACTCGTAAATGCCAAACAACATATGGTGAGGAGGGTGTCTTTACTTCAAAATTGAAGTATATTAAAGGCGATCTATTTTTTTAAAATTCCTTAAATGCAACTTATACTGATTTTAGAATTTGTTGGACAGTTGAGGAAATTCCATTATTAGGACTACCATAATGTTTACAATACCCTCACAACACACAAACAAGTGACCATGCATTTGACAACAGGTGACAGGGTTAGGGTAATAATAATCTAGTTTCTTTTTGTATTATGAAATAATTCTTATTTAACAAAGTAGTTATTTGTGGGCTGTGCGTTTTTGTTTGTTTTTTTGTATTAGTTGTTCGTTTTGCTCGCTTGCTTCGCTTTTCCCGCTCTCATATAGTGATGGAAAGACAGGGAAGTTGATACTTGGGTGTACGAACCTACCGAAAATATATGCCATTTTCGTACATACCCTTTGATAAATAGCATATTTACAATGATATGACGTAATCCGGGCTTGATTTGATTTCCTTAGGCAATGAAGTAGGGTACTGGATTTGCCATCAAGTTGATTTCTTAAAATTCCTGTGAGTGCATCGTCAAAATCAGTTTCTTAAACACAACGCAAGGAATAAGAATGATCTCCCTCCCTCCCCCCCCCGCTACTCCCCTGGCCCCCACCTCAAGAGATAAGAGATACAAGAGATACAACCAAGGCGATGTGCTATAGTGCCCTTTGGTAAGGCATTAATCCTCACTACCAGGTCCCTCGGAGGGGACCTAAAGCCATCGGCCGTCTGGTTGCTTACGTACAAGCATTTATGCTTTCTTAGCACTCAGGTAAAATAACCATCACAACCAACCAACCAACCAACCAAGTTAATTATGCCTCGATTCTTCGGGAATCAGAAAACGACAACAACGCCTTTTTGACAAAAACAACAACAACAACAATGGAAACAACCTTAATATTGACCGGTTAAAAACTCGGATTCGGCCCAAAGAGTACGTTTCACTACAATGACACACGAAGACTTTCGAATTGACCCACTGCATACTCGTCGCTTTGTATTTTTTGTATTGTTACGTAATAGTGATCTGCTGTACGTTGAAACGCAAATAGGGTCGATATTACTACCTTTCATGCATTGTCACGGCATATATATACGACATCAACCCGACACAACGAAGGAAGTGCACCATAAAACATAGACGCATGCAGGACTGAAACTCTTACGTGCGTTAATGATGCCCGGGATGATTGTTTGATATAATATTACAGTTCTTCGGTGTTACTTACTTCAATGATCGACACACACATGGGTGAGATGATCGTATTTTATTAATGTACAAATTCATGTACGAAACGTATACTCTGTGTTCATCTATGCACTTTACAAGGCAACCAAAGAACGGAAGTTTCATTTCTATATGAAGATGTGCTCTTCAGAAGTTTCTGTTCCGAAAAATGAACAAGGGGGGGGGGGGATGTTAATTGATATTCAGTCTTTCCCCTTTTTGTTTAGGCCTACAAATCCCATGGGGGAATAAGAAAACATTTCAATATAGAATTTAATTGCCCATTCACGAGAGAAAATTGATTAAAACACGATGGAGTTTTTTTTTTAAAACTTTCAATATTGTAGTTTATGTATTCACAGTTTTTCCCGGTCTCTCTGCTTTGATTGCGGATATTCTTAAAGTATGGATAACTATAAATTGCTTCTTTATACTTATTTTATTCAACTTGGATGATCATGAATTTATAATTTTCAATATTCCATTCGACCGGGAATAAGAAGCAAGTTTAAAAAGACTTTAATTTAGAGCAAATGATGTTATTTAGTGGAAATTGTTATTAATTATTTGTTTCAGTTTATCACGTAATTAAAATTGTTTTTATCTATACAGCTCGGCGCTACCACATCAAGCCTTTAAGGCACAACTTTCAGGTTTATAACAGATCCTCATTCCACTCTGAGAACATCAGTATGTTAGTCATCCTGACTATAGCAACGATAACAGTCTGCACAATAACATATTTCACGGCAAATGCCAGAGAATTAATGGAGACGCGTGCTCGACCAGTCGGTACATCAAGATTAGCGAAACCACCTAAGACGCCACCGCCTGCTGAACCCATGTCCAACCATAAGTATGTTGCTGTTTTAATTTTCCATTCATTATAAGGGAGTTTACAGATAGCACATGGTCTTTTACACATGAAGAAGTTTCACTTTGAGCATATTAGAATAATAACTGCCAAAGTCCTAGATGTGCTTCATGAATACCTTTTGTTTACCCTCTTGAAAAGAAGACTTCCATCTGCGTATCATAGAATGTACCGTTGGTGCATAAATGAATAATGTTACATAACTTTCATGAACGCATATCCAGTATTCATCTCTGTGGGTTTTACCTTTTTGGTACAAACAGGGAGGTGAAAGAAAAGGAGGCGAAACTCTTGTAATTTATTCAAACGCATTCTTGAGTTCTAAAGCGTAACAATGGGATGTGTAACATTCCACTTGGCTTTGAAGTTCCATGCTCCGAACCGCGCTTCCACTGCGGGGACTTTCGGAAGCCAGGCTCCAGTTTTACATTTATTACAAAATATTAAATTACCGGCAAAATTTCAGTGTAAATCAAAAACTTTATAACAAATAAATTTTCAAATTTAAAACTCCGTCCTTCCTTTAATTTGTGTGCCAGAGTTGGTAAAAGAAAAATTACATCCTGTCAAAAACTCAATATTTTAGGATGATGCGCTAATTTGTGCATGCTTTAATGTCCCGTTATTTGATCCATGGTTTACAATCTTCAATAACATTAAGTTTGCTAATGCGTGTTTTCGCGTGTTTTTTGTATTTTTCAAGTTTAAAAAAGGATGAAAGTACACAAGTTTGTGTTCGCTTGTTCTACTCTTTACACATTCAACAATGGATGAGAAATCATTGGAAGGGACAGCGAACAGTTGCAGTGATACCATTTTCTGATGTAGGAATTCTAACTCCTGAAATTTCATGCGCTCTTTTATCTCACCACCTGGTCAACAGTTGCAGATTAGCGCATAACTTTTCGGCGGCTCAGTGGAGCATGGGGTCAAAGGAGAGCGGCTTGATTCCAGTCCTTCTCTATCACGTCCCTGGTACAAATGACCTTTATCTGCCCATGCGCAGATTTTATCTATGAACTGGCTTATTATGACGATTGTGATTCCCATAGTTTCATTCCCCGGCCATTTTTCTGTTTGTATATAATCTAGCGTATCAATTCATATCTAGTCTTCTATCGCGTTGATAATAACTCTCCATAATTATATCGACAATGATAACATTTCAAATTCTTGAGGAATTATTTTAAGTGTGCCAACTTAAGCTTTACCTATCCCAGCCATGACAAAAGGTTATAAATCCATCTACATGTAATATTATTATTATCATCATCTTTAGTAGTAGTAGTAGTAGTAGTAGTAGCAGTAATAGAAGTAGTAGTTACCTTTATTATTATCATTATTTAACAAATTATATTCAATACATTTATCGTTATTTTACTAGTAGTAGAAGTAGTACAAGTATTAATAGTAGAAGTAGTAATAGTATATCAAATTTGTATCCAAGATTTGTCTACCTTTCGTAACTAGGAATTATTTACCAAACAGGAGGTTAATGATGTGTCATACCAACCTCTCCCCAATCATATGCCGAGTTATGTTTTCCTCAATTTGTCGTAAAAAGGGGATATTACAGATTGGGTAAAACTTTGCACAAGTTACGCTTAAATTGCCTAGCGTTGGTCAAACCATGGACCCTATGGGCAAGTATAGTTGCCCTCCTTTGGGCAATATCTACGCCGTGTATTTGAGAGATTTTTAATAATGCAATATAGTTTCATATTTTCATATATAATTATTCATGTTTAATGAAAAGCAATTTTGGTCAGAATTAATGTACCCTCTATTTTATTTTTTAAATTAGCTCTCGATTCATAGACTGTGAAAATGATTCATACGCAATAATAAATCATGATTTTCATTCAACGTGGATTTTATATGTGATTTTTTCCCCTTTAGATCTAACAGTCATTTCACCCGCAACCTGTGGAATTTCGTGGCGAATGAAGCAGAGAAACTCTTTCTATACCAACACTTCCTAGAAACACCGTGGAAACCAAATACAACCAATCAACAAATGTGGAGGTAATCGATAAATGTATTTAATGTATGCATTTTACTAAAAGCGAAATAATAAAAGATGACGATCCATTTTTGAAATAAATTCTGATAAAAAACATTACATGTAGTAAATACACCGTGTCGATGGGGCAGCGAAGCTGATAATGACCCAAATATATCGACGTTTTCTGTGTCCTAAATTGTATGAAGGGTGGGGGCGAATTTTCCCCATTTCTTCAAACATTTTAAATTTTGCTAATTTTGATTTCGAGATGCTTTTGTTAGCATGATCTTTGTTGTACATTGCTGGTAATTTGCGAGCAAGAACAGATTTGGGCCACATTTTCGTTTGAATTACAATTTCTGGATTGGTATTTGTAATGATATTTCAGGCGGATTTCGAGTCATGTAACATAAGAGTTGCTTATAATAATATTATAAGGATATATATAGAGAGAGAGAGATTTGTATATAAATACTTTCCACTTGTCCTCAGTTTTTCAGGTTGCGAGTGGCTGGTTCAATCATATTGCAGCCGAGCAACAAATGAAAATTATAATTTGTTAGTCTATGACGTTTAGCAGCAATGAGACAGTTGACATAATTTATTGTTAAAATGTATTATTACCTTGCAATAATGGATTTACTGAGCTGAAAATCAGTTATATCATTATATTTTCTTAGCTGGATATTCCTCCTGGACACCCCCCCCCCCCGCCCCGGCACCACCCTTCTGCACGAGCGAGTCGTAACACGATGTTCTAACTCATTACATTTCTTTGTTCGATTTTAGATCCGAGTGGAACGAATTGGCAAGTAACCTCACTGCTGATAAAGATTTCATCTTGACACAACAAAATGTAAAAGAGAACGATTCGCTAACGTATAGCTTGTATCGGAAAGTCAAAGGAAAACCAATGAAGCAGTTCAAAGTCACCAAGAAATTGATGGACAATCTTCCTAATGTAAGTATCCATTATTCTACACCATTTTATGTTTTGATATTTTGTTTATTATTTTCTACAATAAATATTTATGTATTTTTCTTTTATTATACCCTAACCTATCCATCACACATTAGTAGATTATTTCCTTAATCACAACCCTACTCCATCGAAATACCCGAACCACAAAGTAGACCAAGGCTAGCCTATACATCAATTATAATTATAGTGACATTGTATAGGGCAAGACTTATATTGTACGATAGATGGAAAAGCACAAGTAAAGGTCAATATAATATGTATAAAATTATTAGATAATAGGCCTATTATTGTATTGTTGCGTTAAAAGACGAAAATGAAAGGTATGCTACTTGTCATGTGCAATCTGATAATTCTCCTCAATTGATGTGCAGTAAACCCTCTTATAAAATGATGACGTGGATCCTAATCAAATGATTAGCGAAATTTTGATAACTACCGGTCATTATCCTATGGTAATGACGGGTCATTGGCGATCATGTTTTGCGATCGTAACCATTAAGATTTCATCGTTTTACTTTTACTCGCGAAAATGGCTGCCGCCGAATTTAAAACGCCTACGTTTGAAATGCTTTCGACTGAAGAAATGAGGGTGAATGATGAGGGTGATTTATCAAATAACAAGGATCCACGTCACAATTTTATAAAACAAATAATACACAGCATTTATACTATCATATTTTGTGTGTAAATATTACACTTACTTTTAGTGTCTTGCGATCAGTGCAGCCCTATCGGCCTCTCTGCTTATCGTTAACCGTTTTCTCTCCATCCCCCCCCCCCCCAAAAAAAAATCAATCTCTCTCTCTCTCTCTCTCTTTCTCTCTCTCTTTCTCTCTCTCTCTCTCTCTCTCTTTCTCTCTCTCTCTCTTTCTCTCTCTCTCTCTCTCTCTCTCTTCATATCTCTGTCTCCTACTCTATATCTCTCTCTCTCTCTCTCTCTCTCTCTCTATATATATATATCTCTCTCATGTCCGCACCTTCCCTCGACAACTGCACTCTCTCTCTCTCTGTTAACAGGCTTCGCCGTTGGATGGTAGTCATTTTGGTCGGTGTAGTGTAGTAGGGAATAGCGGTATTCTACTCGACAGTGACTGTGGAAAACAGATTGATCAGTCAGATTATGTATTCAGGTATATATGAGTCTTTATTTTCATCTTCATTTTCACCCTTTTTCGTTTTCACCCTGTGCCTAAAGTTGCATATTCGTTCATTGAATCTTACTAAATTCCGGCTAAATTCATATAAAGGTGTCCCAATTTGAGACATTGTCCATCTTGTCTTAATAAAAATTAAGTTAAGATTATTGATCAGGTGAGGGTACTGAAGCCCGGTCCCAAGTGCCTAACAAGGAATAAATCTGTATGATGAAAGATGGACCCTTATTCTGTTATTGTTGTGAAGTACATTTATAAATCTCACTCGGAGAACATCTAAATGGAAAGGTATATCCCTTTCTGTGTTATCAGAGAGATATGCCTATTTTATACGTGCATACTGTGGACTAAAAATTGAGCAAAAGTACCCAAACGACACATATTTTATATAAAGATATCAAGGCCTACTTTTGTTTTTTTTCTTTACATCCCCCAAATTTTAAAGGGATGCCACTTTGTCATAACCTAGACTGTTTAATAATTCTAAACTCGTTCCTTGCTCATGTGTCTATTATAATATATTAATGTGATCAATTATTATGATCACACGTATCGTTCGTGTGTTTAATACTTTAATTTGATCAATTACAATCACATGTATCGTTTGTGTGTCTAATACATTAATTTTTGATCAATTTTTTATAACAGGTGTAACACTGCCCCGTTGGAGCCTTTTAGATGTGATGCTGGAATGAAGAGCAACTTAACAACGATGAATCCAAGTATCATTGAGAGAAGGTATGACCTAGCTTAAAGCCACACTGTACTACTTGAAGCTACTTGCTCCCTCTATATAGAAAACTTCCCCAATCGGTGCCTGTTGGTCCCCATTGATCCTCTTTTTCTTATGTTAATTGAGAGCTGAGTTAATGAGATGAGCCACCTATCACGGTGACCTCGCTGGCTAGCTGGGTGGTCTAATCCTTTCTGGTTAAACTAGTACAGCCGGCCTTTAAGTTCAACCCTCGTAGTCATTACTAGAGTCATTGGGGCCTTGGGAAATGTTTGATAGATAAAATGCTCGCTCTTATATCCGATCTACAGGTCTTAAATAGCTATGACTTCATTCATACCGTTGTTGGTGAGAGTAGTAACATCGTGTGTACATAATGTCCATGTCATATCAACATTAAATAATCAAAGTCACATTCATCTACACATTGAAGAGGAGATCGTGAAAAGAAACTCCAATCGCCCTACCCCATAAAGCAAATAAGGCTCTGGAAGTAATGTTGGGCAACCTTTTTCGCGTTTTGGTCGCGAAATGTCGGGGGGAGGGGGAGGGGGGGGGGGGGCAGGGTAACCCTAGTCTTTTTAGAGCTAAGTGTTAGATAGAGCGAGACTACATGGGAATGAAACGCACCTCACAATTAATACATGCTGCGTATAACACATCCATACAGTTGAATGTAAACTTATCTAAAACGCCCCAAGTTTCTTCATCCAGTTTAAAGACTTTATATGTCATTAGAGAGATATTCTAATGTCAATATTATTTGGATAAAGATTCGTTGAGTGAGAAAGTAGCACTTTAATACGGACGGACAATTTGAATAACAAATTATTTACATCTATTAAATTTAGATTCAATATTCATGTAATAAAGATTATTGATAGTCTTTGCAACAAAGTTATTTTCTAAATACCATTCCTGTTTCTTTTTGCATTGAACTTCAGATTCAATTGTCTAAAAAAGGAAGAAAACATATCTTCGTTTGCCAAGGCGATTTCCCAATACAATGATGACATCTGGTTGCCTTGTTTCGGTATCCAGAGTCACACCCAAACATGCTTAAAATCACTGGATGTATACGAGGGACTCAACCCTAGACTACTCGTGGCTAATCCAGCTCATTTTCGTCTCGTATGGGATTTCTGGAGGGAAAGAAAGTTCGGAACTGAACCACTTTCTACCGGTGCGTATTTTCAAACCCATGGGCCCGAATTCACAAAGGAGGTTTTTCAACAAACCTTGGTTTTCGTGCGTCATATGACGCGTATTGACGCGTTTTTACAAACCAGGTTTGTAAAAAAAAAACGCGTAAAAACGCGTCATTATGACGTACATAAAACTCGGTTTGTCGACCAACCTCCTTTGTGAATTCGGGCGATGTTGTTCTTTTTCCATTATTATTATTTGTTTACACCTCTGCCATTGGCTTAATCAATAGCGTATCTAGGGGTGCAAAACAAAAAAAACAAACAAAAAAAACGGAAAAGAGAGTGGGCACAAAAACTCAAAAGAGAGACAGAGGAAGGAAAACTGCTTAGTAATGCTCGAAATTGTACCCTTTATCACTTTGTTGGTGTGGTTCCTTGCGAATTTGTTTTGGTGAAATGCCAAAGATTCCGTTTTTGAGAATTAAAAATACATAATATCAGCCGCTCCGTAGTTTTGCTCCCTCGCTTACAAAGAAGCGTACTAGATAGGGGGGGGGGGGGGGGGGGGGGGAGCGCATTTCTGGTATTTGTGCGCAACATTTTGTTCTTTTTGTTCAGTTTCTAAAAAAGAAAATCCTTCTTGGGGATATGTTTCTCAGCTCTGACATTTTCATTTTGAATTTTTAAAAAATGAAGGTGAAATAGCGTACTGCACTTACCACCCCCTCCCCTCCCCTCCCTCCAAAGAGACTCACTACAATGTGCGCCATATAGTAAAATGATACCGTACCAGTACCAGTACCAAACCAGATATTTTCAATCAAACTAAATATATATATCTACATAGAAGAGAACACTTCACCTTTAAAAATTCATGTAGCTCTGTACTTTGCATTTTGCTCACTTCAGAACGCCCCCATAATTAGGTTTACCATGCACCCCTCCCTACCCCGTTACATAATCATAACAAATGGGGCATCATTGCAAAAGGTAGGTAAGGGTCTCATACTACAAAAATACAAATAAAATGATGATGACAGGGGCAACAAACTTGATTCCCTCAACGTTTGCCAGATTATAGACAGGAATAATTTATTTTTTAAAATTGATTTATTAGATTATTTTTTGTTACCCAACAGGTTTCTATCTGGTGCATGTAGCACTGAGTGTATGTGAAGAAATACATTTATATGGATTCTGGCCTTTCTCAGCTCAACTGGACCCATCTCCAGGGCAGGTTCATGACATACCCTATCACTACTTTGATAATCTGAAAGTCACCAAGAATCACAACATGAACAAAGAATTCCAGATTCTTCTACAAATGCACAAACACGGTCTTCTACAAATGCATGCTGGAAAATGTTCGTGAAATAACATGAATGTGGTGGTGGTGGTTATTTTACCTGACTGCTAAGAAAGCATAAATGCTTGTAAGTAAGCAACCAGACGGCCGACGGCTTTAGGTCCTCTCCGAGGGACCTGGTAATGAGGATTAATGCCTTACCAAAGGGCACTAGCGCATCGACTTGGTTTCGAACCCGGGTCACCGGATCACGAGACCACTGCTCTACCGACTGAGCTATCGCGCCTCCTCCTTGAATGTTACCTTGATCATATGATCTGTCTCCTATACATTGTTCTTGCCTTATATTGGTGCTTATTCCAATTGTGTTGACAGCATAGTTCACATCACATTTTGCTTTGAGATTCGTTTCCTTTCAAACAAACTGACGATATACGAACTGTCTAACGCTACATGTAATGTAAAAGGCTGATTATAGTTGTATTTTCGTAAATGAAGATGGCCATATGTTTCTGTTTACACCACCCATATCACTTGATGACGTAACACTGCCTTTATTTCTCTTCCTCCTATTGTCAAGGGTAAATATCCACTAGCTGTTCTTGTCGTCATGACGGTGCAATTTAAGCCAGTTCATAGAAACAATCTGCGCATGGGCAGATAAAGGTCATTTGTACCAAAATGTTAAAACCCACAGAGATGAATACTGGATACGCGCTCATAAAAGTTATGTAACATTATTCATTTATGCACCAACGGTACATTCTATGATACGCAGGTGGAAGTATTCTTTTCAAGAGGACGAACAAAAGGTATTCATAAAGCACATCTAGGACTTTGGCAGTTATTATTCCAAGATGCTCAAAGTGGAACTTCTCCATGTGTAAAAGATCTGTGGATATTTGGGGTCATTTGTACCATGTGCTATCTGTAAACTCCCTTATTCAGTCATAATTATGTGGCTTGCTCGCCACGCTTTCTCCCTTTCTTGTTCATAGGTTTTGTATTCCTATATGAGGGTTTCCGACGAAGACCCTACGAGGCATGATATAGTTCGGGAATGAAACAACACTTGACTGTAATGCATAGGCCTAAGCCCCACATTGTTCATAAAATATAGAAAATTGATGATTACAAATTAATAAGGAAATAAAAACGATGGTCAAATTGGAGGTCTCCGTCTATATGCCTGAATTAGAATAGTCTCTCAGCAATTCAGTAACTCTAAATATTGCTCACAATTAATCGGGGAGAGAGAGGGGGAGGGGATGGGGGAGGGGGGGGGGGGTGCAGGGCACATTCAAATAGGAGTCAATCGATCTTGTAGCCGTCAGAAGCCAACACCTAAGCTCACAAGCAAGTTATAGAACGTTCTTGGGAAAAGGGAGTTATTAATGAAGGTGAGGAATCAAGCATCTGCACGAGGAAAAAAAAAACATCATCTTCCATATAGAGCAATTATTATAAGAGAGGATAAATAAAGGCATCGCCGCGCTGAGATTGATATTTGTTGTAAAATTCTACCCTCTAATTTAATGAAAGCAACTATAATCAACCGTATACTATACTTAGTTTAAGTTTGTAAGTATCATCATTGAATCTAAAGATATCATATGCTGCCTTCATCCATAGGAAATGAGTTGTCAATTTTTGTTTCACAAGTGTAGGTGTTCACGTATGATTTAAATTCAAGTATGTTATGGAGCCATTTTTGTTAAATATCTATGAATGATTGATTCAAGTTAATTAGAGGCAACCGTCAACGAATAATGATTTTAATATACCCAATGTTTGTCCAATATACATGTTTATATCAGCTTCTATGTTTTTCGAGCCATAATTATACTCTTTCTAATACATGTGTTTTATGATTTTGTTTGCTTTTATTTAAAAATATTTACTGTGGAACTGGTTTGGAATAGAATGTAATTTTTATTGTATGAGACTTTCTTTGTTTTTATTGATTGGCTTTCTTATTTATTATTCATTGTACAAATGTAAATTACTGAACAGATCATTATTTATTTTAGATGCGATTCTTTGTAGTATTGATATGTTGTATGCAAACATTCCATACTTGTATAGAGGAATGATATGAAACGATTTAATGAAAGGATTTGAGACATTGTGTATAGAGTTATGACAATCAACTGAATTGAGACGTTGTAGAGAAAGTAAATGAAATTTAATCAGGTGCTCCTAGAGAAACCAAAGTTAGTTCTCGCTAATATTTTGTTACTTTTTAAGTGGAAATTATTTTCCGGATGAGTAACCCAAATTTGCCCTTTTTTCGGTCACTAAGCTCCTTCAAATCCCAGGGCTTAATATTGTGGGATCTATCAGGCATTTCTTTTGTTGCTGTTGGGGGGGGGGGGGGTTATCGAAGCTAGAGAAATGATCGGGATTCTGCAGATATAATATAAGCCAATCAGCGTTTTAGGAAAATTACCCCATGGACAATCACCTCCCGGAAAATCCCCCCCCCGATAAAACTACCCCCAGGACAATACCCCCGCCCCCGTGGCCTATAATCCTCGAGGACAAATAACCACCGGAAAATTACACACTAGAACAATCACCCCCCCCCCCGTTGACAATTAACCCCCGAGGACAATTAGCCTACTCCCCACCCCTTAAAATTACCCCCCCCCCCTGTTCACTAAAGGGGAAGCCTACCCTGATAATAAGTTGGTTTTAATAAAGGCCATTTTTCGGGGTTAATTGTACTCGGGGGGGGGGGGGTAATTTTTCGGGGGTAATTGCCACGCTGGTAATTGGCCGGGTGTGATTGCCCAGGGGGTAATTGCCCTAGAACCGCGCATGAGCTTCCTCACCTTATATTATCTCAGAATTGTGATTAGCGCGTATAAGACTATCTTTCACACTTGAATAATCAGTTAATATTGATTATGCGCTAAAGAATTGCGCGATGTTTGGTAGAGAAAATCCTATTTCAGCAAGTCATATAAATGTTGGGTTCGATGCATATACGACTCACAAACTCCATAAAGCTCACAGGCGATGGAAATATCCGGGGTAAATGCTAACATACAATCGAGGACAGTAACACCCTGCATCTTACTTTCGTTTAAACTCAGAAAGTAGTAGGGACTTTTAGATTTGCGTGGACTGATACGTGTGACGTCCATTCAAGGCAGTGCATTAAAAGGACGTCGATCGTAGCATAGACCTATTGTCTTCGTGCGAATCTAAAAGTCCCTATTGTCTCATCTGTATTTACTTCACAACTTATAAATAAAAGCAAAATAATCCTCTCATGATTCTTGTACTTGTTTATCCTCATGTCTTGATTATGTCTTATGGCTGATACAGCCACATCCTTTAAAAATACAAGTGAAACCATAATCAAAGTCACATGACATAATTAATCTTGATTCATTGTAGGGATTTACTTTCACTTAAGATCACTGGTTCACATTCAAATAATAATACTTTGCTATGTACCAGTTAAAGTAAACCAATCATACTACTTTCGAAAGAAAGAGAATAGATTGACCATTAAGCATGGAGTTATCCAACTAAAGCATTACTTTTTGATCTCGTCTATTTTCTCTCATTTCCATCTAAACTTCATTCACCTGTGTTAATTTTAACTCTTAAAGCATATCTGCCGTAGTTTACAGGAGGGATTAGACTGCCCTGCAAGGTCACTGGACAGGTGGTTATCTCATCAACTCAGCTCTCAGTTAACATAAGAAAAAGAGGATCATGGGGGACCAATGGTCACCGATTAGGCATTGTTTGTTATATAGAGGGCGCAAGTAGGTACAAGTAATGCAGTGGGCCTTTAAACATCACTTACCTGTCTTCAGTCTTACCATGTTCTAACTATCTCCCCGATCTGATCCTAACCGATTCTACCAGCTCGTTTGGGTATTTCCTTGAAATTAACTTTACCATGAGAAAGGGGTTAAGAGCTCTGTAAAGTGAGATATAAATTGGTATGAAATCCTATCCTATGCTATCGACAACATTTTTCATTCAATACTGATATTGGTATGCGAACCTGTCGAGTAAGTCAAGTTTCTTTACATTCATTATTCATTACTTGAAAATGTAGATCCAGTTTGTGTGTGATTGTGAGCTATTTACTTCTCAGTCTTGCAGAGTACACTAAAAAGTGCTTGTTTTTTGTTTTATTTGCCAACAATTTTGCAATAAATCAGGGATGTACAGTTATTATAAGCAATGTAGCATGAAACGTGGGAGAGCGAGAATACTTCCGGGTGCTTTTTTAAATATTAAATGCACTTAATCACTATGTAAAGAGAACGACGTGGAGCATTCTAAATCTTTCCCCACAATTGTTTCAAACCTTTTCCGTGTGGGGATGTTGGGATTAATTCAGAAAAATAAAAGGACGTGGACTACAGTGCGTATTAAAAAAGTGTACCCAACTTTGTTAGCTTCTAATAAAGCTACGATCACAATTGTTCGTACGAACGACATACGAACGATGCGTCCGTACGAATTCCAAAGTTCGTAGTGATTCGTAGATGGGGCATAATTTCTTACGTTCTGATTACGGAGTTCGTATAAACGCCGTTTAATTTTTCATTTTTTTCGTATTAAAGAATGCTCTGAGTTCTTCTTACGTCAGATTTATAGCCATCTTATGAGTTTGGGTTCTCGCAAGTTGGTCGTAGGTGTAACTGACGGCATTCTCAAGTCCTTCGTAAGAAAATGTTACCTTTAAAAAAATATATATATATATTGTCGGTTTGCAAAACAAGTGCTGCATAAATGGCATAAATTGTTGCTTACGAACGCCTTACGACTGCCAGGAGTCGTTCGTACGAAGGCCATACGAATCTCCGTTCGTAAGGCGTTCTTACGCCGTAAAAGCCCTCTCTTAAGTACTTGAAACGTTCTTATGATCATCGTAATAATTTGAGGCTTCTAGAATTTTCTCTCGACCCTATGAAATGTACGAAGATCCACGTGGTTCTTACGAAGTTATTACGACGCTCGTCGGCCGCCTTTCGAAGAGGATATTTCGTACGAGGTTGAACAAATCTTGGACAAGACCATCGACCAGTCTGCGAGCTTACGAAGTACGGTCCACGAATGGTCTACGATTGTTGGTTTCTTACGGCCTTCTTAAAAGGTTCTTACGAAATTGTCTGAAAATCGTTCGTACGGCGTTCGTAGCAGTTCGTAGTGGTATTTGTGACCGACCTTTATAAGAGTTATAATCTATGTGACATTGACTCATATTTCAATGTAAGAGATAACGTATACCCTGTCTAATAACACCATATTTATAATTGTGCTGCCAAGAATGATTGTAATTATTTTGTAGAGTTAATAAGACATTTCCAGTTTTTTATAAAAGAAAAGAAAACGACCGAGCAGCCGGCTTTTCAAAAAGTATTGTCTAAACCCTCTTGTTATCTCATTCCAAAAATAATCGCTCATTTAATCACTTTGACTATTAGGTAGTTGAAATGATTAAAATCTTGACCATATGTGCATCCCTTGTTTAAGGTAACCCTTCGCTTGAGTAATACAAAATAGTTACATTTTAACACCACATGTGTTACTACTTGCATTTGGGTTTAGTAACCTTTGAGTTTTCATTAAGCTATTCAAAATAATGAAAGGTTATCCTATTCACATTTAAGCAACGTTCTGTGAAAATCAAGATACATTGCATCATTTTAAACAACGATGCACTGAGGCACGGGGAATAATTTAACTATATACATTTAAGATCAAAGAAACACGTGCAATTAATGGCTGGTGTTAGTCACTTGTGGCAGATTCTTTTTGAATATGGTGCCATTGGATAGAAAACAAGTTACTGTTCATCATGAAATAAATTCCAAAGTCATATTAGTTATGAATTTTCAATTAGGAGCTACCAAAGTTGGGTACAATTTGTGTATACACACTGTATAACTTTAGAACATGGCTTATATGTATGATATTGTTAGTAGTGAGTTGATTTGGGTACACTGTATGTTAAGGCCTGTAATGCCAGTTAGTAGGCCTGGCTGGCTAAGGCGTACCAGCACAATTCATCATCGCTTCATTTCAAGTTGAGATCGTAAGTAATATATGCAAACGACATTATGATTGTTGTTTAGGTTTAATAGGACCCGCTGGAAATAGGCTCATAATCAGCTCTCACGCAGTCTTCCGACAAGGTATGTCTTATTTTATTTTATTCTTATTCAGTTCACATGCTTTATTCATATTCACATGACGAATATTGATGATATTTGATAATCGCTGGTTGTCATGTCGTGGTTCAGTGAATCTCTCTCTTTTTCTCTCTTTCCCTCTCTCTCTTTTCCCCCCTCTCTCTCTCTCTCTCTCTCTCTATCTCACTCCCTCTCTCTCTCTCTTCCTCTCTCTCTCTAGCACCCTCTCTCCCTCCCTCTCTCTCTTTTCAAGTGGATTCAAAGATGTTTACTTTCTTTTGAAATACGAAAGAAATAAGTTGACTCAATAATTGAGACTAGAGTTTTAAGATTGACTTTGGTCAAAGAGATAACGCTCGTGGAATTCAAATCATTTCTATTTTGCACTTAAAACTAGATTTGCAATATTATGATGGAGTTATTATTCTTGGACTTAATTGTCAATCAAACTTAATGACCGTTTGACTGAATAAGTGTACGACTTCCTGAATAACCAAATGTAATTGAATTTGTATTGTATTGTTTTATTGCATTCTTATTGCAGTTTTGTATCAGTGGATTGGGATTTGGATTGCAATTACAATGTTTGTAGGCCTACGCATAATTATGTCTAAAGCCCCACTGCACTACTGTACTTTCGCCCTCTATATAGCAAACAATGCCTATAATCGGTCACCGTTGGTCCCCCATGATCCCCTTTTTCTTATGTTATTTGAGATCTGATTTGGTGAGATAACCGCCTGTCAGTGACCACGCTGGGTGGTCTAATCCCTCCAGGCCAAAGTAGTACAGACGGGCTTAAGGAAAATATCTTCAGTAATTGATCATACCTGACACGAATTTCGGTACCAAATAGAATTTCACATTTTTTTTCCAGAATTTTTTTGTTGTTGTCTGCCCTTTAAAAAAAATGACATGTGCCAGGATACATGAAAGACAAATTTTATATTACATGAGTATTGAATCAGACATACGCATGCAATGCTGTTACTTCCTCATTGTATTATACTCAAAACGCATATGAAACCAAAAGTGAAGACGATCCTTGTGGTAAATGCGAGCAATAACTAGCATGATATGGCATTTCGTTAGTATATATAATTATGTAGTATTTAAATAAGATCCTCTTCCTTTCCCAACTAACATCTTTCATTTTCTCACAAGTTTGGTTTAATATCAGGGGAAAATTATTTGATTACCCACTACCAATTTACAAATTAAATTTAATAATCTCAGACCCTAACATAATTCAGATATTTCAGAGAGGGAGAGAGAGAGATATAGATAGAGGGGGAGGGAGGGCTGGGTGAGGTAGAGAGATAGAGGGAAAGGTGATACTAAGAATACTCAATCCCTGTCATATATATCGTTTGATGTGATATTTTTGTATGGAAATTCTTATGGTTGAACGTAATATATATATCTAAAGACATGACTTTGTCACTGTAGGGGTGGGGGGGGGGGGACGTCTTTGTTCTATTATAAACATTTCCGTCTCTAAATTTTGCCAATATTTCTACTATCAACATGTACAGTGTGATATATAAAAATCACAAATACTTTAGTGCCCGAATAAGAGATAATTTTTTTTTAATGTCTGTGTGTTTGTTTGCTTGCCAGTTTGTTCTTTACAAAATACTCAGGGGTGCCACGTACGCCTGTTATATCTGTTAAAGGTACTATGTCCCATTTGCAGGCTAAAAAAATGAAAAAGTTAAATTCCAACTGCATTTGAAAGATAATACTAATTTAGAACTTCCCTAAAAAAGGTGGGGCTTGAAAATGTCTTCAAGTTGGAAAATAACGACTATTAGTTGTCAAATCTACTTTAGGGCTATAGAGCCCAAAAGTAATAGTCTTGATTTCCATTTATAGTACCGAATGGTCATACGTTTTATGCTGCGCAAAGATTCAATCAGTTTGATCTTGGCCATCACAAGAAGTGGGTTATTGATGTAGACAAATGCTCATGTACCCTTTACAACTCTTTTCATGTATGTTAATACCAAAGAAGAAAAAAAGCCAGTCAGTCACTCAATAGTGTCCGACAGTGAAGTCTAGCAAGTAAACAGGTTTTCTTGCATAATTTGAATATAAGGACACTGCTAACGTTTAAATCTCACAGATAGGACAAACATGACATATTCATAATTCCTGCAAAGTTCTACAGAATTTGAGGTTGGCTGCAAAAGGGACATAGTACCTTTAATATGTAACAAGTTAATTTTCGAATATAATTGTAATTATTCATGATATTATTATTGTTTTCATTATGATCATGCTACCGCAGTAGATATCTTGATTTTGTTTCACATTCTTTAGTTTGGAAGCTTGACCGAGAGATAAGCAGTCCATCATGGTATCTATCTCTTCACATATATCAGGTATAGTAATTGTCATTTACTAGACTTGTCTAATCTTACTTGATTACTGGAACGTCAGAATAAGCTGTCGAAAGCAACTAGGCCTTTACAAGTTGAATGAGTGTTATCATTAACGTATAATGGTCAGATATTCCTACTACATGCTTCATGTTAATGGAATAAAAGGCCTCTGAGAAAATGTGCATTGTTAGCACGGTTTTTATAACACTACAGTCTATTGGCGAAAATGAGTATGGTAAAATCGGTCACTCAAAGATAATTACTTTTTGAGGCACTTCATGATCATTTTGAAGCGTAGTTTTTTTTAGGGCTTCAATATTACACCATATCATCACAGACACTGATAACACGTATGGCCATGCATCTCAGATTTGTAAAACTGGAAACACTGTTAAACAATATTTGACGTTCATGTCCTCCTTTAATCACGTGCTTATGGGGTTTCGATATAACTATATTCATATTAAACTTTCCCCCTGTCCACACACAACATTTTCCGTGATTAGCTATACCGTTTCGCGATAGTGATACCGTTTCGCGATAGTTTTACGATGAAATTGTGTGTGTGGACGCTCACTAACGATACGTCGTATAACGAAACTAGTCTAACGAAACGCAGGTTTGGGCATCGTTTCGAACTGAAACTCAATAAATCACGCCTAATCACGAAAATGTTGTGTGTGGACAGGGGGAGAGTAACTAGTGTAACTAACTGGGCGGGGCTTAACGTGACCTCGAGCGAAAGGAGACCAGACTGTAGAGTTTCAGGATTACTTTCTTCTGTTTATGGACATCCTTGAATTTATACGATGATTATTCATATGAAGTTTCTTGTGTGTGGACACTTTGAAATTTATACTATGATTCTTTATACGACGTTTCGTTATAGAGTTTCGGGATAAATTGTTTTGTGTGTGGACACGCTGTTTATGTGTTTCATTAAATCTGTGATTAAGCTGTCAAATAATCTGGAATCAAATCACGTTTGGGTGCTGGGACCCGTTTCACAAAGCCCTTTTTCAATGACAAATGACAAAATTCAATGACAAATCTGCTGATAACCAATCAGAAGCAAGGATTTCAGTAGCTTATAACAAAAACTGTCATTTGTCACTGATGACAAGTTTTGTGAAACTGGGCCCTGGTCTGACTCTAATTTGACAGTCAAACGCAATTCCATAAATCTAAAGCAGAGCCTAGCTAGCTGTAATCTCTGGCCCTGAGCAGCTACAATACAGAGCCTATGATGTTCAGTAGACCGTGTAGTTGACATAGTCTCTTATTTCAGACTCTGCCATGTACTATATAGTTATGACTTACAATGGTTTGAGTCTGCATGCAAACTATATACACCTGTCTACAAAGGCCACATTTGTTGCTTTCCTTGAAAATGGTTTCTCATTGAATCATGTACTAAAGGAACCTGTCTACAAAGACCACCTGTCTATGAATGGCCACTTTTTGTGTTTCCCTTGGGCGGTCGCTATAGACAGGTTTGACTGTAGTTGGCTTCAACCGATTGATTTAGATGTATTTCATCTATTTTTACCGTACAGGCTTGCAATTAACAACCATTGCCGTATGCCTACTGTGTGTCATCATCATTACGTTACTATGGTGCGTGTGGTAAGTACATGTATGTCCGTGTTATATCATGCTTAAAATCGCTCTGTCACATTCTGACATTCCGACATTACGAGCTCTCACTGCGAAATGATATATCTGGATAGATCAAGAAGTAGGAGCAAAGTCACTATGAACATGACTGACAAAGAAAGCGGACAAAATATACAGTTCCTCAGTTAGACAAAGGAACATCCCTTCACTGCTATTATGTAAAAATGTGTAGAACAGGTGTCACATGCATATTCACCTGTTCTACACATTTTTACATAATAGTGAAGGGATGTCTACCTGATCTGAGGAACTGTATATTTTGTCCGCTTTCTTTGTCAGTGATGTTCATAGTGAGTGTAACCCCTAGGTCGTATCAGGAATGGGGAAGAGTATTTCTTCATATCTACGATGGTGAGAGCCCCAAATATTCACAGTGTCTTGTCAGCTTGAGTCTATGGCGATCTCATTATGTCTCTATTACGGTCTTATGGCGTCCTCATATGCGACCGACGCGAAAGACCAGGGAAAGTAATTTGGGAATTATCGGGGAGACTCTGGAGATCCAGCAAATACAGCTTATCGGACATGACATTTTTACTTTTTTGTGTGTTTTAAAAAAAAATATTAGATTGCACATAGGCAGAGCTAAAGTTGAGCGTAATGGACATTACACTTTTGTCCACTTTTTTTTTATAGAATTTTATATGTTTGCTTTAGATTGCTCATTGATTTGGTTATATAAACCTTTTATATTTAGTCTTTGCTACATTCACTGCAATAAAATACCAAAAATTGAATTTCACATGCTTTTAGCTTGAAATGATGAGAACTAATAACAGGATTCGACCTTTTGACCAAAATCATTGTTGCCAAGTTTTGCCCCCGGCAAAAGTGAGATTTTAAGATAATTATACGTAGGCCTACACGAACTTCAAAATATCGATAAACGAATCAAATGCAGCTTTTTCTACTATTTCTTTCGATATTATCATTAAGCTTGAAAAGGTAGCCCAAATATTCCTGGACTTATCGCCGATTTATGATTGTTTTTTTTATTTTCCTTGGAATTGCCCATGCCAAGCAGATTAGATATAGCGCCACCTACTACAATCGGATAATCGTCAGAGTGCTATTTCACAAAAGTGCAAATGTTAGATTCAAGAAAACAACATTCACAAATTCTTCTTTAAAGCCCCATTGTCCTACTTGTAGCTACTTGCTCCCTCTATATAGAAAACTTCCCCAATCGGTGCCTGTTGATCCCCCATGATCCTCTTTTTCTTATGTTAGTTGAGAGCTGAGTTAATGAGATAGCCACCTGTCAGTGACCTCGCTGTGTGGTCTAATCCCTTCTGGCCCAGTAGTATTGATGGTCTTTAAAAAAAACCTCATATTCGTCACGTTTCACGACGCTTGTAGCCTTTTTTTGTATACTATGGATATAGCCGAGCGGCTAAACTAACCAGCGCTCATCAAGCAGGTTAGTACCGGGCTAGGATTCGAACCTCGTACCTTGTGATCTACAGTCTGTTGACTTTTTCAGTAGACCAACAACTTCTCGTAGGCTTATCTTCTTAAATGAAAACGAAAACAAAATACAAAATATAATTGATAAAGATTGATATAAAAATTTATTGACGGATGGGGTTCTGTTCAAGTGGATGGCATTATTTCCTGATACATTGCACTTCAGTATTAACACACGGGCAACTATTTTAAGTTCGTGCGAAATCAATTCCGAGTGCAAAACTGGATCAAAGTACATGTCAAACAAAATGGCCTATATTCAAACCGCCTCCGAATCATCCGATGAAACCTTGTTTGTTTGTTCGTTTGTTTTTATTTCCGAAATCCATATACACATACAAGTTTTAAAAAAACACACATATAAAACACATTTCAAACGATAAGAAAATAAGTAAATGTGTAAAGTATAGACAAACGGTTGGATAGCCCATACATTTAATTCTTGCCTAATCTTTCTCAATTTTTGCCTAGTCTTTCTCAGTCTCATCGGTGCGACCAGGATATAAATGGAAACATTATAGATTAACATGGTTAACATAAAAAGTTAAATAGAACATACACACACACACACATATATATATATATATATATATACAAATAGGTTAGAAGGCGAGAAATCCAAACAAGCCCTAATTTAGAAGAAGAATGCGAACAGAAAAAGAATTAGATGAAAAACAAATCAGTTGTATTTGTTTGCTATTGAAAGTCAAACATGATATTACAAATATTATAAACTGCTTTTGAAATTATAGTAAGTTGGTTTATAATTATAGTTAATGCCCTTCCGGATCCAAACAGAGATTGATTTGAACCCAGAAACTTTTTATACACTGCACCTCTTCTTTTATATATTGCTCTTTGTTTTCCAACCTGGTCAATGAAAACCTATAACTTGCATGACAATCAAATAATATGAAATAATGCAACAATCTCCTTAAACATTCAGGCCATTAACCATGAGGTAATTATATTTGATCGTGGGAAATATGATTACGGAAATGTGTGTAATATGTAACAATCTCCTTAAACATTCAGGCCATTAACCATTAAGGTAATTATATTTGATCGTGGGAAATATGATTACGGAAATGTGTGTAATATGTAAATCTATTTATAAGTGTACAACTTAAATGACTTATTTGATCAGTCGAAGAGAAGTACCACTTATTCAGACGACTCGGTAACTATGGTAACTCTGATTTATTCTTACAAAAAAAGGATAAAACGACACCGGAAACCAAGACGAAGGCAGAGTAAAATCGATATGGAGTATGCTGTCAAGTTTACTTATCCGCGAAGACTGACTCACTCTAAAACGGGTAACGGGGATGCAATCACAGTGACTGGTATGTATCACTTTGAAAACCGCTTCCTCTAAAAAGGCATTTTTTTATTAAAATGCCTTGATGTCTGATACTTTATTTATTGCCATACAATTAATAATATTTTGTAAACTTGCAAACATTGTTGATTAACATGTAGTTGTTAAGCTTCTACCAACCTTAAATTTGTTATACAAGCTTTCGTCCACTCCTGTGGATTTTCTCAAGTTAAGTGATCAGTCTGAGTCACATGTTTGCTTCGCTGCACTGCCTGGTGTCCTGTGATCACTGGATCAAAGATCGGTAACAATAGGTACCCAGAGTCCCTGTTTAGTGATGGCTTAATTCTCTTAATCCATATGGACTCTTTCACCTTTCTTGCCCAGAAGTTACTTTCAAAGTCTATTATGAGGGCATCCTCCCATGCAATGTTATGTCCTGTATTGAAGGCGTGTTCAGCTAATGCTGAATGGGATGGGTTGCTCAATCTGAGGGCTCGTTTTGTGTTATTTTAGACGCTCATTAAGAGTTCTGCCAGTTTCCCCAACATATGAATTGTTACAGTCTGTGCACGTAATCTTGTATACAATATCTGTCTTTTCCTCTCTTGGGATTTTGTCTTTTGGGTGGACCAACCATTGTGTTAGGGCTGCTGAAGGCAACACTGGTGTCCTTGTCTTGGAATGCTCGTTTCAGACGAGAGGATGTAGTGTTGACAAAAGGCGAACTACTCTGTTGTTCACTTCTTCCTTTCCCCCCCTTTTTTTTTGGGGGGGGGGGGGGTCTTAGTTCTTATTCTGTTCTTCGCTCTTTGTCTCATCCATGCTGGGTATCCACAAGACATAAGCGCCTTGTCAATATGTTGGAATTAACTCTGTAGTGCATCATTGTCCGAGGTTACATTTTGAGCTCTCAGATACAATGAGCTAGCAACTCCAACCTTTGTGCTGAGGGGGTGGTCTGATTCGAAGTTCAAATAAGAATCATGCCCCCACCTCCCTAGGATATGGTGGAGGTACGTTGATGACACCTTTGTTATCATTGATCATCAGCATATTGACGAATTTACTAATTACATCAATAGCATCGACCAAAACATAAAGTTCACCGTTGAGGAAGAGGTTCAAAGGTCACTGAACTTCCTGGACACAAAGGTCTTTGACCTGTCAGATTCCATCGCCGTGTACAGGAAACCAACCCACACTGATTCTTATTTGAACTTCGAATCGGACCACCCCCTCAGCACAAAGGTTGGAGTTGCTAGCTCATTGTATCTGAGAGCTCAAAATGTACCCTCGGACAATGATGCACTACAGAGTGAATTCCAACATATTGACAAGGCGCGTATGTCTTGTGGATATCCAGCATTGGATGAGACAAAGAGCGAAGGACAAAATAAGAAATAAGATCCCCCTCCCCACCCAAAGGAAAAGGAAGAAGTGAACAACAGAGTATAGTTCTTCCTTTTGTCAACACTATATCCTCTCGCCTGAAACGAGCATTCCAAGACAAGGACATCAGTGTTGCCTTCAAAAGCTCTAACACACTAAGAAGTAGGTTGGTCCACCCAAAAGAGAAAATCTCAGGAGAGGAAAAGACAGGTATTGTGTACAAGATTACGTGCACAGACTGTAACAATTCTTATGTTGGGGAAACTGGCAGAACTCTTAATGAGCGTCTAAAAGATTACAAAAGAGCCCTCAGATTGAGCAACCCATCCCATTCAGCATTAGCTGAACACGCCCTCAACACAGGACATAACATTGGATGGGAGGATGCCCTCATAATAGACTTTGAAAGTAACTTCTGGGCAAGAAAGGTGAAAGAGCCCATGTGGATTAAGAGAATTAAGCCATCACTAAACAGGGACTCTGGGTACCTATTGTCACCGATCTTTGGTCCAGTGATCACAGGACACCAGGCAGTGCAGCGAAGCAAACGTGTGACTCAGACTGATCACTTACTTTGAGAAAGTCCACAGGAGTGGACAAAAGCTTGCATAACAAAATTAAGGTTGGTAGAAGCTTAGAAACTACATGTTATCATTATCCCCCAACTGATGATAGTTTTCTGTATCATTATTGATTTATATTATTTGTTCCATTGTTACACTCTTGTAATACCTTGTTACCTCCACGGAGATTATAGTCTAGGCGTAAAACGGAGGGATACATGATGTATCTATTAATAACTATTAAATGAAGCCACCTTGTGTATAGTTAGCTAATCCCGTTGTTATGCTATCACATTGAATATTACACGATGCAGACAAAACTGCGGGGATTGTATGTATCACCCAGAGCACTCCGAAGGTTGAACCACGGTCTGACAGCCTGAGACCAGCCCACTCTCATCCTCCAATGGATGCAGCCGGTTCTCAGGAAACACAGGTCCTCGACTTCAAGCATAGGGAGGAGGAGCCATCACCGGGTTGTCAGGGAGATGAGCAGAGAAAGGAGGATGTTGCTGAGGTCGACGAGATGAAGAGGGAGGATGAATCAAAAGGCTTCAATCATCAAGAAGACATGGAGTCCTGTGGACATACAGAAGAAGCTACCATCGGTCCTGTATCAGTCGAGGAGTTCGCAGACCATGTCAAGATAATGAAAGATGACAGTACAACTTTCGACGATGAATGGGCCGTAAGTTATCTTCAACTCAGAATAACCAGAATGAATGGGCACATTAGTTAAATATATACATGCGTGTGGTGCGCTTTAATGATTCTGTTAACACTAGATCATATGTTTCCCCTTACCTCTTGTAAGTATAGGTACATACTTGGGTTGCATTTTGGTTGAATTTGCCATGATAATGGAAAACCAAGAGACTTGATCAAATTATTTTTAATTTTCATTTCATTCATTTGTCGAACGAACATAACTGATTTGCCCATCACACAAATTAAACGCTTCGACATGTTCTTAATAAGTTTATAGAGAGAGGGAGAGAGAACTGCGTCATAAGATTTATAATCTGTTGTCATGTTTAATTTTACAGCGACTATACGACCACAGATACAAGTTACAGACCTTTGCAATGATGGAAGCAAACTTCAAGAAGAACCGCTACAAAAACATTCTTCCTTGTGAGTCAACAACTTTTCTACCGAAATCCTAACATGTAATTTATCATCGTTAAAGAGTTTGTTACTCAGGTAGAACTGTTTTTGTATTTGTGTTTAAATTAGAAAATTAGAAAAATGCTCGTACGTTAATGATCTTTAAGGGAATTAAGTTGAGAAAGTTGTAGCACAAACTTATCTCTATACGTTATCAATAACACACAAATCTTTATTCTTCATGTCTTAAGTTTTTACTCAATCTCGTTTATTTATTCGATATCAATGATCTGATTAATCATATGCTTATTTGAAGATGACCACGCTCGAGTGATTCTAGACCTGATCGGTGATGACCCTCACAGTGATTACGTCAATGCTAGTTACATCCAGGTAAGTGAGGGCTCTTAAAAAAACACATGCCATTTAAAATATGAGATAAAGATAACATGTAAAAAGTTGATGTATCTTTAGCAAAGTGTTTTATTGAGGTGAAAAGGGTCTTTATATCTTTCTGGTTTGATCCCGCTAACAAACAAGAATATGTGTCTTCTTTATAGGGAAATGAAGTGCATATGCAATGCCGGTGGTCAGGAACGGTTCTATGATAACTGTTTTATTTAGGGGGGGGGGCTTGGGGTTAGGGTGTCTTGCATTCATTTTCTACACGTGCCTCGCCTTTTTTTTGGGGGGGGGGGGGATGGAGTTGAAATGTTTTTGTTTGTGGGGGAGACCTCGACACCGCAGCTTGAGCCGCCCAAAATCCCTCAAGAACCACTAATGATGCCTGTTGCACACGAGGTACATTATCAATACATATATTATACATTTTATTATCAATAACCTTTTTAAATATTTGTTTGCAGAGTTTCTCAAAGGAAAATACCTACATCGCATCACAGGGTAAGCAAAGCGAGAGAAGGTTGAGTTCTGGGAAGAAGTGAAAAATATTTGTTAGCGTATTATCATTTTTATTATGAAAGTGTGGAAGAACATCAGATAAAACATGTTTCCTGAAAAACATGGCTCTTCAAATGCCTTCATATTCTAAATATGTCATGTAACATCGTAAAATCGGGACGAATTCTTACGCCACGTATTCGTGTTGTCCCATATACATCTTTCTGTGTACAGTGTTTGTAACTTTACCCAAGCTTGGCCAAATTTCTTATCATTTTGATGGTTCCAGAACCTTGCAATACACACGAATACTTATATGCTAGATGATAAACCTTTTCTGGTCGATTCCACACCATTTCTCTCACAATGCAATCGCATGACCGGAACTCAACTTCATCTTTAAGAAGTATAAAACAAGTCATGTGGTTTGATTGAAAAAGTGCAATCTTTAAAGTTATGGACCAAAATGCAAAAGGAATAACCCACTTCAAGGAGGATGCTCTACCCTCCATCAGAATGATGCAGCCCCATGTTGGTTCTCACATCATATAAGCTTACTAGCTTGTTTTTTTAAATACTTGCACTGGACTTAGCATATTTTACTGTAAATCAATAAGTGCTTTGTCCACACACCACTCCAGCAATTAATGTCACTCATTGTGGTTACTCGCCTCACCTACCATCCCAGTATAGCTTCCTGAGTGAGCTGCCAAAGGGATTACCCAACCAAGTACCAAGTACCACATTATTAGAAAAAGATAACACCGTATTGTAGAGTTGCGTAATGTCTGAACACTTCTTCAAACTTTCCCCAAAGCTTTATGAGTTAATTACCAAACTAAAGTACGAACTTGTAATTGTTATAGTTGTGGAATTGAATTAATGAAAAAGTCCCAATGCGTGAAGTACAACCTTAGCATGTTTATAAATCCCAACTGCCCTAAATCATCGTTTGATTTTAAATGTTTGACTAGAGATAGCTGGTGTAAAGTTGTCAAAATGTTATAGGGAAGTTTAACATTTATTTCCACGTTTAAAAACAATCTTTTAAATATGACAGTGTGACATGTAACACGAAGTCCATCCTGGCATCAAGTTTATTGAAGAAGGTGCAGAAGTATAAAAGTTCAAAGAAACCCAATATGGGAAAAGTTCTGAAACGTGGACGTTAATATGGGTAGATCAAACACAAATTGATCACTCTGTGACTTCGCTTGAGATCATTTTCCTCTTAAATTTTCATCAGGTATTCATAGATTTAAGTTTTTCTACCAACAAAAATAAATTATTTTTTCTATAGACAAGCCTTTTTTTTTGCTTCAACGATTAGAAATCCAGAATTTTCGGACATCCTATGTTCATTATGCTTTAAACCTTCACTAACACATTTCTATCATTTCGTCCTTGTTTTCACGAAGTGACGGTAGTGAGGAAAATCGTAATGCAAAGTGAATGCATTTTTTTTTCACTACCGTCACTTCGTGAAAACAGCGACGATTTATTGTTGTTGTTGTTGTTGGTGGTGGTGGTGTTGTTGATGCTGCTTATGTTATTAGAGCCACGTTGATATCTATGCTCTTCTCCCGTTATAACCAGAAAATTTAGACAATTAATTTTGTTATCATAATACACTACAGAATATTTTTTTGTGGGGCGGGGGTGGGTAACAAACATTCATGACTTCAAGGTCCCCGAGAATGTGTCGCATACAACTATAGAGATATCAGCTCCGCCCAATAAAATTTCTCTCTTCCCCCCCTCTCTCTCTCTCTCTCTCTTCCTCTCTCTCTCTCTCTCTCTTCCTCTCTCTCTCTCTCTCTCTGTCTATCTCTCTCTCTTTCTGTCTTTCTATCTATCTAGGACCTAATGTGACGTCAATAGCTGATTTTTGGAGGATGGTTTGGCAGAAAGAGGTGGAAACTATTATCATGGCAACCAATCTGGTAGACAAGGGCAAGGTAACATGTGCATTATCTTAAGTATTATCCTTTCTTCCTCATTGTAGTCCATATGCATTCACATTGATTCTTAACCTATATATATATATATATATATATATATATATATATATATATAAATCATAATTGTCAGCAATCTCTCTCTCTCTCTCTCTCCCTCCCTCACTCTCGCTACCTAAATACGGGCTGAGATCATGAACGGTTTTTCCAATCACCCCTTCAAATTCACTACTGATGGTTATTACGTTGATATGATTTGATTCAGATAGCATAAAGCATGTCTTGGCACTGAATTACAAAAGAAAAAGGAAACAAACATATAATTATATTACCCTGATATAGTAATTGTATTGAGGATCATGTTGTGCCATAAATTATATCAATTTAGCTATTACAGATATGTGATATTGTCTTTTGTTTGTTGATGTATTCGATTTCATATTTTCACCACTTTTGAATGCATTTACGTAATTGTGTGAACTGCAATACCATTTCGCGGCTCAAATCAAAATTCGGTAGTTTACGCACTCATAATAAGGACTTTTAGATTCTGCACGACGAGAACACAGACTGCCCTTTTAAGGCAATGTGACGTCATTGCCAGTGTCTTAAAAGGACGTCACATTGCCTTAAAAGGGCAGTCCACGTTCTCGTCGTGCAGAATCTAAAAGTCCCTATTATTTGTCGTAAAAGACTAAATCTTACAGATACAATGTTTGTCGTTACAGATCAAATGTGAGAAATACTGGCCTGATCAGGGTGAGGAGATGTATTTTGAGGACATAGTAGTGACGTGTGAAGCTGAGGTTCATGGCATACATGACGCCAGACGATCGCTTGTTCTTCACAAGGTATATCACTAAAACAGAATTTTATTCCAAGTCACTATGAACATTACGGATAAAGAAAGAGGACAACATATACAGTTCCTCATTCTACCCTCAACAATTGCTGTGGTAGACAAATGAACATCCCTGTTCTACACAATTTTACATAATAGCAGTGAAGGGATGTTCCTTTATCTACCACAGCAATTGTTGAGGGTAGAACGAGGAACTGTACATTTTGTTCTCTTTCTTTGTCCGTCATGTTCATAGTGAGTCCTTCCTAAAGAATTCAGGAACAATACTCGTTCGTATTGCTAATCCTGTGATAACATGCAGGGCCTCCATGTGCATGATGATTCAAACGCTATAATCTGATAAATAAGTGACAGATTTCTTCTCCTGTAGTATATTTTCTCCTCTACTTTAATCCTCCCCCGTCTATCTCTCGCTGTCACTCTCTTTCTCTCTCTCTCTCTCTTCAATTTTTGCTTTTAATTTTCCCTTTAATTTTCCCTCCTATCTTCACCCAATCTTTCGGTTTCTACTTTCTTTGTTTATACACTTTTACAATTGTGCTGTAACTTCCCCCCCCTAAAATGAGAAGACTAAAGCCGCCATCACAGCAAACTTGTTCTCAATACGTTCTGGAAAATGTTGCCAAAACGGGCTCAAACTGTGTGCGAATGGAGTTGAAAGTAGTAGCAACTGTTTACGATCTGTTTAAGAACTTCATGGACAGGCTCAGACTGGCTGTACAGGAGACTGCTCTAGAACTTTAAGCCTGTTCAAACTTGTCCCCGTCCTGCAATTAGACGGAGCGACAACGTACTTAAAATAAAAAGGAAGTACTACAAACAGACTGATTGCCGTACTATGAACGGAATCGCCGTACTTCGATCCTACTTGGAACGTGTTACAACGTGCTGTGGTCGAACATCAATTAGCAGCAGCTATAATTATGCCCCCTTCGTACCAGACTAGTTCTCACTACGTCCCGGAACCGTCCTAGAAAATCCTTTAAAAAAGGGTAATGGTCGGGTTAGAATGTGTAAATAATGTGTATAATACGAATCTCAATACTTCCATCTCGTCTGTACCCCGTTCACAGTCAGTTCACATCAAGTTCAGATCGGGTAGATTTGCCATTTCCAAGCAGTCCAAGCCCGTCCGTAGAGTTCTTAAATAGATCGTAAACAATTGCTTCTACGTTCACTCTGTTCGCGCACAGTTTGAGCACATTTGGCAACATTTTACAGACCCAAGTGAGAACTAGTTTGGTGTGATGGGGGCTTCACTTGAATGTGTTGATTTGCACAGTTTGAATCGTTGAAGTTGAACGGGACTAATGAATGGCAAGAACGCGCTGGGGTCTTATAACCATTGAGCCAGGACGTGCTTCCACACGCTTTAGGAGCGCGTTCGAACGCACTAAAAGCGAGATGAGGACGAGCTGAACTATCTCTGAACTTGTTAGAATGGGTTTGGTCGTATTCGGAACGAGTTAGAACTAGTTAATAAATCAGAAGCGGATCTAGAGGGGGGGTTGGGGGGGGGGGGGGTTGCAACCCCCCCCCCCCCCCCAAAAAAAAAAAAAATCCGGGGACCATTTTTTTAAATCTTATCTTTTTTTTAAAACTTGTAATCTTATTTTATTCTATTTCTATGTATTTATTTCATTTATTATTATTATTATTATTATTATTATTATTATTATTGTTATTATTATTTCTTTTTGGGGGGAGGGGGGGGGGGGTTGGGCGAACAAATGTCACAGAGTCCCTTGCCCCCCCCCCCCCATCAGCTTTTTTGAGGACACGGGCCACCGCCGAAGTGACAAGCTAGGCCAGCGTTGCCGATTCTCATCCCCAAAATCCCCACATTAAAAAAAAATATAAAAAAATTGGGGGATTGTTGAAGTCTTTGGGGATGAAAAATAAATATTTGGGAATGAAAATAATATTGAGTTTTATGAAAAACGAATTTGGGGATTTTCTGTCAAAATTTGGTAACTTTGGGGATATTTTAAGTGTCGTTTGGGTGGGGATTTTGTGAAGATTTAACCTGGCAACGCACGCTGAGCTGGGCTGCTCATTTCCTGGATTACTTGTTCAAGTTGCTCACTTTTTTATCAGTCTGGTCTGAGTGTAGTGACAAGCAATATGGAAGCAAACAGGGCAAAGAAGTTGCGGCAATCCAGTCTCGCATCTTTTTTTTACTGGAAGGTATGTTTGAATCATGCAAAAAAGTTGGCATACAGGGTAAATTACCATACATGGGGGTATAATACGGACGTGTTGTAATACTACAATTTGAGTAAATAAAACACATCCAGCGCCCACGCTTCGCGGGGAAACAGGCGCGGATCTACGGGGGGGGGGGGGGGGGTTTAGGGGTTTAAACCCCTCCCTTGGGCGGCCCAAAAAACAAACCAAAAAAAAAAGGGGGGGGGGGGAAAGGAAAAAAAAAAAGAAAAGAAAGAAAAAAGAACGCACGCTGGAGAGAAACCCTTTCAAGTGCAAATATTGTGAGAAGATATTCAACTCATCTGGTAACTTAACCAAACACATGATAACTCTGGATATAACTGTGTATTTAACTGTTACTTGATTTAAAAAGACGTTATCATGCACTGCTTTTTATGGTCTCCATTGTGTTTAATAGATGCCAGGAAAACATCACTTACGGGGTTCAAATAAACACCAAAAAAAAAAAAAAACGTGGTGAGAACTAGTTTGATGTGATGGGGGCTTTAGCTAACAATACATCTCATTGTAAGCACCAGTTTAAAAAAAAAAAAAAATCCCGTTTGCATACTCGGGAATGGAGAGAAAATTCAAGCATCAAGAGATAATTGAATACTAGCATGTTGTTCAAGTTTATGTCACTGCCCCCATACATCAGTATAACAAATGTGCTTTCACCCCTACCCTTCCCCATCCTCATCGCCTTTGCTGTCACTATGAATATGACGGACAAAGAAAGAGGACAAAATATACAGTTCCTCAGGTAGACAAAGGAACATCCCTTCACTGCTACTATGTAAAAATGAGTAAAACAGGTGGATATGCATGTGACACCTGTTCTACACATTTTTAGATAATAGCAGAGAAGGGATGTTCCTTTATCTACCTGAGGAACTGCACATTTTGTCCTCTTTCTTTGTCCGTCATGTTCATAGTGTGTATCTTCTTTAACACATACTATATAGGACGAGGAGGTTCGTTGCTTGGATCACTTTCATTTCACTCGGTGGCCAGATAAAGGAGTGCCTAGGAACGTATCCGTACTACTCAGATTCATCCAAGAGGTCAATCAGTCACGTGATGATAAATCTACACCTCTATTGGTTCATTGCAGGTACATCATCAGGAGCATATACAACATATTATTTCATTTGAGAATATGGCTTGAGAAAGAGAATGAATGTAGGGTAACCATTAATATTGTGTGCATTGAGAGATGTGTTTCCTGGGGGGTGTTTCACAAAACTTGTCATCAGTGACAAATTACAGTTTTTGTTATAAGCTACTGAAATCCTTGCTTCTGATTGGTTATCAGCAGATTTTTCACTGATTTTTGTCATTTGTCATTGAAAAAAGGCTTTGTGAAACGGGTCCCAGGAGTTACGACTTTAGAAGTTACATGGAGATTTCTATACTGAACGACAGGAGAATGACAAATACTGTCATAAATATGATCGTGTGACATTTGAGTAATGCTTGTAAGCTTGATGATACTGTAAAAGAAAAGTGCCTATTTGTTCGCTAACCTTGAAAAGGTTGACATTCATTTTCAGGGGATAATTCCTCTATGCTCATTGCTAAAATAGAACTGGGAGTGTTTCACAAAGGTCCTAAGTTGGACTAAACAATTATGGAAAGCCGTTAGCATCTTTGAAGATATTTAAAAAAAAACTTATTTTAAAAGGCATAACATGTTGTTCCAAATCATTCATATTTTCTAACATCAAGGAGCTTTCATCTTCTTGAAGTGGAATTCATGAAAAATCTAAAATGCTCTAATTTTTGCTTTTAAATATATTTGATTAAAAAAAATGGATCTCTCAGTGTTAAAGTCCGAGTTAGTTTCGACTTATGATCTTTGGGAAACATCCCCCAACCTGGTGTTATAGTGAGATAGTTATTATCTGTTTATCCCTAGTGCTGGCGTGGGTCGTACAGGAGTGGTGATCGCATTGGATAATGAGATGCAAAGAGCCAAACAAACTGGATTTGTTGATATCTTCAACTTCGTTCGAGCGATGAGACAACGCAGACCGCAAATGGTTCAAACACCTGTAAGTAGCCAATAGCAGACATATGTGTCCCAGTTGTTTTGATTTCACGAACGCATATCCTTAATTCTTCTTTCAACTACATATACGTAATACATTAATCAGTTTATAATGTGTGCGATTCTGTGTATGTAGATTTTCTTTTTTCTGGTCTTTCTTCCTGTTTGTTGTTTTCATGATTATATTTACATTTGCTCGAATAACCAATCGTTAAACCGTGTTGTGTTATTCTTTAGGAACAGTATGAATTCATCCATGACGCCATGTTGGAATTTCTTGTCGGCCATGACACTATGATACCACGTGATCGATTCATCGAACATTTCGCTGACTTGCGGACCAAATCAGATCAAGATGTCACCTTGACTAAACTAGACCAAGAATTTGAGGTACAGTAATACGGACATTGACTTTGAGAAGACTGGGTGAAAGCGAATATTTTCTTTACAAGTGAAACTTTTTCTAGGAAGTCTAACATTCAAAAGTATTGTCCTAATGGCGGACTGATGAATTCTAATAGGGCAGGATAAGGAGAGCTGAGGTTTTTGTTTTCCGTTCGTTACTGTGCCATGGACCAGTGATGGCTCAGCAATAGAGTCGCTGCCCGGCAAGCAGAAGATGGCAGGTTCAAAACCCGCTTGATCCAAGATTTTTTCTGACTTGTTTTCTATTACCAGATTTCTTTACAACAATTGAAATTTCTCCCAGGAAGCTTAACATTATCGGCGTTGTCATATAGGTTTCTAGATTCATAAATCTTATAAAATAAAACAAATTAATAGAAATTGTACATGAAAGGAAACCAAAACCTTCATACTAAGTTACTTTTATTGTAAAGTTTAAGATGTTTGAAAAATATCAGTGAAAATTTGAACAAAATCGGGCAAGGATTAAGGAAGTAAGAGCTTTTTTAAATTACTAGTCACTAGAGGGCGGTATTCAATTTGATGACATCATCTGTAAATAACTCTCCATGCCTTTTGTACATCAAATTTCATGTTTTTCCTTCTTTCTTGTGATTGAGATAATGTACTCCCCTGAAAGCAAGATATAGAATGCAAAATGATATTCTACTTCACATGTTATGAAGTCGGATCAAGAACACAAATAAATATGAAGAAAACAAAAAAAATTGTGAAATTTTATGTACAAAAGGCATGGAGAGTTGTTCAGAGATGATGTCATCAAATTGAATACCGCCCTCTAGTGACTAGTAATTTAAAAAAGCTCCTAGGCGTTGTGGCGTGCGCCTGTAATCCAGCTAAAAAGTGGAAGTTACAAACTGATTCAGCCGAGGACGCAGGTTCGAAACTGAGTCACGTCTTTCGGATGGTGACGTTTAAAGGTCGGTCCCAGACGTAAATAATCATATCTGATTGATACACGTCTGTAAAAACCCAATACACACACACACACACACACACACTCTTACTTCCTTTATTCCTTGCCCGATTTTGTTCAATTTTTCACTGATATTTTTCAAATATCTTAAACTTTACAATAAAAGTAACTTAGTATAAAGGTTTTGGTTTCCTTTAAGATCTGTCTTTTATGAAGAGTAGGTCGTTATTGACTGTTTTAGATGAAAATAATGCTCGAAGTGGGGGAAGAATATAAGAAGGAAGAAAGGTCGAAAATAATGAAGAAATAGAAAGGCCATGTCATTGTAGAAAACTGGAACAAACTGATGGAGCAATCAACGTAATATAAATTCAATATTTCACAGGTGCATGCCTGTGAAGGCGTAATGTCGAGAAACCAACTGGGGTTGACAATTAGAAGAGATTCAAATATTAACTTTGGGCCACTATGAATCATGCCCTTAGATGACGTAGGGGCGGATCTAGCTTTTTGCCAAGAGAGGGGTTCGACCCAGTGGCGGATCCAGGATTTTCCCCAAATCGCGCCGTTATACTGTTTTACTCCCCCCCCCCCCTTTTTTCCCCCTTTTTTCTTTTTTCCTTCACTTGGCTGCCCAAGGGGGGGGGGGGGGATGAACCGCCGAACCCCCATAGCACCCTAGATCCGCCCCTGGGCTACTAATTACCACGTTTAGTAAACTACTGCTATACTGTCATGGGGCCTAACTCTAAGTTTTCTCTCTTCTAGATCATGAACAAAGTTTGTCATGAGCCACCGATGGACGCCACCAACGTTGGAAAACTGGAAGAAAACGCATCAAAGAATCGCTACCAAAACGTCTTGCCTCGTAAATATAATTTCAAACATGGTTTTAGTCATAGACATCAATCACCGGGGACGGGGGCAGTACCCCGCCCCCACTGGTTACATTGTGTACATAACTCACCCCACCCCCGGACTCATAATTTGTTCATTCTGAAATCCTAATTTTTACGGTTTCCCAGGCCTCTTTTAATTTCCTTATTTTGTTCTTTCTTTGTAATTATCTTCTTTGCTGTTGAGAATAATTGAATTGAATATCAGAACAAGGTATACATACTCGTCTAAATAGCAATCAGGAGAACACACTGTAGTTCCCGTAGCCAGACACATTTGTTTTTACATTTGAATGCAATAAAATGTCATTGAGATTTGATGAATAGATGCGTGAAACAAGGTCATAATTCAGCACGTTTTCCTATAGATAGAAGGGCGGTGAATTACATTATCTTGTATATGTTTAAAATGTTTTTGAAAATATGAGTTTATGGTTGATCGATTTCTAGATTTAAAATAATGATTTTGAATAATCACTGATTCAATTTCGTCAATCGAGATTAACTGTTGTTTGTATTAGTGATATTTCAAACATTTGAACTATTTCTTAATGTTTAGGAGATACACATCGGCCTCTGTTAATATCCTTCAGTACTGATACATCCACCCAGTATATCAACGCAACATTCTGTCAGGTAATTTTCTTTTCGACATCATTTAATAATAAGAAGGGAAACATATCTAAGTAATATCATACACTTTTAATATTTCCTTCCTTGTCAACGCTAAGTGAGTGAATATAATTACAGATATTGGAAGGGAAACATTGTCATATGTCCTTGTAGGCTTATTTTTCGGTATTTCATTTTTTTAATTAAAAATGAAAACTTTAAAATGTGTCTCACCCCAGGGGGGGGGGGGGGGCTATACTTGCGAGTGTGCTTTATAGTGACAATTTTTTGTGAATTATACATATTATTTAGCGAGGTCGCCTTCAGACTCAAACAAAATAAAAAGTTGCATGGCTATATAAACTAAAGTGAACTGTACTAAAGTGATGGGATTAGGCAGTGCTAAATGATTATTTAGATTTTTTTTCCGTCATGTTTGGGGAATGGTACGGCCCCTTTCAGCATTTGCTTCCTTATTAAGAGAGGGAGATGAGAGGGAGAAACAGAGGCAGATGGGAAGGGGAATGAAGTTTAATTCAAATAGAGCTTAGATTATTATTACTGTCAGTTCTCGTTTTTATGAAGAAATGGAAAACGCACATTAATCACATGCTATGTAGATCAGGAGGTTTCAATCTCGTATTGAATTATCGTATCGTATCGTATTGAATCGTATATTATCGTATTGAATCGTATCGTATCGTATCGAATCGTATATTATCGTATCGTATTGAATTTTACTTGTATAGTATGTAAGAATGGAAAGTGAATATCTTTCAGGGCTACAAAGATCGTGAAAAGATAATCACAACACAGATGCCTCTATCACAGACTGTTACTGACTTTCTTCGACTGATATACGACTACCGTATCAGTACCATCGTCATGCTCAACGATCTCTCCAAAGAAGATGTGAGTAAATATTTCATCTTTCATTGTCCTACTTTACATTACCCCTCCCCCTCGATTTAACTCTCGTGTAATAAAGATCAAGATGAAGAAATAGAACAGAGACTGTACATGCTACTAAAATGCAACTTACAACTGTAAGCTAATTCTCAGATGGTAGAGATGCAGACATTTTGAGCATATGGTTGTTTTAAAGAATAGCCTATCCATCAGACAGTATAGTCTCCTGTCATTACCTCTCTTTACCAATGTTTATATGCGCAATTGGTAATTGAAAGCGGTTTATTTGAAACCAAAGTATATAGGTCGAGGTGATATCAGTCAAAATTGTAAAGTATGTTCTGTAATCTTTCTACCACTGGGGTTCCCCATGCTATCATCAACGCAGAAATTTAAAGTGTCTTCCTTTATCTTTTCAATCACGGAACGAATTCAACTGAACTGCCACGTATTGACTTTTTTTCGGTATGAGAATAATGTCTAATCTGCATGCGGTATATTAACCAATGGTGTTTTGACAGGCTTCTTCTATTTACTGGGATGAGGCCAATCCAAACATCAAGCAACCTTTCTCCATGAATGTACTGGACACAGTGGAATCTGAGCATTGGACAGAACGTACATTGGAACTCAAACACAGAAAGGTATGTATTTGGCTTTCATAATCACACTTCTCAAACTTGAGTAATATTCTAGGTATCAAAATACGTCAAAGTATGATACAAATGATACGGACGATCCATATACCATGAATTATACAAGGTGGAGGATTAACAAAAAGATTTGTAAACTAGCCTTTCTTTCTTTCAATTGTTGTTATTAAGAAAGTAATAATCTGAAACATAATATTACATGGTGTGTGACTTAAAGTAAACCATCCTACAGACCGAGTCGTTTGCTGGTCTCTCCATTTATGCATTTTTGCTACAAAATATTTTATTACTAAAACTTACGAAAATTGAGATTTACAAAAATATTAACTAATGTGAAGGACAACAGTATTATCACTATAAGTTGGAATTTCTCATTATATGAATGTCTTAAATTAGTTCTTTATTTTCACGTCAATACGATAGAACACAAGAATCATCCAACATTTCCAGTTCTTATCATGGAAGGAAGTGGACTCAGTAGACTTCTACCAAACATTACTTGACTTCATGAACAATGTAACGAGCCAGCAAGGGGGCGATAGCCCAGTCCTTGTACACTGTCTGTAAGTATCAATCTCACTGACTAATTCCCGATTAGCATCTTCCTAAATAAAGATTTACACTGTGTTACGCTTAAAGTTGTTTTTAATTTTGAATAACGATAAACTAAAACTTAAGGGCATAGATTTCTGCCTCATAGATGTCGTACTGTACTTCTGGAAAGAGGATCTATATGTCGGCCTATAATAATAATAATGATGATAATAATAGATCACATTTATAACGTCCCTGATACGTTGTTTCTAGGCGCAGTGGTGATGTTGTCCCAGCAGTCATTAAGTGAAGCGCTGTCCTATACAAAATTAATTTTAAATCAATTTGTTTGAATATCCATTTCCAATGAACAAACTACAGGAATGGCGTTGGACGGACAGGAGTGTTCTGTGTAGTCAAGATGTGTCTAGATCAACTGGAGGTTGAAGACGCAGTCGATGTTTTTCAGATCGTGAAGGCTCTGAGACATGACAACTTCCAGATGATACAGAGTTTGGTAAGTTGAGCATTTCTTTTGTTCTAATTTCAATTTAATAGATTTTCAAGGCTTCAATTTGGTTATCATTTTTAATCATGACATTATACTGAAATATCATTTTGGCAAAGTTAGAGAAACGACAACGAGCACATCTTATAAGAATATGAGTTTGTGATTCAAAATATCGTGGATGGCTGGTTCAGAATATTGCCACATAATTTTGTACGCGTAAATATTTACAAGCATCTCGGGCTTGTTGACTTGCTCATGATTTATCTAAAATTGGAATGCTTTATTCAGGGAGTTTCTTTCATTTTGTTTCACTATCTTTTAGGAGGATTATAAGTTGTGCTACCGCATTTTGAATCATCTGATGGCGATGTCACAAGAGAACACTCTACAATCCGGTCAGGAGTTTGACATGGAAAAGGATGACGGTCTATCGGAGAGTGTATCGACAAGAACGGGTGATGAAGACTGTGAAGATGTTGAAATTGATCCCATTGAGTACTACGCTCATAACGACGATGATATACAGGATGAAGACGCGGATGAAAAGGAAGGATTACATGACCTCGAGAAATCTCTAACAAGAGATCTTCACCTTTCCGAGTTCGATGAGGTGACCATTACTAAGCTCTAGTAGTCTTATCACAACAGTTCCGATTCCTTATTGTCAAAGGGAAATGATTTTATGTGTTAATTTTGTGTATGTTTGTTCATGGAGCTACTACTAAATAGTTCCATGGTTTGTTTAACGTTCGATCGCGTCTCTTGACCAACCTTTAAGACCTTATTGTCAGACGAACCCTGCTTCGAACCCAGACCATTTAGTAGGCAGATTGGAGAGCAGATTCCTAAACGCTTCTAGAATAATTTTTAAAAACATCCTATCAAGGTTCTAGGCCTATGATTGGTCAACAACTGCAGACAAGAATTCAACACTGATCGCTGGGCAATATAGCAAAACATATTGAGCGGGCATAGTTCTATTTACGCGTACATTCCAATGACGCAATATATGCACTTGAAATTAGTATTAAATACGCTTAGTATTTCTTTCAGATTGGTAATAAAATTGCCCTATATTAATAGGTGCATTTACACTGTAACCAAAAATCGTCGATATTTTCTTACATTCTGGTGTTTCGCCGGTAGCTGTATGCAACTAGACGAAAAATCGAAATCGAAAAATCCACCTATGTAGTGTGGACTTTTGAAACGCTTGCCGAAGTTTCACGGATTTTTGCAGTGTAAATGCAAACTTCGGTAAGATACCGATTTTTGCTCACGTGACTCTTCTCGCTTCTGTGCTAACGTACATACGCAAGCAGGACACCGACGAATAGTGCATACGCACTACTCACACCGAATTCGGTATGAGCAAACTTCGACGGTTTTTAATGGGTTTTTCGAAAAGGTGATTGGGGTGTGTAAATGTGCCTACTGAATACATTTTGAACGGGGTATTTTGTCAAAACTGTGCACCTCAAAGCAGCCACTCTTTCACTGCTTTGAGAGGCGTGTAGCGGATGGGGATATATCGGGGACGCGTGATCGACTTTCAAAGAAGATTAATATGTAGAGTGGATAATTAACATGAGGCTATTAATATGGATATTTAACACTATGTAATTCATGCTATGAAGTGATATATCTCAAAATGTCTTGAAGATTGTATTTCAGTTTGTAGGCATGTTATTTGTACTCTGTAATACAGGCAACAAACTGTCTTACAATCAAAAAGTCTGGATGTAGGATTAGGTTGACGAAAACTTCAATGTTTTGTCTAGTAAGAATGAAATGTGAAATATAAGGTAATGATGTAAGAACTTGTTAGAAGGAATTATGCACTATGGATGAAGTGAATTATGAACAACAATAAACACAATCATATAGGGTAGGTGTGGGAATTGGAGACCCTTAATTTGCATAATTTACATAAACATGAAAATGGTTACACATGCAGAAAGTTTTGTATTCTCTTCAGTAACTTCTTCTCTTTATTTGGTAACAAAATTGTGGTCATGATGTAACTGATTAATAAGATAACAAAGATTAATTACGTCATCAACAAAGATCTCTCATTACCTACATGTGTAGGTAATAAGGGACAGTTAAAAATCAAGACATTTTAAATACAATTTGAATGAAAATGGGATTGTTATACTTAGTTCAAACACTTTTTGAAAGAGATATATGCAGCCAATGAACTTACTGTAATTTTGAAGCGATTTTAAAACAATGCGGCAAAAAATATTTTTTAGTTTGTTGTTTACAGTAATAAAGGTGCTTTAAATTATGTTTAAAAACTTTCAGAATAATGTTCTGGCAATGTGACTTTTACATTGATCAAACTCACAGCATAGCAACAACTTTTAAAAATGAAATGCATTCAAATTAGAATGGTGACAAGAACAATCAAATATGTTTCATGATAGTGCATTTTAACATTAAATGAACAACTGGGGGAAAGTAGGCCCCCATCTTAGACATGGTGTCCCCCATTACCTTCACACATTTCTGATCAGACACCATTCATAATGTGCATTGTAACACACAATGGCCGTACGTTTTCTGTGATGGTTGGCATACTTCATAAACTTCCTTTTGAAATTACTTTTTAAGAGCCACCCCTATATACAGTCAGTGAAAATTTTACGATCAAAAATGATTATCTTGGTCAACTCTGCCAATTTTCTCGGAGAAAGAACGCATTGTAGTCTTCGAAACGAATTTTATATATGCAGTAGTGTTGTTTAAGGCCACATATGGCGCTATAGCAATATTGGAGCCAACACAGACAGACAGTGATGGGTTCAAGCTTGGTGGTCTCCAATTCCCTACGGTCTCCGATCCCCTACACCTACCCTAAGCGTTTTTTTAGAAACAGATATGAGCACCCCCGACATCTTAGCCGCACATTTCTAATCATTAGTTTCGATAATGTATATGATTATGGTTTGCTCGCAATAATTCACCCGTTAGGAATGCTAATGTTGATGTACTTTTCTGTATATGCGAATTTGCTTGTTTTTGTTTATGTTTAGAATAAAAATTGTAATTTTCTATCCCGATTAAGGAAATATATCACCAAAACCATTCTCTATGAGCAAACACCAAAGGTATTCACAAAAAAAGAAAATATTAGTTTCTTAATGTCATGTTGGCCTATTAGTAGTGAATGTAGAATGGTTGTAGAAATTTGAAGAACATTACATTTTAAATTCATGATGATTTTGCAATAAATTCTATGCACTATAAAATCCATATTAAAACCATGTTCATGCGATTTTTTGTTATCGAGTATACATCAGGTACATGATTCCCTCGCCTCATCTCACCTCTCTCTCTCTCTCTCTCTCTCACTCGCTCTTTCTATCACACAAACACACACACACATACACACAAACGCCCATTCGTCTTCTCTCCGTTTGTCTGACTCTCTTTCTCTTTATCTCCTTTGTATTGTAGTTATCATAGACATATCTTCTGTTATCCCCGAAAAAAGGGCATCCAAATAAATGATGGTTCTCACCCCCTAGAACTGGAAAGTTACACAGATTATACAATATTATGCTTCTAAGAGTATTTGAATATCTTCCAGAAACAATCGGCAAATGGTGACATCTAAATCGATTCGAAAAGAATATCAATCAAGTATCTCTAAAAATTGTAATATGTATGCTTGAATATGCGATGATTTAGGGAATTAAATTTTCAAAGATAAAATATGCGACAGATCCTATGGTATGTTTACGTCACTGTGAACTTCACATCTAAGAGGAAATTACAATGATGAAATCGAATCCCTATTCCGTGTGTCATCTTACCCGCCCTTATTTTTGACGTTATGGCGTCACACCAGTGACGTAATCAACGAATAATTTTGAGGGGGCTGAACTAGTTTTTTCCTTACTACCAGGAGCGCAAAACACACTGGTCTATCTCATTTTGCAAGGTCGAACATTGTTATTGCTTTTTAACTTTTCACGAAGACCTCTAGCGTTCAAAGATATAAAATGAAAACAAAATCATGATATTGAATTTTATATATGAATTCTTTGTTAATATTTTAATATAAAGTAACATCATTATTTTATTTTTTAGTTCATATAGGAAGTCCTTTTATAACTAACCATGTAAAAGGTATGACAAGGGTGATGAAAAATAATACAGATAGCTTCCTCTTTCCATGTCCGATCAGTTAACTAAATTATTTCTTTTTAGTAGGAAAAAGTTGCAGTTTCCTTTTTCTTCGATCTTCCCGCTTTAATTTCTGGGTATATTTCGATAATTGCGGGTTGTGATGGTGTTTCAGGCGAGACGTCTGATTCGGTGTACTCGCTATCGCTGCGCTCATTCCTTGGTTGCTTGCTAGCTGATGTGCTTTTTGCGCTCGCGATTACTTCGAAATTTGCCCCAGCAGGTGTCGAGCTAGTCCAGAATCTGGCCTATTTGATTTTGATCTCCACCACACCGACGCAATATGCGACCTCAACCCTACTTAAATTACATACTGCCAGCCGAAGATGGCGTGATCTTTAAATTAGGACGAAATGCTTAGACTGGGCTAGTCTAGTTCTGGACCCTATTGATTTTTGTTATTCGCCGACTATTTAAGCGTTAAGCCGAGTGATGGCGCGATCCTTAACCCTAATAAGGCCGGGCTATTTGAAGTCTTAGTAGGGCCGGGGGGGGGGGGGCCATTATGGCCCCCCCTTAAGATCTCGGCCGCGAAGCGGCCAATCGCCGCGAAAATTTGCACGCATGTCAAGTGAAGTGTAAAGAATAATATGATAATTTCAATTTTTTGAAAAACTCACTCATTTGCATATTTATGGTAATTTATGCAAATAAAGTCATAAAAATCACATTTTTACCCATAAATCATATATTATTCATATTTAAGCATTCTTTTTCACTAGATATATTCATTAGACCATTCTGAATAATAATACAACAAAAAATTTGGAAGAGCCACCTTATTTCTTATGTTATCCCTTGTTTTGATAATTTCTTATGTATTTCATTGTTTTTTTAACTTATGTATTTCATTGTTTTTGTTGTTTTATTTCATCTTTTACTACAATTCAACTATTTTGACTCCCAAAACAACCACCTAAACTTTAAACAAGACCCAATAACCCATGTTTGATCTGATTTTAGGAAAAATGACTTTGCCATACGTTTTGTACACAAATCACGAAAATGAGCGATTTTCGGGCTGACATGCAAAGACAAAAGGTCACGTGACCTTGTAACCGTAGGTCCGATTTTCAAAAAAATTATTTTAAAAGTTGCGCAAGACTCGAAAGAAAAAAGTCAGCGAGCGGCGGGGCGCCATCCATATGCGTTCCCGAGCAATCAGAAAAATTGTGGAGGGGGGGGGGGCCATAATGGCCCCCCCCCCCCCCGGCCTTATTAGGGTTAATGACGGCGCGATCCCCGAGAACCGAGCGGTTCTCGGGGATCGCGCCATCACTCGGCTTAACGCTTATATAGTCGGCGAATAACAAAAATCAACAGGGTCCAGAACTAGACTAAGACTGGGCTTGTGAGCGTTTATATGAGTTCGTTGATTACGCCATCTTCGGTGGCTTGAATCATTTGTAGGGAGTATTTAAAGAGCCGGTCAGATTCTGGACTAGAGTCGAGTCTGTCGCGCCTCTGTTGCCGGTAGTAGAGCTCGCGATGCTGCGAATGAAGTCAACTAAGGAAACTATCACACTCTTTAATCGGAACAATAGGTCTATTAACAATAAACGTGACCTGTAGTGAGTAATCACAAATCACAGCGTTGTTCTATATACGCATACAAACAAGCATAAGCTCATAAAAAGAGGAATAGTTGTGTGCCTAATTTCTCCTATTGCTGTAAAAAGGGGCAAAAAGACGGTGTCGTTTAAGTTTTGTCGAATGAACCGACCTTGATCCAACAAGCAAGTATCAACAGAGAAGTCTCGACCACGATATATTTACCTCGATACAGCAGACGACATTTTCACCTTACCAGGGTGACAAGACATTTTTTTACAAAGTAAAGGTGAGATCTTGCGTTTTTCGTTTTCCTTCTTTCTATTTTGGCTAAATTTCCATGTCACTACCACGTCTGTAAAAAGGGACCACTGTGAAGTTTTACTTTTTATCGCTATCTTGCTTTTTCAATTAATTTAATGTGAATATTTAAGAATTTGTGCAACTGTCAAACTTTGTTGAAGAAAGAAAAAGTTAAAAACACTCTGGAATCTCGTGTATTATATAGCGCAAAAATGTATCCACATGGGGGAGAAAAATTACATGTCGCTGTTACAAAAGTTTCAATACTGTTTGAAACTTTAACAAGTTATATTTTATGACTGATATCTAATTTTAAGGGTTGTCATCTCCTTTCGTTTTTTAGATTGTATACGTCGCGAGTATCGAAACAATTATGTATGATTTATTGTCAAATACTTTGATTTGATACATTAAAAGCATCCTTGCTTCGTCATTAAATATTCGTTGGTTTTACTTAATATATTTCCTTTTGGAAAATTATCCAATATTTTGTTGCATCGTTTTTGTTCATATTTTTTTTTGAATGTTTAAATGGAGACAATTGATGAATATGAACGTTGTGAGACAAAGGCAAACTGTATAATATTGTTTAAATTGCTGCGTAGGGGTGTTTACTTGCTATTATCTATTATTTATGTAAAAGAGATATGCCGACGAGAGAGAGAGAGAGAGAGAGATAAATAGAAAGAAAGAAAAAAGACATTTTCACAAGAAGAAACGAATCGACCACTGATACATATATTACAGTGTACATTAATATTGCAGTCATTTTCAAACAATAGCAAATAGTTAATCAATGACTGATGTTTGCGAGGAATTTTCTACATAAGATTGTGAAAGCTATAACCATATGCTTTCATCTTGACGTTATCAATGTCGTGCTCACATCTATAACCTTGTCTATCCATGTACAGTATTCATCGTTTGATTTTCGGGGATCAGTTAGTCTTCAAGAAGACATTTGTCAAGAATGGTCCGATTAAGACCCGTAGTGGCTTTGCTACCTCTTATATTAGTTTCGATTAATGCGTATGATATGAAGAATCCTGAGATCTCCCTCTTGACTACTGGGGGAATCCGATTCGCATACCCAGGTGAGTATACTCTCTCATTCATATTTCACATTAGTAATCCACTATATTAATATGTTATACTTCCATTTCATCAACACTATATTGCTTCAATTAATGGAGGTTATACAAAAATTAGTTAATAATAATGGAAGCTTCCTAAGATACATTCTTTTCCAGCATTATTAATTTTATAAGTATTACTTCTTATATTTAAAAATTCAGATCAGATTCAGATCAGATTCAGATTAATTCAGATCAATTCAGATTAATCTTATTGGTCCATTTGGAAATTCAGTTATTGGCATTATATAAAGCACATGAACAATATACATAAGAAAATAATATACACAGTAGCAAATGTACAATGACATATTTATATGGAAACAGGGATATAAATCGTTTTTACAAAGTGAAATAATTCAAGAAAATAAATGGACTCACAACACTATTGAAAATGTAAGATTGCGTAGAATTCGGAAATAGTATTGTTATTATCTTTTATTATTATTATTTGTATCATTATTATTATCACCATTATAATTATTATTACTAACCTGTATTCATTTTTATTAGACTGAAATTAATTTCATCATTAATTTCTTCATTTTGAAAAAAATTATGATTAGATTTAAATTAATAAAAAATACAATTGCACAATGAAATCATAAAGATACAATTGGCGGTTGTTAGATTCAAAGCTTCTGCATCAAGTGAAGGTATGCTTAAAACTGTTTAATGATGTCCAATGTTCACGCTTGGGATAGTTTATACAACGTTCTTGAATGGGTCCTTTGCATAAAAAGATAATATTTAAAAAGGAAGAATTCCCACATACTACACGAGTGCATGTTCAGTATCTTCTATGAATATCTTTTTTCCTCTGTGGAATGTTACCAACAAAATTCTGGTAAAAGTTTCATTATACTATGAATACAAAAAACAGCCATTTGAAAATCATGTAATAACAAAACATAGGTTTTGGGACGGTTAAAACATAACAGATTTGTTATAGCTAAGATGCAGTTTGTTTGTGTTAATCCACTCACACATTTTAATGATTTAATTGTTCAGATTTCAGGTCAGGCATGTAACCTGAAATATAGTTGTATAAAATTAATCATTTCATTACTTTCTTCATTTTTGAAAATAATAATTAAATTGAAATGAATGCCATTATAATTTCTGACTGTTTTAAACGCTCTATATATAAAAATGAATGTCATGATCGTTATTATTTTCATAATAAGCATTGTGATTAGATTGAAATTAATTTCATTGTCATAATTATGTTTTTATCTTGAATATCTAGATATTTAGACCGTTACATCACCTATCAATTGATTTTTTTCTTTCTAGATGAACCTGGCATTACCCTGGTAGCTTTTCACTATAGCATCAATACACCGCTGTCTGGTGTTAACGTTGGTCAATATAACTATGATGTCACTACTAAAACAGGTAATTATTCAACAAAAGTTATTTTGGTTAGAAAATAAGGATGGCCGACCTTTACTGTTGATTAGTGTGTATTTTGACAGTCTGAGCAAATAACACTTAAATCTCATCTTTTATTTCTTAATTAGAGTTTACAAAATACTTGACACTGCCACCAAGCATGACAAGCGACCATATATACAAGCGTTTTATTTGCATCGGAATTTTGTATTGGATTTCGAGAGGCAAATCTTTGTTAGGGCTCCTCTTTTATGGTCAATTGGTTTATAGTATTTGGTCAGTAATATTCAATCTAGCGCCGGACTCATAATGCCGGTATAAGATTTATTCAGAAAGGTTTTGGGGTGGGGTTGGGGATGGTCAATATAACTAGTGTTCTTTTTGCCGTACATATTAGATTAAAATAAATCAAATTAAACCGGCATTTATGGTTTAAAGTTACATTATTGCAATTTAAAAAATACAGTTGTTTATAAGTAATGTCATGCCTCCTCCCTAAACCTATTGATACCAATACAAATTAAACATTGAAGTATTTGACATGATCCCTCGTAGAATAAACATGTATTATTCGCTTCGTCTTGTTAATTTTGGATACATCTTCATAGTTTTATTAATAAAGTGTATTTATGTTTGTATAACAGGAGCATACTTCGTCCATGAAAATACAGAAGTGGATGTCAAGAAAGGTGATGTGGTGAACTACTGGGTGTATGTGAATTACTATGGCCCTGGCTATCAATTACTTGAACAATCATGGACAGCATCAGGTAAGTGGGAGTGGTTCCTAACTTCACATCCTCTCTATAGGTATATTTGATATGGAAGATTTATAATATGGGCGTTGCTTACAGCGCTTTACCATTCAAAGACAACTCCCGGTAGGTACGTATATATAGATTATGTTAGTACTATACCATTGGCGTGGCTACGAGCTCCTCGGTCAGTTACCGGTAAGTATGTCCTATATTATGATGATTCATGATCGTTTTACCTGTCTGCTAAGAAAGCATGAATGTACTCTGAAGCAAGAAAACCAGGTGACCGACGGCTTTAAGTCCACTCCGAAGGACTTGGTAATAAGGATTAATGCCTTACCAAAGTGCACTAGTGCATAGACTTTATTTCGAACACAGGACCCCCGGTTACGAGACCCCTGCACTACCATTGAGCCACTGAACCTTCTTAGGGGCGTGGTTACGAGCACCTTGGCCAAATATGTAAACATGCAATTATGTACTCCCAGCTCGGTGGCCAGGTCAAAAATTAATTGGTAACATTTTGCTTTGATATTTTTCTTATCATCTTAATTGTCAAGAATCACAATACAATACCAAAACAAGAGGATGTGTGTCTTTAATCGGAAACATAAGGATGTGAAACTCCATTCAAAATTGTTAAAGCAGGGCTCCCACTTAGCCGAGTTGGAACCTCCAGTTGTGGCAAGCTGGCGCGATCTTATGGCAAGCCGTTTTATTATTAATTGATATCAATAAATCAATTCTTGTTATCAAGAAATAATTCTATGTTGTAAAGAAATGGTAATTCTTGATATCAAGAATTCGATTTCGTAGAATTCGATTTCGTGATATCAATAATTGAATTCTTGATATCAAGAAATATGTTTTAATGATGAAAACTGCTTGCCATAAGATCGCGCCAGCTCGCCACAACTCGAGGCTCCAACTCGGCTAAGTGGGAGCCCTGCTTTAGACCCGTGTTGATATATCGCAAAAAGGTTGATCATGTTGATTCAAGTTGGTGAAGTGACACAAATGAAAAAAAACTAGAACTTTACTTTTTAGACTGCTGACTCTGTGTGCATTGTCATCTATTATGTATTTAAAATCAATTTTCAATCTCTCGCTCATTAAATACTTGTATGGACGTTTCACAGATTCTTCTCTTCTAATATTTTTGATATAACCATTGACATGATTGAATTCTGAGTTCCTCCGAAAAAACAGGGTACTCAATAAAATAATTGTTTCTCATTTAGGTTTCAGTTACTAAAACTGCCACATGTTTTCTTTACTTTCAGTATATTTCGATAATTTCATCGTTATTCAATGATTTCAGTGTGTTATGTTAGATATTGACATACCTGAAGGTAACAATATGATGGAAACGCAAAAAGGATGCATTAATTTCTGATACTAAGTTGATGATAACAATAATCGGGGATACTGTAAGGTAATCATGTGCCCCTGCTGCAAAAGGAAAAAAATCAATTCCATGCTACTTCACGTAATTAGTATTATATCTTGAATTTCACACCTTTCTCAGTCAATCCTTGTTGGAACAATTGAAGAAGTATTTCACTGTCTCTCTCTTCCCCCTTCTCCTCTCTCTATACGTCTCTTGTCGTCGTCGTCGGCGTCTTCGTCTTCGTCTTGTTCTAGTTCTTATTCTTCTTCTCCTTGTTCTTGCTTCTTTTTTCTTTCCCTATTTTAATGTTTATCAATCTTTGACCTACCTGTCTGTCCCCATGTCTTTGTCTACACGTCTTTTTTTCCTCCTTTTTTTTTTTACAGAAGCTCCTGCAACCGTATCCCCTGCATCCAACCCTCCTGCAAGCAACCCTCCTGCAAGCAACCGTCCTGCGACCGAATCCCCTGCAACTGAACCCCCTGCAACCAACCCTCGTGCAAGCAACCGTCCTGCGACCAACCCTCCTGCAACCGAACCCCGTGCAACCAACCCTCCTGGAGTCACGAATCCTCCTAAACCAGTCACAGGTAGGGTTTAAGTCATGCTTTCATTTAAGGATACTTGATAATTTTACACCAATGTACTAAAATCCAATAATCTGCCATGTGTCCATCAATTAATGTTAATTAGTGCACACTATGATGATGGTGGTGATTGGTTTACCAGACCGCTAAGAAACCATTATAATGCGTGTGAGTAAACAACCAGGGGAACGACGGCTCTAAGACCTCTCCGAGGGACTTGGTTGCATTACCAAAGGGCACGAGTGCATTGACTTGTTTTCGAACCCGGGACCTCTCTGTTACGAGAACACTGCTTTACCACTGAGCCATCGCGCCTCCATTAAAAGTCACTTCGTGAGAGAGGACACAAGAGTGTGAGGGAGGGTGATACTCTGGCGCCTAGCTTTAAATATCCATGTATGTATGGTCGTAAACGTCAAGAAAAATTAATTGTTTAAACCATGGAACATTGTACAGTGTAGTTTAACATGTAGTGTGTCATTGGCAGGGTCATTTGTGGTCCCTTTTTCAAAAAAAAAAAAAATGAAAACAAGCAGGAAGCAGAAAATATAACAAAATTTGAAGCATTAACAAAATGAATTTCGTTATTACAATAAACAGAAACTGAGAACTATTTTTTTTTTTAACGAGAAACGCCCCTGAAATGACGATGGTATAATCAATTGTATTCTCACATGACCCCATCCCCACCATCGTCAATATTTACCACCTCATATAAAATCGATTCGTACTTGCACATCGTTATTAGTTTAAAGAGAAGCTCTTGAAGAAGTAATAGAGGTAGATTGGTAGTAATTGGCAAAGAACGCCTGAGAAACGCAACTATTTGCTGCTATTAAGTAGACACTGGATATTTAGTATCAACAACGTAAGGGGGGGCTTGATTTGCCTTTTCTGTCTACACATATCAATCATTTAAGTCGAAAGACTCTACTTTGTATCTTTATCATGTCTTGTCAAGTGACTGTGTATAAGCAATGTTCCCATTAATTCGTTTTAGTAGTGACTGTCTAGGTACAATAATCAGCTGATAAAAAATGAGATTAAAAGGTTACAGAAGGCTATTGAAGAAGAAGGCGTAAACAAAGAAATACTAAGAGCACATAGTAGGACCATGGTAAGATAGGGGCTGGCAGAGAGGTACAATTTAGATGGTAAACAATGAAATAAGTAGAGGGTAGGGGTAGAGGTGGCAGTTGGGTAGATAGTCAACTATGACATGATTTGGTTAGGGTTATTAGGGTTATATAGTGCTTGATGACAGATACCGGTCGGGATAGGACACGGTATGGGTGTTAAGTTAATTTTGTTTTACTTGTATCAGAAACTGATACGAACTATTAACACTGTGCGATCATTAACAAACTTCATTTTGGTTGGCTACAACCCCCCTCCCTTCCCCCATCGTGATATCCTTACATCTAATGTTCTATACTACATAAGCTATAGCTATCGCCTCCCTTTCATATCATCCACTCTCCAGCAGACAAGGAACATATTTTCTAATTCCTGACATAATAACAAGTGCAGCTGGTTTACAGAACGGACCTCAAGAAATCCTATATTTGACCCCCTCCCCTCAAAAAAAAATCATGACGAAATGAAACACTCATCCCTTTATTAACTGTTCTCCCTATCCCTATCAAATAACTTTTTTAACGGAAGTTAAAAAAATCTCTTTCTCATGGAACCTTTACCATACATATTTTGCAATCAATTATGCTCTCCTTGCAATCTCTGTCTCTCTATTTGAACTTGCCCAGGGTTTGATATATTTTGGCCAACGTCCTTAGAATTCAACCATATCTTCAAATACGAGAAACGCCCCTTGAATGACGATGATATAAGCACTTGTATTCCCACATGACCCCATCCCCCCACCGCCGTCAATATTTACCACCTCTTATAAAAGCTCTTCGTACTTGCACATCGTTATTAGTTTAAAGAGTAGCTCTTTAAGAAGTAACAGAGGTAGATCGGTAGTAGGCTAATAGGCAAAGAACGCCTGTGAGAAACGCAACTATTTGCTGCTAATAAGTAGACACTGGACATTTAGTATCAACAAGCACAGTATAAACAACAAAAGAACAATCAAATTTTGAAAAGACTTTAGTCACCTCACCTGATTTTCTTCATTTTCAAACTAAAGCAGTTAATTCGCGTTCATATTCGACCTAGTTGTAGTGAAGCCAGAAGATAGGAACGCAGGCTCAAGTGTATACAATTCAAAGTCATTCCGCCACTTTCTACTGGTACATCTCTTCTCTAGAGGCTGTAGTCTATCTGCCTCGTGCCAATACACGAGGCGCCCTTTCCTCCTTTCTTCTAGCATTTTAATCCAGACACATGAGTACGTTACATTCGCATCAATTAAATAATATGTTTTAAAATTCTACCGCCCGAGGACATGCCTGGTTGTTATGTCAGGGAATCAGATATGCAAGTTAGGCAAACTTCACACAAAAGCTACAAAGTAATTTCTAAATAATTGACTTCCTGACTGCATGCCTGGTTGCTAAGTCAGGGAATCAGGCATACAAGTCAAGAAGACATCAAACAAAAGCTACAAAGTCATTTCTTTGGTGTTTATACTATAACTTTAACAAAAGCAGTATTAATCTAAAATGTCAACAGCAACCATAGAAATGAAATCCAATAGGAACCATCAATCAAAGAATGATTTAATTAGTGATGAAAAGACAATGAGGATTTCGTCATCATATTGGTTGGCGTTTGGGCTCGTAGTAGTTGTGACAATAATTGATGCCTATGGTGCTGCGATCCTCACAACTTTGGTATTAACAATGGGAAATGACTATGGTAATGCTGATCCTGTTGTTGGTGAGGAGTTAAGGAAGTCACGTTGATGGATGTGTTGTCTCGATGATTCTTTCACATAATTTTAGTTATTGAGATTAAATAATACTTTATTTAAAGATTAGCATTTGTTATATTTGCCAATGCTGATTACCTCTCTCAACAAAATATTATATCTATTCTATGTCTTCTTTTTTAAATTCATATATTTGTTTATTATCATTTATACTATTCTGCGATAAACGGATGTGGTTAGAATAAAGCTTTGATGAAAAATTTATTTGTTAGGGGGTTTTACTTGTTGCCTCTGTTTGAAATGATGTTTTATGTCATAAAATATTTTATTGATATCGACGCAGTCGCAAACTATCATCCTAAATACCCAATATTAGTTGGACATAATTATAATGGGAGAAAATATCGTTTCCAAATAGCCATATTCGTTAGACATTTATTTATTTATTTATTTATTCAAGTCTTCTTTATACAGGGTGGCCCTTTCAATAACGAGTATTGCTCTTCCAAGGGGCCCTGTCTATACAATTAAAAACATGTAAAACATTGCACATTAATATGGTATACATACAAATAAAACCGATATACAAAGTAACTAAAATTACAACAAGAAATACGAATACAATATATGAAATATTTAAAAAAAAATAAAAAAAAAAAAAAATAAAAAAAAAGTTTAAGAATAAATATTGCAAATGAAAGAAGAAGAAGAAGGAAAAAAAAAAGTGTTTGTCAGAGGGCGTTTTGGATACTGAGAAGCTTGCATTGCCTCTTAAAGGACAATAGGGACACACTAACACGTACATTAGGAGAGAGGTTATTCCACACGAGTGACCCTTGGTAGTGAAGGGATCTTTTGAAATAATCTGTTCGGGGAGTTTTAATGAAGAGTGGAGATTGTGCAGAATGCCTGGTATAAATAGAAATCTTTCTCGGGATAACTATTGGCTTGAGATATAAAGGCGTGAGATTATTTTGAATTTTGTACATATTTAAACAAATTTGGTAATTAATTCTTTGACGTACTGATTGCCAGGAAAGTTCAGTCAACATAGTGATGTGAGGGGTAAAAAAAATCAGCTTTAAGTATGAGTCTTGCAAAACGGTTTTGTAGTTTTTGAATTCTTGAAATATGACACATTGCACTTTGTCCCCAGATAATATTGCAATAATCGATGTGCGGTAAAAACAAACTATTATAAATCATTAACAAAATACGTTTCGGTAAAAGATATTGAATACGTCTGATATAACCAATAGTTCTTGATAACTTATTACATAATGTATTAATGTGGCAGTTCCACCGTAAGCAAGAGTCAATTATCAAACCAAGATATTTAAATTCATTAACCTGTTCGAGTTTGTTGGTGTTTACATACATTTCTAGTTTCTTATTTTTCACTTTAGATTGAGTTCCAATTAACATGCATTTTGTTTTCTTTACATTAAGGGTTAACCGATTATCATCAATCCATGCAAGGATTTTATTCAGTGCTAGCTGTAACTCTTTCTGGACAAGAGAACATGATTTCCCTCGACAAAATATAGCGGTATCGTCAGCGTACACACATAGTTTAAAAGAATTACCAAATTTAATATTACATGCATCATTAATGAATATAGAGAACAATAGAGGCGATATCATACTCCCTTGCGGGACACCTTTCGATATAGGTCTAAAATTGGAAAGACTATCGTTCACCTTAACACATTGTTCACGGTCATGTAAATAATTAGAAAACCAAATAGCCTCTGTTTCTTTTACACCATACGTTGATAATTTAGATAAAAGTAGTTCATGAGAAACAGAATCGAATGCACTTTTCAGATCAATGAAAACAACTCCGGTCACCAAGCCTTCTTCTATGTTACGTAACAAGTATTCATTTACATCAATTAAAACGCTATTTGTTGAGTGCAGTGGGCGAAAGCCAGATTGGAGTGAACTCAATAGTTCATTGTCAATAAAATACTTGTATAGTTGAGAATGTACAGCCTTTTCTAGAATTTTCATTATATGCGGAAGAACCGATATAGGTCTATAGTTAAAAATCTCTTGTTTACTCCCGTTTTTATATAAAGGGGTAACTCTTGCTTTTTTCCATTCTTTCGGAATACAACCTGTACGAAGGGAGGTATTAAAGATATGAGTGATTACTTCACAGATAAAAGCACCCCCTTCTTTCAAGAGGAATGGGTGTAAGGAGTCAAGGCCCGGTGATTTCTTTGTACTTAGACTATTCAGTTCTTTAAACACGTAATCTTCCGTCACATATTTAAACTTGAACGTTTCAAAAGTGCAGTGACTTTCTTCAGACGTATCACTGGATGAATCATCACTTTGAGGTGTAAAATGTTCATTAAACAAATTAGCAACTTTAAACGGTTCAGTTTCTATTTTATCAGTGACTGTATCGTGAATTGCTAACCGATTGTTATTAACAGAGGGGGAAAATTCTCTCAAAGTTTTCCAAGTATTTTTAGAGTTAGATTTATTGATATCGAATTGATGTAGATAATAGTCTTTCTTAAGTTTTTTATTCCAATTATTTAATTTATTCCTAGCAACTTGAAAACGTTTCCAGATGGACATATCATTTTTATCTTTGTTACCATGTTTACCATCAAATCGCTCTTTAAGATAATCTCGTTCTCTTGAGAGAGAAATGTAATCATCAGTTATCCATGGGGAAGGGTTCTGTCGTTGCCTAACGGAAACTATAGGTGCATGCTTATCACAAAGTTTCACAAACAAATTTACAAATATACTCCATTTGCTATCAATATTAGTGGTATCATAAATATCATTCCAATTCAGTAATCCACCTTCATCCAAAAACTTTTCCCGGTCGAAGTTACGAAATGAACGAAACCGTTTGATAGTTGGGGTAGTATGTACTTTCTGAGTTTTAACATCAACGAAGATCAGAGAATGGTCACTAAGTCCCATTGAAACAACATCGTGATTGAAATTGTTTTTCTCCAAAGGCAGTAAAATCAAATCAATACATGTTCTACTCGTATTTGTAATTCTGGTTGGTTCGCTAATAATTTGCTTTAATTGCAGATAGGTGCACATATTTTTCAATTTGGATGAAAGTGGGTTAATAGTAAGCATATTACAATTGAAATCTCCAAGAACAATAATATTCGAATTAAAATGTAAAGCTTTCTCCAACTGAAGTTCTGCTTTAGAAAAGAAATCAGTAGATGAATTTGGAGGCCTGTAAACTATAGCTATTAGATATAATTGTGAGTGTTTTAATCTCACTTCGAACCATAATATCTCAAGATCTTCTTGCTCTAGATCTTTCCTGCGATTATATATCAAATTTGAGTTAATATAACAAGCAACGCCTCCACCAGATGTATTTCTATCATTCCTTTCTACATTGTAACCACCTATATATAGTTCAGAATCTTGGATTGAATCATCTATCCAAGTTTCAGATAAACCAAGTATATCAAAGGGGTTATTATACAACATATCTTTTACATGGTCAAACTTCCCCCTTATGCTACGAATATTCAAATGGGCTACAGTGAAACTTTTTCTATTTAATTCCAATATTCTTGATGTTGGAATTTTATCTAAATGAATATTATTTGGGTTATCGTTAATCTGAAAATTACATGGGGAGAAAATATCATTCCAACTATCACGTTCGTTGAAGTCTGTCACTAGTATTAGATTAAAGTGGTCGATTGAAACGCAATCATTCAGCATGTATGAATGTTATTTTTGTTTACAGGTATCCCATCGCAGTGTAGCAAGTACCCTTGCTATAAATCATGTGACATGTCAACTCCACCTTGCAATGGTCTTATCTTCCAAGAAGAGTTCGATTCTTTAAATCTTGACATCTGGGAGCATGAACTGACTGCTGGAGGAGGAGGGGTATGTTAATTATTACTTTTCAAATGAAAAGTAATCAAATTAATCACACATTCTTTTCAACAATGTAAAAACTGCGTTCATTAGAATGTATTCCCTCTAAATCTTATTCTTAAAAAAGTGAGTTACATTCATTATGCTATAATCTAGTGTAAGAAAATCTAAGAGACAAACGAACACGCCAGCCCATTACTAATAAAGATATCAACATATGACTTGCATTACCTACTTTCTTTCTTTCTGCCTTCCTTTCTTTCTTTTTCTAAGGTTCTTCTGTCTTTATTTTGTATTGGTTTGTTGGTTGTTTTTGGTCGTCTTCGGGGCTTTTAAAGAAAAATCGTATAATTTCTGTATTTATTCACTTCGGACCATCCCCGGTACAGAGGCTCGCTTGTCCTGCTCTCCGCTGATCAGACTGCATGAACAGATTTCAATGAAATATGCTGATGCTGATGGAAAATATCCACGCAAATAAAAGCTATGCTGTACATTAATTTGCTTTGATATTCATTTCTATTTGCAGAACTGGGAATTTCAATATTATACCAAGAACGTGTCAAACAGCTATGTTCGGGATGGAAAACTCTTCATAAAACCAGTATGTATCATCATTACTATCCCGGGTGTTTGTTTGTGTATTTTTAATTTTGTCGATTTTGTTATATATATTTCAATATATCTCAATACTTATATTCGATAAACATTATACTTGGCTATACTTGGGTGTAGAGAATGGAAGCTTAGCTTATTTGTTCCTCTTTACTGTTGCATCCCGTCTCAAGTATGGTTCAAACTTAATTGGATTGTTTCTCCAATACCTTTCTAGGGATGACTTGAATTGGTTAATGGTGGCAGCATTGACTACTTTCTTAGGCAGGGCATTCCAATTGTTTACACTCCTTATTGAGAAACTATACTGCCTAAGTCATGTGTTGAAACGTTGTTTGACAATCAATCATGTCCTCTTGTTGTAGAGCCAGTGGCAAGTTGGAAGAACATTGTAATGCTCTTTTTTTATAAATCCTTTTAAAATGATACGAGAAGCGAATTATACCATGAGGTTAATTGGCTCGGATAGATGTATACGAAACAGGGAAACTATGAAAGCGATAGAACAAAGAATAGGATATTTATAGATTTCTCAGAGTTTAGTTCTTAGATAAAACGGAAAAATTCTCCCAAGGCTGTTCGGTCATGGAGTGTGATTTTATGTATAAAATACCTTTTTAATTCGTTCCACACTAAAACCCGTAAAAAATATCTCTTCAGTTTTAATATAGAAGAGACATTTTCCCAGTAAATTATATTGATTGGTTAATTGATTAAAATGATTGGCTTTCTGTTCTCCATATTAAACAGTGGTATCTTCAGTAAATAATACTGCATGATGCAATAAATGTTAATAGTGCAGCACACTATTTGCACAGATGAATATGGTTATGAATACTAATTTCTTGTTTCGTACACCCCTCTTAATCCTTCTATACCTTCTTTTTATCTCTGTTTATCTCTCATCGTTGATCAGACCCTAACCACCGATAAACTGGGAGAAGGTTCGCTGTCATCTGGAACATTAGACCTTTGGGGTGAGTTCTAAGCTTTAAATCCACCAAGTCATCGAACAATGATGCAGTCGAATACAAAGACAGACAATGAGTGAAGAAATATATTAAATGTTGCTTTATAAATTGAAATTTGGTCAATTGTACATGTATTTTAATGAATCCCAGCATACCTGGGCGAGTCAGCAGTGTATTGTGGGGTTAAACCCCCCCCCTTGGTATTTTTATGTGTGTAAACCCCCTCCCAACCCCCCCCTAAAACCCCCCTCCCCCTTTGGATTTTTTTTGTTTTTTGTTTTTGAATTATTAAAAAAAAAACGGAGCAAAATGTCAAATTTTCAAATTTCAAGACCCCCCCCAAAAAAAGTGTCCTCTTACCCCCCCCCCCCCAACCCGCTTATTCAGCGGCTGGCTGAGTCGTTGCGAAATTTTCGGCCCGATTTATAAATGTTAAACCCCCCCCCCCCCCCCCCCTTGTAAAAATCCTGCGTACGCGCCTGCTATTGGTCAATATTTAGTCACAAGGATTAGAAAAAAATCATGTGAGATATTTTAGAATGCCTGTTCTTATAAATACGATTTTGTTGTTGTTATGATTAAGCTTTTCTTATGATATGGCAAGGATTTGAACCTCAAACATATTGCAATTGTGGAAATATCCTCCTTCATGATAATGAGAAAACTGACAGATTTATATCAAGAAAAGAGGAACAATTCAACCATCAGGTTATGCATTATGTTACTATGTTTACGATATAGGTTCATCCCCAGCTAACTTGTGTACCGGCAATGCATGGTTTGGATGTATGCGACAGGGATCCGATAATAATCTATTGAATCCGATACAGTCTGCTCGTCTGCGTACTGCCGAATCTTTCTCATTCAAGTATGGACGACTGGAGGTCGAGGCTAAGCTACCCACTGGTGATTGGCTTTGGCCAGGTATGACGTCATTGTAATTATATCATTAAATGAAACAGGATAATGATTGTTTTAATTTGATTCCTAAAAAACATTATCGTCGTGGAAAGTCATTGTAACCAATTAGTACGAGTCAGAATGGATCGTGATTGCTTCAAAAACCTGAAAGCTCATAAAAGCCAACATAATCACATTAATAATTGCATGATGGAATAAAAATAACGTAATTAATTTACAATCTAGAGGGATAACATTCTCATGCTGAATGTATCCTACCCTATTTATCGCTGTCGGAAAGATCAAGAAATGTGTGCAGAAGTGGAGGGGCATAAACCTGACCATTTCTTGGCTAGAATTTTTTATTTTTTTATTACAAAAATCACACATGCCACATTGGGTTTCAAAGGGGGCATGTCCCCACATCTTAATCAAACGAATAGTAATCAAATCGTAAGTTGATTTTTTTTAAATTGACTGTTTGTTTGTACAGCTATCTGGCTTTTGCCTAAGCATAACGCATATGGGGAATGGCCTGCCTCTGGAGAAATAGATTTGCTTGAAAGCAGAGGTGAGTATAGGCATACTGTCATGATGAGTAACAATGAATCAACGACTATATAATCAAAATCTACTGTTTTGAAAAAAACTACTAGGCCTACTATTACTACTACTACTACTACTACTAATAATAATAATCGTAAAAATAAAAATAATATTAATAATAATGTTATCAATAATGATATTAATTATAACAATTATAATAAAATTATAATAACAATAACAATGATAATAAATAATAATGATGATAAAAATAAGAATAAAAATGAAAATAAAAATAAAAGTTGTTAACCCGTTGACTACTGAATTATCTAATTCCGATAGACTTAACACAGGGACCACCAGGTATTAGTAAGCAATGGGTTAAGAGGGTGTACTTTCCGCTTTAGTACCACTGAAGGTGCTTAAATGTAATATTATAATAACTCGAGTGTTATCTGAACAAAACAAAACAATATCAGATATAATACAATAATAATTCTTAGTAGCTTTTGGTGAAAAAGATCTGCTTGATACTCGTTTGAAATTTACCAAGACAATTAATGTTTCTTATGTCACTGGGCAGTCTGTTCCACATGACTCGTGCCACATTTCCAAGTGCCAGGTCACAGCAGTGTGTGGTTCGGCCCCGTTCGGCTCGAGGGACTGACTGGTAAAAGAGGGAAATGGCACTGCTTCACGGCAAAAAGATCCTTGATATTGTAAAGGGTCGAAAGGAGGACTTGGGAAGGGTGGCAGAGGGAACTCTGCACTCGTGCAAGGCGATTAATATGCTGTTCTTTCAATTCATTGGCCAGCAAACAATCGCTCATTCCGACCCTCAAATCATATGACATTATAATGTTATATCCTTATAATCCTGAATATTCTGCTGAAAATAACAGTGCATCTTCTCGTTCGTGTAGGCCTATAATCTCGTCGCATCTTTATAAAATATCACAATTAAAACACAATTTAAAAATAAACAGCGCTCACCTTTTCAGGATAAGAAGTTTAGTAGTATGGGTCAAATAGCGCCTATATACCATCAACGTTTTTAAATCGAACGCATAGTAAACCTTCATTCAAAACTAAACAACGAATTTACAAACCCTCCTAACATCTTCAGGAGCGGTATTGAGGAGTGGTTTGAGAACCGGCATCAGACTCTCATATTTAATTCTCTTTAACACAGGAAGCCAGTGGGGTTCTAGGAGTAATGTCATGGATGTATATGTTTCACATGAAGATTGGAGAAATACGTTTCACAAATTTTCATTTCGTTCATTACAATGATGCACTTAGTACGCATAATCTGTTTCTGAGATGATAATAAATATATATAAAAAGGGCGAATTGGGGAGGGACACAAAGATTAAGTGCCCCATTCCCCCCTCCCCTCAGCAAAAACAATGTGATTTACTGTATTTTACTAAAGTAATTGTTTTTTATTGTGATTAGGTAACACTAACCTCAAAGACGCGGATGGTTTGTCAGCTGGAGTAGATCAGGTGGGCTCTACTATGCATTGGGGACCATTCTGGCCTCTTAACGGATATCCAAAGACACACGCAACAAAGTAAGTCTATTATACCAAGGAGGTTAAATCTCCTTGATTATACATGGCATTTAATGGCTCGTTCAGATATAGTTTTTCAGATTTATTTTTGTATGTGTAAATGAACTGCGCGCAGCAATATATGGTCCAACGCGTGTTCATTAATAAGCTCTGTATTATAGGATATAAAAGGCGGTGTCAGGCAGAGGCCAATTATCTAGAAAATAGCTATCTAGATAATATGCTATCTGTCATCAATTATCCCGCGTAAAATCCCGCGAAAAATCTTACAAAGAACTAACAAAATTATCTCTTTTAATATTATGGTTCACCGCTGCATATCTGAACGAGGCCTAAAGGTAGCGGAGTGAAATCTTTTGTCATGCTAAATTACCTCTTTGATTCGTAGTTCGTGTGGTGTGAAATCACGTCTTTGATTTGCTGATATCACTAAAAACATGACGGACAAAGAAAGAGGACAAAATATACAGTTCCTCATTCTACCCTCAACCATTGATGTGGTAGACAAAAGAACATCCCTTCACTGCTATTATCATGTAAAAATGTGTAGAACGGGTGAATATGCATGTGACACCTGTTCTACACATTTTTACATAATAGCAGGGAAGGGATGTTCCTTTGTCTACCTGAGGAACTGTATATTTTGTCCTCTTTCTTTGTCCGTCATATTCATAGTGTATGAATGACTGGACACTGTGAACTGTTGTTTTAATCAGGAATCTCCCTGACGGACAAACCTTTGGATCGGGCTTTCACAAGTACACATTGGACTGGACTCAAGACTCAATGAAGTATGTCATTTGATTTACAGCAATCTATAAAATTCGAATTACTCCTTTCCATGTATTATGTTGGTATGGATATAAACGCCAATCATAATATGCAGATATTTAGCACCTTAATCATGTTATTGGATTCCATTGTAATTATCTTGAAGAGCCATGTAAGTCGGTAAGGCACTTACAGTAGCAAAAATAGTCAAGCTGTAGAATAGTCGTAAATTAATGTTAAAAAATCAAAAAGGAAATTGCAATGTAAATTATTTTGGTGTACAGTTATTGTAAACTTGTTAATTGTAAAGTTTAGAATGAATTCATTGCAATACTAATGATTCTAGTGATTGTGTCATAAAAACTATAGATTCTACGTGGATGATGAGCTTCTATTGAATGTCGATCCTGGTACAGGCTTCTGGGACTTGGGTGAATTTGAAACTGATGCACCAGGCATTGACAATCCATGGACTTACAATCCTAATAAACTCACTCCATTCGATCAAGAGGTACGTTCAGTATAAACTTCTAAGATTACTAAAATAACATTATCGATTGAAATTGCTTTTAATTATCCTATACATCAGATTAGAAATCAAAGTGAAAAAGGGCGATTCGGTTTTTAGGAGGATTTTTGACAATGTGTATCTATAGCAAAATTTATGCAGGTCTTCTTTCCTCTCAATAAACCAGGTCAGTGTAAAAAATAATTTCCCCTATGTTTAACAATATTTTTAACAAGATATTTTCGCCCAATTAAATTTTGATCTGACATCCTCTCCCTTCCCCCATTTAAAACGTTCTAACGACCACTTGGTCCCATGCCTGTCATTTCTTAGATGGAATTATCGTTACCAAAAGAATTAGCATTAATTGATTTGATTGATTTGATTTGATTTGATTTATTTATTTCTGTTTGATTTTCTTTTTCTTTTGCATTCTTACAAATATATAACAAACAAATATTGCAAATTTACACATGACAAAAGAATATATGTAGAATACTCTTTATTTAACAAAAAATATATAGTTCTACTTGATCCTGAACGTAGCTGTAGGAGGAGTCAACTATTTCGGTGATGGGCTGACAAACACCCCTCCTAAACCATGGACTAATGACTCACCTACAGCCTCTAAGGATTTCTGGTCTGGCTATAACGATTGGTATCCTACATGGAATGGCGAGGAAGCAGCTATGCAGGTCAACTATGTTCGTGTGTACGCAGAACCCGGGCAGACAACTTATCACCTCCGTGATCGATAAATAATGTACCATCAAAACCTGCTGTGATCTGTAAAAGAACCATTTTGGAATTCCAATGAAAAAAAGGCAATTTTTAGATGTTTGTGAATATAGCGTGTTCATATAATTTTATACTCTACATAATATTCCAATCAATTACGACGCGTACAGACTTGAGTAGTTTACACGACTACGATAATGACGATACGAAATTATACAAGAGTAAAATTCTTACTTCGTCGTTGACAACCATGTATTAAAATGATACTGATGAAGCCTTCTGGGTAAACAAAATTATTATTATATTTTCATTAAAAACTTCCCTCGAGTCCCTCCACACCTTGATATCACCATCTCTGACTGTCAACGTGCATTTTTAATAATGGTTCCCTTGCTTTGCTTCCTACTAACAGCCTTTTCACACACAGCTAAAATTCTATAAACATGACTAGTATAAACGTGTTTCGAACGTGTTTAAACTAATCACGAGCCTTTCACACACAGAAATTTCGGTGCGATCGTTAATTGTTTCGTGATTAACTACTGCTCGTAAAATGCGCAGTAGTGCCATTGCGCATTGAAGGTCATGTCATGTCAATCAAAGCGCACGCTCCATCCAGTTTAAACACGTTTAAACAAGAATTTCCTTTCACACACAAAATGTCAAGCTCTCTAGATACGAACTTCGTATCTGCAGCCTGCTTTTAGGGGCGTATGGATCGCGACTTCGTGTCTATCCCAACATCGTATAAACGATGTTCACACTGGGAAATTTTGTCTATAAACATGTTTAAAATTTTACGATGATTCTAATCATCACTAGATACGATGAATTTTAGCTGTGTGTGAAAAGGCTGTAAGTAACCCATACTGTGTTATCAATTACTCGAGTATAAACAATGGTTAGTTACATCAGAGTATTGACTATTATCATTGAATTCCATTCATGCTCATGGGTTGATAACGTAGGTAGCCTTCAAATTTACAAATGTATCACCATCTGTAAAGGTGAATATTATGAACGAAAATCAGTGATTTAACAAAGTGAAAATTCATGAATATTTCTGCTCTGTGTGACATATTAACCCTAGCTATAAAGTTCATCTGGTACTTTCAGAATCAATTGGAGATACATATATAATAAAGATTGAAATGAATAATTAATAAATTAACATTTAAACACTATATATAGATCATTTTAGTTTGTCTGTCTGGTTGTTGTATGATCTGGGCCCCATAACACAAATCTAAGTTAGCGATTTGATCGTATGATTGTTTTTTTTGGCGATCGATTGCATTAAATACTATGTGCAATGAATTACACAAATCAATCGTACGAATAATTGCAAAGCTGTGTTTTACGGGGCCCAACATGCCAATATTCTGCTGGGCTTAGGTTACTATTGGTCAATGAGCCTACGAATCGAAGCAAAAACAAGAAACAGGTGGGAGAAAAGGGAGAAGACAAAGAGGGGGAGAACAGAGAGAACATAAAGAGAGAGAGAGAGAGAAAGAGAGAGAGAGGGGGAGGGGTAAGAGACAGATAGAACACAAAGACAGAGAGGGGGAGGGAGAGAGGGGCAAGAGGACAGATAGAACACAAAGAGAGAGAGAGAGAGATAGAGAGAGAGAAAGAGAGAGAGAGAGAGAGGTGTGGGAGAACGATGGAAAACAAAGAGAGAGGGAAAGAGGGGTGGGAGAACCGAGGAAACACAAAGACATGCAAAGAGAGAGAGAGGGAGAAAGAGAGAGAAGTTGAAGAACAGAGAGAACACAATGAGACAGATTTCTAAATAAATGACTAAATTCACTTAATTTACATATTATTTCAATCACACTCACCCATTCTCCGTCACCTGAATCTTCTATATTTATGCGAGTAGCGTCGTGCATTAATCTGCATAATTGAATTGACGCAAGAGGTCAAATAAATACCATGTTTCTTGTACGATACTATACCACGGAACGATGAAATACATATTTATGACGCTCTCATCCAATCATAATGCCGCCTACTTTGCTGATTCCGTCTTCAAATGATCTAAAAGAGGTGGAGCCTAACGACATTCTCGTAATGATTTCTACGCGTAAAGCTTTCCATTCATTTACAAAATAATATACGGAATGAGTCAGAAAAAATGTCCCACTTTTTAAAAGTTGTATTGTTTGAAGTATGAACATTTAATCATGAGTTTCAAGATATTATATGTCTTGATATGGTTATCCTCTCAGTATATTTAGGTACAATTTTAATCTTAATCTCTGCATGCATGACTGAACATCAGACAATCTTTACAAGACTACCAGATCTCACTTGCGCCAAGTTACTGGGTGAGAAATAAAACAGTGCATTGAACAAAGACAGTCAGACACACACACGCACGCACACACACACGCACACAAAGTCAAACGCGCACAAAAAATACACGAAAATTATGAAAAATCCAGTTAATCCTAGTCTCTGTCTAATCTATAGAGTCTAGATGATGGGTCTATGTAGGCCTACAGGTAGTCAAAACCACATTAATTGTAAAAGAGGACGTACATAACAATTATAAAAATTGTACTGCCGCTTCTTGTCCAATGCTAGCTTGTTAGAGACAAAGTTTATTTGTGGTGCTGAATGAGATTGTGAGTATTCTGACGATGCAGTCTCTTCTTTGTGTTGTACCGACACGAGAGCTGCAGTACTACTTGGTCTCGGTCCTGGTCTCGGTCCTGGTCCTAGACTAGTATTACTAATAATAGCGGGATGAATGCTAGCAGAAGTGGATGGTGCTGTAGATGGGATTTCATCACTCATTTATGAAGGGCCAGGCGCGGATCCAGGGGGGGGGGCCGAGCGTGCCTTGGCCCCCCCCCCCCGCAAAAAAAAAAAAAAAAAAAAAGAGAGAGAGAGAAGAAAGGAAAAGAAGGGAAAGGGAAAGAGAAGAGAAAGGGAAAGAGAGAAGAGGAAGAAGAAAAGAAAAGGGGGAAGAAAAAGATCGGGGGCCGAAAGGGCCTTACCTCCCAGGCTGTTGCCCCCCCCCCCCCAATCACAAAAATAAGAGAGAAGGAAGGAAAGGGAAAGAAAAAAGAAAAGGGGGAGATACTGGCGAACTGATAGGGGGTAGGGGGCTTGTGGGAAATCAAATTTAAACGTGGTTTATTTCTAATTCCATAACGGTAGATTACAAATAATGCTGAAATGACATAATTTCAGAGATTTTTCCTCACTTTTTAGTAAATTATACGTTTTTATGTGACAAATTCCTAAATTTACAGCCAGGCAAGAAATGTGATTCTTGAGATTCCTACATGTCAGGGCCCGAGGAACGGCGGGTATCGAGAGCCTCGAGCCCCCCCCCCCCACTTTTTTTGAAAAGGTATATTAAAGAAAAATAAAAAAGAAAGAGAGCAAGAAAGAAAAAAGAGTTAACTGCCAGTGTCAAAAAATAATGAGGCATCAAAATATGCTCATCTGACCGTGATTAAATGCCTAAAGCCCCCAAGCTTCCGGGGGCTCTGCTGGCCCCTGGATTCCACCTAGGGCCCTAAGGCGGGCCCTTAGATGCTCATCTGACGGTAATTTAATGTCTAAAACTCCTGAGCCTCCGGGGGCTCCACCGCCTCGACCCCACCAGGGGCCCTAAGGCGGGTCCCTGAATGCTTATCTGACCGTAATTTATAGCCCCTGAGCTTCTGGGGTCGGACAAATTATCAAAATGTGTTTATCTGACCGCAGGCGCGTAGCCAGGGGGGGGGGGGGGGCTTTGGGGGCGGTCCCCGAAAATCGCCGACAAAATAAAAAAGAGAGGAGAGAAAAGAAAGAGGGCGTAGGAATAAAAAGGAGCAGACAAAGAACATCTTTGAAATTCAGACAAGGATTAAGAGTAGAGAACGGTACAACGCATCGTCTTCTTTCTCTAATGATTTAATAAAACGTCAAAGCTTCCGCGCTTCGCGCAGGAGGGGCGGGGGGGGGGGAGGGGGACTGAATTCAGACAAGGATTAAGAGTCGAGAACGGTACAGCGAATCGTCTTCTTTCCCTCACAATCTTATGAAACGTCCAAAATTCTGCGCTTTGCGCAGTTGGGGAAAAACTGAATTCAGACGAGGATTATTATCGAGAACAGTATAACGGATCGTCTTCTTTCTCTAATGATTTTAATAAAAACCTAAAAGCTTCCGCGCTTCGCGCGGGAGGGGGGGGGGGGGGAACGAATTTAGACAAGGATTAAGAGTCGAGAGCGGTACAACGAATCGTCTTCTTTCTCTAATGATTTAATGAAACTTACAAGCTTCCGCGCTTTGCGCGGGAGGAGGGAGCCTGAATTCAGACGAGGATTAAGAGTCGAGAACTCTACAGCGAATCGTCTTGTTTCTCTAATGATTTAATGAAACGTTAAAGCTTCCGCGCTTCGCGCAGGAGGGGAGGGGGGAACTGAATTCAGACAAGGATTAAGAGTCGAGAACGGTACAGCGAATCATCTTCTTTCTCTCATAATCTTATGAAACGTCAAAAATTCCGCGCTTCGCGCGGTAGGGAAAAAACTGAATTCAGACTAGGATTCAGAGTCGAGAAAGGTAATACGAATCGTCTTGTTTCTCTAATAATTTAATGAAATGTAAAAGCTTCCGCGCTTCGCGCGGGAGTGGGGGGGGGGGGAACAAATTCAGACGAGGATTATTTCCGAGAACGGTACAACGAATCGTCTTCTTTCTTTAATGCTTTTAATGAAACTTAAAAGCTTCAGCGCTTCGCGCGGGAGGGGGGGGGGGGGCCTGAATTCAGACGAGGATTTAGAGTCGAGAACTGTACGACGAATCGTCGTTTTTCTCTAATGGTTTAATGAATCGCAAAAGCTTCCGCGCTTTGCGCGGGAGGGGGGGGGGGGAACCTGAATTCAGACGAGGATTTAGGTCGAGAACTGTACGACGAATCGTCTTTTTTCTCTAATGGTTTAATGAATCGTAAAAACTCCCGCGCTTTGCGCCGGCGGGGAAAAACTGAATTTAGACGAGGATTATTTTCGAAAACGGTACAACGAAACGTCTTCTTTCTCTAATAATTCAATGAAACGTCAAGAGGGAGGGGGAACTCGATCGCCCCTCCCTGCACCCACCCCCTCCCCGCATTACGTCACTGCTGGTCACCATTACGTACCAATATTTGGCTCGCATAATTTCAAATTTGGGCCCCCCCCCCCCCTAAGAAATCCTGGATCCGCGCCTGTGAAGGGCATCTGATCATGCGTATTAAAACAATTATGTATGATTTGTATCAAATACTCTGCCTTGATACGTTACAATCATTCTTGCTTCTTCATTTAATATTTGTTGGTTTTACTCAATATATTTCCATTTGCTCCATAACACACATGTATATATTGCATTGTTGCACCGGTTTCTATTTTCAATATAGATACTCTGTCTGTTTTATTGATTATGATTGTCCATTCTAGACAATTGATGCATATGAACGTTGTGAGAAAAAGACAAACTGTATCATATTGCTTAAATTGCTGTGCTGTGGGATGTTGACTTGTTATCGTCTTTTTGTATTATTTTTGTAAAAGAGAGAATACCAGCGAGAGAGAGAGCCACAGAGAAAGAGAGAGAGAGAGAGAGAGAGAGAGAGAGAGAGAGAGAGAGAGAGAAATAGAAAGAAAGGAGACGTTTTCATTAGTGTCACGTGAGAGACTTTTTTTAATTTTTTATTATTGCTACGGACACACAGAATAAAGGGAAATAGAGCTTGTTAATTAAAGTTAAATTGTAACGTTTAATTTCCAATCATTTCTCCTGTTTCACACACTTTGTTTTGGCTTCAGTAATAATACAGTATGTAATTAAACTTATCTTTAACAAAAATAATTCTGGACGGGTAGTTTCCCGTCTGACATCGACGCCGGTCACAGCTCGTGTCGTCCACTTGGCCCTGGCCTCCGCAGACGGCGTCTTTGCTCCACTTGGCCCCGGTAGTCGCCCCGGATTCTTGACCTCCGCAGACTGAGATACGATGGTGTGCGTCCCGATCCCAGACAAGAGCTAGCCCCCGACGAAAGCTATGGAGAACCGGTGGCAGTTGAGCTAGCCTCTCGTCCCGACGTGGAATTACCCTCAGATATTGACTTTAATTGCCGACTTCTAACATGACGTTCAGTCTATTATAGCTAAGGTGGTTCTCCTCGATTGCAGAAAATCCACCTCTTAATATACCCTACGGTTACTAAGTAAATTCTAAAAACATGACTACAAGAGAGGAGAGGAAATCCCCGGCCCCCCCCCCCCACTCAGGTTTCAAAATGACCGCATGCGTGTTGCCAAAATGTCCTTTTCGTAACAAAAGAAAAAGGTCGAGCCGTATTGACTTTACACACCGGACTTTTGCTGAAGGGGGGGGGGGGGGGGGGGGTGCGGAAAAAGGCTCGTATACAAAAGAAAAAGGTCGAGCCGTATTGACTTTGCACACCGGACTTTTGCTGAAAAGGGGGGGTCGGTTGGAACACGCATATGCGTACCCTAAATAACACTGAGTGGGGGGGGGGGCCGGGAGGAAATCATCTTACAAAGGAAAATACTTGTCTTCTAAAGAGGCTTCCTAAATGTGTGCCAAACAACAGATAAAACATGTACACTGAATTAATGACTTCCCCAGGCCTATTCATAAGGAACAATACATCTTGGCCTGAAAAGAAAACATCTGACCTTAACATCTTCACCTGACCTTAACAAAGAACACTCCAGACCAGAGAGCTAAACAAATAAATTTCTTTCCTGACAATAAGCAACGAATCGACTAATTAATGATTAATGTTTTGAGGAATTTTCTACGTGAGATTTTGATGGCTACCTATGGTTGCATCTTATCGTTATCAAAATCGTGGTCGCAGCTGGTAATTTTTCCATGAATTCACAGTATTCATCGTTTGATGTACGAGGATCAGTTAGTCGTTAGGACACATTCGTCAAGATGGTCGACTTAAGACACGTATTGGCTTTGCTACCTGTTATATTAGTTTCGATTAATGCGTATGATGTGACGAATCCTGAGATCTCACTCTTGACTCCTCGGGGAATCCGATTTGCATACCCAGGTGAGTAGACTCTCTCATTCATATTTAACATTAGTAATTCACTATATCACTATGTTATAATTCCACTTCATCAATACCATAATGCTTCCTATCATATCAGTCAATGTCCGCTTATAAGCGTCAAATGAAACAGATAGAAATAAATATTGTATAATGCATTATTGCCATTTAAATGATGAAATCTTTAATGTCCGAATTTTTGCAAATGAACTTAATATTTCGTAGCGGAATTTAGACAAAAACTGAATTGTAATAAATGAAAGCTTCCTAAGATGCAGTCTTTGCAAACATTTATTAACTTTAAAGTATTACTTTTTATCTGTAAAAATCTGTATCAGATGTGTGTTTTTGTGTTCAACACATAACACAGTGTCATGGGATCGTTAACATCGTCAGCACTGAAAGCTTCTTGTTTGCCTTATATTTCCTCTGATCTACCCTATAACAAGCCTATCATGTTGATAAAGTTATCAGAAATACTAACATCTATGATGTAGTTGGTAAATTTTCGGGATAAAATACCTTAGACTTACCGATTTCGCTCTCTGATTCTCAAATATATTTCTAATCGTTTGCTAGTCATCATTACGTTCAACATTTTACATATAAAAGCTCCATTTTTATATTCTGTTGCCTCAAAGGAAAGAAGAAGAATTTAAAAAATAAATATTATCATTTATTTCATCATCCCGAGCATTATTCAAGATTTAAGAAGTTAATTATTGTAATCATGATTTTCATTAATCCAAGCCTTATTATTAAATGAAATTAATATAATCATTGATTTTTTTCATTCTAAACTTTTTGATTAACCGAAATTAACTTCATCATAATATTGAATTGTAGATGTATTTATATAATAATCATTACGTGTTGGTTATTTCAATTATGAAGCAAACAACTTTAAAAAGTTTATAAGAAGTCGTCTGTATTTATCACAAATCCCATCGTAAAATTATAATCTGCGTCAAATTACAAATAAGTATATATGATACTATTATTTTCTTTAGTCAAACTTATCGTTAGAGTTGATGTACAATTCACAGCACATCCAGCTTTCTTCACATGCAGAAGTATATTTTCCCTACCTTTATTCGGGCAAGATGTGCATTCCTTTTCATTAAATATAAGTATCCAGATTAAAATAAAATTTAATATAACAATGGTCATTACTTTCTTCGTTTTTATTAAATTGAAATTCCTTTAATCATCAGTACTTTTTTGCATATTAAGCATTCTAATGAGATTGAAAGTGATATCATCATTAACTTTTTCTTCATTGTAAGCATTTTGATTAGACTGAAATTAATTTTATTATTATCTTGAAAGTTGAAACTGATAATATATAATATTTATGTTCTTCATTGTATTAAGCATTTTGTTAAGACTGAAATTTATTTCATCATCATTGAATAGAATTTACTCACCACTTTCATACAACATGCAAAGTCAAATCATACCACTTTAGATTTCTTACAAATTAAGTCAAGATATAAAACGTTATAAACACTTATAGGTAGATGATCCTATACAAAATATACAACAAAAACTAACAGAAAATGATGCACAATGTTCACCAGTAGCGTACGCATGATTTTTTCAAGGGGGGGGGGGGTTAACATTTTTAAATCGAGCCGAAAATTTCGCAACGACTCAGCCAGCCGCTGAATAAGCGGGGGGGGGGGGGGGGGGGGGGGGGGGGGGGGGGGGGCTAAGAGGACACTTTTTTGTTTTTGTTTGTTTTCATTTACCATGAAATTTAGTAATATCCACTGGGTGTTGAATAAGATGAATTATATTATTACTTTCCTCATTTTTGACAATAATAATTGGATGAAAACTAATTTCATCATAATTTCTGACTTAATTTTAAAGGCTACATAAAAAGAAGAATTTCATGATCATTACTATTTTCATAATAAGCACGGTGATTAGATCGAAATCAATTTCATTTTTATCATTGTGTTTTCATTCTGAATGTCTTGATAAGACCCATATAAGTATTTAGACCGCTACTTCACTTATTTTTTTTATATAGATGAATCTGGCACAACCCTGGTAGCTTTTCACTATAACATCAATACACCACTATCTGGTGTTGGGGCTGGTCAATATAACTATGATGTCACTACTACAACAGGTAATTATTCACATTTAAAAAAATTATTTTGGCTTTAAAGTAAGGATGGCAGACCTTTACTCTTTGATCAGTGTGTATTGTGACAGTATGAGCAGATAACACTTAAATCCCATCCTTTATTTCGTCATTATAGTTTACAACATCCTTGACACTACCACCAAGCATACCAAGTGACATACTTGTATTGGATTTCGAGAGACAAATTTTTGTTATTGCTCCTGTTTTATGGTCAATTGGTATATAATCATTGTCAGTAATATTAAATCTGGTGCGTTATAATGCGTTATAAATGTTGGGGTGGTCAATATAACTAGTGTTTTCTTCGCCGTACATATTAGATTAAAATAAATCAAATTAAACCGGCATTTATGGTTAAAAGTTATATAAAAAATACAGTTTGTATAAGTAATGTCATGCCTCTTCTCTAAACTTATTGATATCAATAGAAAATTAAATATTAAGTTATTTTACATGATCCGCCGTATATAGAATGAACATGCATTATTCGCTTTATAGTCTTGTTAACTTGTTATGCATCATTTTCGTATACAGTAGGCTTGCGGGTGCACCATGTGAGAGAGAGAGGGAGGATTGAGGAGTCTATTTTCATAGTTGTATTAATAAAGTAATAAATTGTATTTGTGTTTGTATGGCAGATGGATACTTCGTCCATGAAAATAGAGACGTGGATGTTGAGAACGGTGATGTGGTGTACTACTGGGTGTATACAGTTTACACGGGCCTTGGTTACCAACTAACTGACCAATCATGGACAGCATCTGGTAAGTGGGAGTGTTTACTAACCTCATATCCTCTGTATAGGCAATATCTGATAAGGAAATGTCCATTATGGGCATTGCTTATATACAGCGCTTCAGCCAATCAACGACAACTCCCGGTAGGTACATACATGTATACATTGATTATGTTTATACCATTATATAAGACTTCATCAGCCAATAGACACCAACCATATGACACAACCCTGTAAATATGTAATCACGTACTCCGAGCTCCTTGGTCAGCTGAAATACCCATTGGTAAAATATTGCTTTGATATTTTTCTTTTCATTTATTTCGTGAAGAATCATAATTTCAAAACAAAAGGACGTGTGTCTTTAATCAGAGACATAAGGATGTGACACTCCATTCGAAATTGTTAGACCCGTGTTGATATATCGCAAACAAGGTATTACATGGTTGATCATGTTTAAGTGACACACATGAAACAAATGAGAACTTTACAGGGGCACTGGAAACTGGATTTAAAAGCAATTTTCAATCTCTCGCTGATTACAAACTTTAGAACCTACAATCCCCCTTCCTGATCTCATAATATTTTTACATCTAATGTTTTTATGCTATAAGCTATCATCTCCCTCCATATCATGCCCTCTCCAGCAGATAAGGAACTTATTTTCTAATTCATGACGTAATAACCAGAGAGTGCTGGTTAACACAACGGACCTCTAAGGTATCCTATAGTTGACGTCTCCTCTTTTGCAGCCAACCTCAAATGCTGTAGAACTTTGCAGGAATTATGAATATGTCATGTATGTCCTATCTGTGAAATTTAAACGTTAGCAGTGTCCTCATATTCAAATTATGCAAGGAAACCCGTTTACTTGCTAGACTTCACTGTCAGACACTATTGAGTGACTGACTGGCTTTTTTTCTTCTTTGATAATAACATACATGAAAAGAGTTGTAAAGGGTAGATGAGCATTTGTCTACATCAATAACCCACTTCTTGTGATGGCCAAGATTAAACTGATTGAATCTTTGCGCAGCATAAAACGTATGACCATTCGGTACAATAATGTCTGAAAATCAAGACTATTACTTTTGGGCTCTATAGCCCTAAAGTCGATTTGGCAACTAATAGTCGTTATTTTCCCACTTGAAGACATTTTTAAGCCCCATCTTTTTTAGGGAAGTTCTAAATTAGTATTATCTTTCAAATGCAGTTGGAATTTAACTTTTTCATTTTTTGGGCCTGCAAATGGGACATAGTACCTTTAACAAAAATGATAAAGAAATAAAATGCTGATATCTTTAGCAACTGTTTTCCCTATCGTATCAAATAAGTTTTTAAGGAAGTTTCAAAAATCCCGTCCTCAGGAAACCTTTCCATAAATATTTCGCAATCAATTATGCTGTCCTTGCAATCTCTGCCTCTCTATTTGTACGTGCCAAGGGTTTAATATATTTTGGCCAACGTCCTTTGAAATTCAACCATTTCTTAAAATACGAGAAACGCCCCTTAAATGACGATGATATGAGCACTTGTATTCCCACATGACCCCATCCCCCACCACCGTCCATATTTACAAACTCATATAAAAACTATTTGTACTTGTACATTGTTATTAGTTTAAAGAGAAGCTCTTGAAGAAGTAACAAAGGTGAATAGGTAATAATTGGCAAAGAACGCATGAGAATCGCGATTATTTACTGCCGTTAAGTAGACACTGGAAATTTAGTATCAACAAGCACAGTGCAAACAACACATGAACAAACAAGTTTAGCAAAAGATTCTAGTCAACGTCTTTGGTTATAACCATATGGTTGCATCTCACGTTATCAATATCGTGGTCATATCTGGTACCTTATCATTTCCTTGACAGTATTCATCGTTTGATGTACGAGATCGGGTAGTCTTTGAAGAAGACATTAATCAAGATGGTCGAATTAAGATACGTAGTGGCTTTGCTACCTGTTATATTAGTCTCGATTAATGCGTATCAAGTGACGAATCCTGAGATCTCCCTCTTGACTCCTCGTGGATTCCGATGCATATACCCTAAAAGAAGTCTGCCTAATTGATTACGATTGTCTAATGTAGACAATTTAAGCATGTGAACGTTGTGAGAAGAAGGCAAACTGTATCATATTGTTTAAATTGCTGCGTAGGGGTGTTGACTTGCTAAGTAAATAAGGTCGTCATGTTCCCCTGATGCACGAAAAAAAAAAATCAATGTTATGCTCCCCCACGTAATTAGTATTATATCTTGAATTTCACACTCTTCTTCTTCTTCTTCTTCTTCTTCTTCTTCTTCTTCTTCTTCTTTCTGCTTTCTCTTTTATCATGTTTATCAATCTTCTACATACCTGTCTGTCCCTATGTCTTTGCCCATCCTTTTTTTTTTTACAGAAACTACAGAAGCTCCTGCGACCAATCCCCCTGCAACCGAATCCCCTGTGACCAATGCCCCTGCAACCGAGTCCCCTAACCCAGGCACCGGCACGACACAGTCTAGTGGTGGAGGTAGGGTTTTAGTCATGCTTTCATTTCAGAATTCTTGATAACTTTGTACCAATGAACTAAAATCCAATAATCAGTCATGTGTTCATCGATTAATGTTGTTTATTGCACATTATCAAAATCACGTGACAGAGGATGCAAGAGTGTGAGGAAGGACGAAGCTGTATCGTCATAAACATCACGAACACAGAATTACTTGTTTAAAGGCCCACTGCACTACTTGTAGCTACTTGCGCCCTCTATGTAACAAACAATGCCTAATCGGTGACCATTGGTCCCCCATGATCCTCTTTTTCTAATGTTAACTGAGAGCTGATTTGATGAGATAACCACCTGTCCTGTGACCTTGCAGGGCGCTCTAATCCCTCCTGTAAACTATGGCAGATAAGCTTTAAACCAAGGTCCATGGCACAAAATAATTTTGCATGTAGTGCATCATTTGCAGGGTCATTTTTGATCTTTTCTTTTCCAAAAAGAAAAGAAGAAAAACAAACAAGGGAGAAGAAGTTTACAAAATTTGATAAAGCATTAAAAAAATGAATTTCTTTATTACAATTAACAGAAACTGATAACTTTTTTTTCCTCGTGAAAAGAACTCTGTCAGTAAAATTCTTAAACATTTTGCCGTTTTTGTATACAAAAATATTATATAATTGCCATACGGAGAAAAATATCTCATGTCGACATCAGTGAGCGGGAGAGTGACATTTTTCATGAAGTACAAAGACATGGTGAGTTGCTCGCTGATCATGCTTATGAAAACCTGAGTTAATTCATTGTGTTATGTGATTTTCAACTCATATTATTTTAATTTTTCTCCAAATTTTACTGGTTATAAGTCCTTTTTTTCTCCATCAAAACCCGCTTGATGCAAGTTGAAGTTTTCTGTTAGACAATAATGTATTGAAGAGAACTTAAGGTAAACTTGTAAAGTCAAAATCTGTGAGCTTTCCTCTTAACATTGCCATGCGGCAGCAGTAAAGTATACAAACCTAATTGGCTGGGAAAGAAAAGGTATTTTGGCTAACTGTCATCATTTTACTTTCAGTATGGAAAGCATTTTTAAAGAGCCTGTGTTTGTATCACAGGGAATATTGATCAAAATATAATTTTTTTTTTTACATGCAAAAATTATTCGTGACATGATAATAGACCATTTTTTAAATAACAAATTTCCTATTTTAAATGCATTCAAATGTCAAATCAGTACATTTCCCTGGTTAATTTGAATACATACATCCGGGCATAATGTGCTGTAATGACCCAAAAGCTTGTATGGGATTTGCCTGATGTAGCAACAACTGCTTTCTGTATGCAAGAAAGCACTGGGCAGCGTCTCACGAAACCGTCATAAGAACAAGTTCACCGACATCCCATTGAAACGCGTGTTAAACTTAATACACGTGTTTCAATGGGATGTCGGTGAACTTGTACTTCTGACAGTTTCGTGAGACGCTGCCCAATACGAAAGCTCATGCAGAGCAGGCTTCTCAAACAGCCGTTAGTAACCAGATTTATCTTGTTACGAGTATTGTTCAACAATTATCAAATGATTTCATTGCATTGTTATTTGGAATATAATTTAGGTACGTCCCATTGCCCTTTTCTCTTTGCATATAATTCAGGATTATTTAATAGACTAATAGTTTGACATGCTAAAGCGAAGTTGGGCAGAAAATTCTTCACAAATAGAGAACGTTCATGTGCCTTTTATAGAAACTGTGTGAGGATTCATTTTTAATAGATATTTATGAAACAGAAAATCAAGTTATCATAAGGTTAATGCTGTGTTTTTATTGCCTCTTAAATTGTTTTATCATTTCAGATATAAGAAAACGTAAGGAAATAAGAAATTAAGCAAAGTTACTCAATCATAAGTCCCTCGTACTTTGGACTATTACAAGACTTAACTTTTGAGAGCGGGGGTGGGGGGGGGGGGCTCTTGATTTGCCTTTTTTATCCACAAATGTCGAATGTCTTTACTTTGTATATATATATCCTGTCATGTCAACTGACTGTCTTAGCTTAGCTTTGGTGATAACAGACGGCAATGTTCCCATCGATTGGTTTAAGTCGTGACTCATTGTCTAGGTAAAACAATCAGCTGATAAAAATTAAGATTAAAAGGCTAGAGAAGACTGCTGCAGAAGAAGAGGTAAACAAAGAAATAAGAGCACGTCGTAGGTCCATGGTAAAATAGGGGCTGGCAGAGAGGTAGATGGTAAACAATGAAATATGTAGGTTAGAGGTGGAAGTTGGGTAGTTTATAGTCAACTATGAAATGATTTGTGGGTTTATAGGTCTGCAATGGGTAAGACATAAATATGGTAAGAAGGGATCGAACGTAATGACTGATGGGAGAGGAGGTACAGACCAACATGATAAGAGAAGGCTGGTACGAGGTAGGAATTAATATGTTAAGGCGGATGAAGGGTAAAACATACCAGCGTCACTAGTAATATATCCGTGATTTAACAATGGGGTAGCATACGACCATTTCGGTTTTAGACAGATAAGTCGAGCACAGTATTAGGGAGAGTGTGAGGGCTTGTAGGTTCATATAGTGATTGATGAGTGATGCCGGTCGGGATAGGATACAGTAGGGGTGTTAAGAGAAAAACAAATTACTTTTTATCAGAAACTGATACTATCAATATTGTGCGATCATTAACAAACTTTATTTCAATCGGCTACAGCTAGCCCCCCTCCCCCATTCTGATCTCATAATGTGTTAACATCTGATGTTTTATACTATCACCCCCTATACCATCTCCTCCCCAGCAGATAACGAACATATTTTGTCATTCCTGACGTAATAACAAGTGTTGGTTTACACAACGGACCTCTTCAGATTCTTATACTTAACGTACTTTGCCTCCCCCCAACTTTAAAAAATGAAAAAGAAATAACATGCTCATCTATTTAGAAACTGTTCTCCCTATCCCTATCAAATATTTTTTAAAGGAAGTTTTTAAAATCCCGTTCTCGGGGAACCTTTCCATAAATATTGCGCAAACAATCATGCTGTCCCGACAATCTGTGCTTCTCTATTTGAACTTGCCAAGGGTTTGATATATTTTGGCCAACGTCCTTAGAATTCAGCCAAATCTACTAATACGAGAAACGCCCCTTGAATGACGATGATATAAGCACTTGCAGTACCCCATCACCGTCAATATTTACCACCTCATATAAAAGCTCTTCGTACTTGCACATCGTTATTAGTTTGAAGAGAAGCTCTCTGAAGAATTAGTACTAAGGTGAATTGGTAGTAATTGGCAAAGAACGCATGAGAATCGCACTATTTGCTGCCGTTAAGTGGACATTGGAAATTTAGTATCAACAAGCACAGAACAAACGTCAAAAGCACAATCAAATTTAGCAAAAGATTCTAGTCATCTCACCTGACTCTCTTCATCTGCAATATTCGCGTTCATATTCTACCTTATCAAAAGCAGTGTTTCTTCAAGATGTCAACGGCAACCATTGAAATGAAATCCAATGGGAACCATCAATCTAAGAATGATTTAATTAGTGAGGAACAGACAATGAAGAGTTCGTCACCATATTGGAAAGCTTTTGGAATCGTAGTAGTTCTGACGATTGGTGCCGTGATCATCACAACTTTGGTATTAACGATAGGAAATAGTTCTGGTGATGCTCCTCCTCTTGTTGGTGATGATGATCCTCTTATTGGTGCGGAGGTTTTTGTAATGATTATTTCACATAAATGTAGTTATTTAGATTATATAACACTTTTTTTAAAACATTAGTATGTGTTTAAAATACTGATTACCTCATACTGATTACCTTTATAATGTATGCACTCTATCTTTGTAAAATCAGTAACTCGGCTTTACCGCAATGATGTTTGTTTGTTATCAATAGACCATTAATCATTCGATATTTATTATAGTATTTGTACTGCGATGCTAGTTGCTATTAAAGAAAACTATAGATTTGTCTTTTGAATCAACAACAAAAGGGCGATTTCGATATGCTATTTTACATCCAATAAATTAAATATTTTACTGATATCGACACAGTTAGAAAATAATCTCCCAAATACCCATATTCGTTGGACATCATTACAAGGGTAAAAAAGATCGTTCCAAATACACATGTTCGTTGAAGTTAGGTCTGTCAAAATTATTGAATTAAAATAGTATAGATTAAAACGCAATTATCTAGCATGCGTGAATGATATTTTTGTTTACAGGTACGTCGCAGTGTAGCATGTATCCTTGCGATGCAGCATGTGACATGTCCACGCCACCTTGCAATGGTCTCATCTTCCAAGAAGAGTTTGATTCTTTCAATCTTGACATCTGGCAGCATGAAATGACTGCTGGAGGAGGAGGGGTATGTACAATTATTACTTTTCAAATGGAAAGTAATCACACATTCTTTTGAACAATGTAAAAACTGAGTTCATTATGATAACTGATTGCCTCTAAATCTTATATTTAAAAAAGTGAGTTACGTTCATTATGCTATAGTATAATGCAAGAAAATCTAAGAGACAAACGAACACATCAGCTCATTACTAATAATAGTATCGAAATATCACTTGCATTATTTTCTTTCTTTCTTACTTGCCGTCTTCATTTCTTTCTTCTTCCTAAGTTTCTTCTGTATTTATTTTGTATTGTTTTGCTGTGTTTTTGTGTTTTTCGCTTTAAGGGCTTTTTAAGAAAATCGTTATCATTTCAATGCTGATGGCAAATATCCATGTAAATAAAAGTTACGTTGTACTTTGTTTTACTTTGATATCCATTTCTATTTGCAGAACTGGGAATTTGAATATTATACCAATAACCGATCAAACAGCTATGTTCGGGATGGAAAACTCTTCATAAAACCAGTAAGTATCATCATTACCATCCCCAGATTTTTTTCTTTCTTTCTTTTTTCTTTTCTATTCGATAAACATTGTAATGTAATGTAATGTAATGCTGGTTTTGTTTATCCTTTTGAAAGGATACGAGAAACAAATTATACCATGAAGTTAATTGGCTTGGATAAAGGTATACGAAACAGGGAAACTATGAAAGTTAAAGTTCGAACAAAGAAAAGGATAGTTATAGACTTCTCAGAATGTAGTTCTCTGATTATACTGAAAAACACTTCCAAGGCAATTCGGTCAAGGAGTGTGATTCCATATGTAAAATACCCTTTTCATTCGTTGTAACTAAAAAAAAAAAAACTCAAAATATTTCATCAGTTTATAGAAGAGATATTAATTTACCTGGTAAATTATATTGATTGGTTAATCAATTAAACTGATTTGGTTTGTGTCCCCCCTTACAATGGTGTCTGCAATAAATAATAATCGGCATGATGCAAGCAAAATACAAATTAATGTTCTGCACACTATTTGCACAGATGGATGTGGTTATGAATACTAATTTCTTGCTTCACACACCCCTCCTTCCCTTCCCCTTCTTCTTGTATCCCTTTTTTGTAATCTCTGTTTATCTCTCATTTTTTATCAGACACTTACCACCGATAAATTGGGAGAGGGTTCGCTGTCATCTGGAACGTTAGACCTTTGGGGTGAGTTCAAAGCTTCTATAGAGCACCCAACATTCAAATTATCATGTGTTACATCAGGGACATGCTAGAAGGTCCATGGTTACACAATTTGGTCAGTACTGGAAAAGATAGTGCGGGGGCTGGCTGCTCCCGTAGCCTGCCGGTTCAGTGGGCAGGCAATGTGTTTGGTACTATTGGTAAATATTTATTCACCAGGATCAGAAAACAAACACGTAAGATATTTGAGAATGTCTGTTCTTATAGATACGATTTGAAGTTTTTCTTATGATATAGCAAGGATTTGAACCTTAAACATATCACGATTGTGGAAATATTCTCCATCATGATGGTGAGAAAACTGACAGAACTGTATCAAGAAAAGATTAATAATTCGACCATAATTTTATGCATTTTTATCACTATGTTTACGATATAGGTTCATCCCCAGCTAACTTGTGTACCGGTAATGCATGGTATGGATGTTCGCGAACGGGATCCAATGATAATCTATTGAATCCGATACAGTCTGCTCGTCTACGTACTGTCGAATCTTTCTCATTCAAGTATGGACGACTGGAGGTTGAGGCTAAGCTACCCACTGGTGATTGGCTTTGGCCAGGTATGACGTCATTGCAATGATATCATTAAACGAAACAGGATAACGATATTTTTAATACGACTCCTAAAACCATTATCGTCATAGAAAGTCATTGTAACTTATTAATATGAGGATCGAAATTTGTTCAAAAACCTCAAAATTGCTAACATAATCACATTAATAATTGTGTGATAAAATAAACAAAGACCTAATTAATTTACAATCTAGAGGGAAAACATTCTCATGCTGAATTTTTCTTCTTTCTCGCTGTAGGAAAGATCCAAAATTGTGTGCACGAGGGGAGGGGATGGGGGAGCATAAACCTGAAGATTTCCTGGCTAGAACAAAATAGGAAATAGAGCTTTTACATGCTGTAGTCTATTGAAAATTGCCTTACAATTAAAGTCATTTCTTTTTAATAAAAAAAAATCACACATTTTAATTTTGTTAATACTTATGGTATGCCACATTGGAGTTTCAAAGGGGGTTTGGGCCTCACACCCTAATCAAGCATTGTTTTATTTATAGAACACATACTTAGTTAGGTACGCTGAAATAAACGTATAGTAATCAGATGTTAAGTTGAAAAATCAAATAAAGAGATGGTAATTGTTTGTTTTTACAGCTATCTGGCTTTTGCCGAAGCATAACGGATATGGAGAATGGCCTGCCTCTGGAGAAATAGATCTGGTTGAAAGCAGAGGTGAGTATATCCTGTCCTTGATATTGCACAGGGTCGAAAGGAAGACTTGGGGACCCAGGACCAAAATCGAGTTCAAACCAATTGGAGCAAAACCAATTGAAACCAGTTGCCAACGGGTTCCAGTTGAAACCAATTGAATACAGCCAACTGGATCCAGTTGAAACCAATTGAACATTCCCAACAGGTTCCAATTGAAACTAGTTGAACATTCCCAACTGGTTTTACGGTATCAACTAGTATCAACTGGAATTTTGACCGGGGATGGAACCAATTTGGGTAACTGGAAATATTCTTACTGGTTCCAGTTGCACTTCTAACTGGAACCAGTTGAGTAACTGGAAACAGCTTTCTAACTGGAACCAATTGGGTAACTGGAAATAATCTTACTAGTTCCAGTTGCACTTCTAACTGCAACTAGTTGGGAAAACGGAAATGGCCTTCTAACTGGAACCAAATGAGTAACTGGAAAAATGATCTTACTGGTTCCAGTTAAATACAAGATTCAACTGGATTCAGTTGCAATCTCCAATTGGTTTGAACTGGAATTGACACGTACACCATCCAAACTTTTTCCAGTTAAGGCAATTGGTTTCAACTGGAACATTTGTATTCCTATTGAATCCAATTGAAACCAATTGAAACCAGTTGGAGATTTCAACTGGTTTCAATTGGATTTTGGTCCTGGGAAGGGTGGCGGAGGGAACTTCACACTCGTGCAAAGCGATTATATGCTGTTCTTTCCATTTATTGGCCAGCAAACAATCGCTCATTCCGACCCTCACATCATATGACATTATGATCTAACATCCTTATAATCCTGAATATTCTGCTGAGAATAACAGTACATCTTCTCATTTTGTATAGGCCCATAATCTCATTGCATCTTTATAAAATATCACAATTAAAACAGCACTCAACTTTTCAGGATCAGAAGCAGGATGAAGATTATGGGTCAAATAGCGCCTGCCATAAACGTTTTTAAATCGAACGCATATTTAACAAACGAAATTACAAACCCTCCCAACATAATCAGGAGCGGTATTGAGGAGTGGTTTCAGATCAGAGCCGGTATCGGACTCTAGTATTCAATTCTCTTTAACACAGGAAACCAGTGGGGTTCTACAGAGTGAGTCAGAAGAAATGTCCCACTTTTTAAAAGTTGTATTGTTTGAAGTATGAATATTTAATCATGGGTTTCATGATATGTCTTGATAGAGTTATCCTCCCAGTACATTTAGGTACCATTTTCATTTAAATCTCTGCATGCATGACTGAACATCAGACAATCTTTACTATAGACTGCCAGATACTGGATGAGGAATAAAACAGTGCATTGAACAAAGACAGTCAGACAGACACAGACACACACACACGCGCGCACCACATACACAGACACGCACACGCACACAAACACGTATTGAGATAGCACATTGGATTCATGTGCACTTCATGATGATGATGATGAAGATTAAGATGATGACAATGATGATGACGATGATATGATGGTGGTAGTGAATGTGCACTAAAGGAAGAGATTGTCAGGGAAATGCCACTTAAACATTCAGCGATCTTGATAAAAATCAATGCTTAATCAGAAAAGGGAAAATTATGAAACAATTGTTACCGTGTGTGTGTGTGTGTGTGTGTGTGTGCGTGAGTGTGCGTGCGTTTGTGCATTTGTGCGTGTGTGGGAGTGTGTGTGTGTGCGTGTGTGTGTGTGTATTTTTGTCTGTTTGGCTGTCTTTGTTCAAAACACTATTTTATTCCTCACCCAGCGACTTGGCGCAAGTGAGATCTGGCAGTAAAGGGTACCTAAATGTACTGGGAGGATATCATGAAACCCATGATTAAATATTCATACTTCAAACAATCAAACTTTTAAAAAGTAGGACATTTTTTCTGACTCACTCTGAAGAGTAATGTTATGTACATATATGATGTTTCACATACAGATTGGAGTAATTATGACGTTTCACATATTTTCATTTCGTTTATTACAATGATGCATTTAGTAGCCATAATCTGTTTCTAAGATGATAACTAAATATAATAAGGGTGGATTCGGGAGGGGTACAAAGGGTAGATGCCCAGCCCTCCCCTTTCCTCTCCCCTCGGCCAAAACAATGCGATTGACTAGTAATTATTTTGATTAGGTAACGCTGATATCAAAGACGCGGATGGTTTGTCAGCTGGAGTAGATCAGATGGGCTCTACTATGCATTGGGGACCATTCTGGCCTCTGAACGGATATCCAAAGACACACGCAACAAAGTAAGTCTATTATACAAAGGAGATTACATCTCCTTGATTATATATGGCATTTAATAGCTCATTCAGATATAGTTTTTCAGATTTTTGTTTTGTATGTGTTAGTGAACTGGGCGGAGTAAAGGTTCAACGCGTATTCCTGTATAATATTTACAGAAATGTTTTATTAAGGGTATCACAATTCCTATATCATACTTTCTTCATACGATGGTTGACCGCTGCATGTCTGAACGAGGCTTAAAGGTAGAGGAGTGAACACCTGCTTCGGGAGTCATATTAGGGGGCCAATTTGTTGGGAGTGGCTTGCACTAAGATTTGATCCACTTTTAAAAGAAATATATAGGCCAATTTGGAGTGGATTTAACTCCTACTCTCTAACTAAAAAAATCGAGTGATCACGGACGTCACTCCTCTGGAGAGTGAAAATGTAGTGAAAATAGAGGGAACATTCACTCTTTTCTTCTTAGAGAGCACTCTAAAATCAATCGATTTTCACTCCTAAACAAGTGATCACGGACGTCACTCCCAAGAAAGTGAAAATAGAGTGAAAATTCATTCTTTTTTTTAAGAGAGTAGTTTACAGACATCAATACCACTGTTATATTGTTATTGTTCATAGTATCACATGTTGTTCATATTATCTTATTATGTTTATCATTGTTATACTATTGTTATATTGATACTATGTTGTAAATATGTTTGTACTCTCATACCCGAGAGGGGGTCGATAGAGTCAATAAAGTCTTACAATCTTACAATCTTACAATCTTACTGTTAGACTATACTCTGAAATTAAAAGGGGTCGAGTCTACCGCTGTAATATATTGCGCCATCGTCCACAGAGAGCGTACATATAGAGCGATTCCGGTTCATGTAGTGTCAGTATAATATTCTGTCTTTAACAATTATTAAGGAAATGTTTCGTTTATTATTCCCCGAATCTTATCAAATATCAGTAGATGAAATTAGTTCCTAAAACCCATCAAATAGCCTACTCCCTTTGACGGTGACAAAATTATTACGAGACCGGCATTCCGTTATCTTTTCTTAGGGATTTCTTTATTCTGTTGTGGACCTTCTGGAGCTTCCATCTTTTCTACATTTCTATTGTATTTATTTTATTTATTTATTTCTGATATTTAGACAGGGTGACTCATTATCACCGATAATAGTGGTCTTCCATGAGGCCCTGTTAAACATAATGAGGTACATTATAGTTTAACAAATATATGATAATAATATTCATAACAATATCTTGAACATAAATTCATAATGCAGTTGGTATCTTGGTGAATTTCGTCTGTGATTCGTAGCTTGTGTCGTGTTGAATTGCGTCTTTGATTGATAATAGGGACTTTTAGATTTGCGTGGACTGATACGTGTGACGTCCATTCAAGGCAGTGCATTAAAAGGACGTCGATCGTAGCATAGAATATTGTCTTCGTGCGAATCTAAAAGTCCCTATTTACTGGACACTATGAATTCTTGTTTTAATCAGGAATCTCCCCGAGGGACAAACTTTCGGATCAGGCTTTCACAAGTACACATTGGACTGGACTGAAGACTCAATGAAGTATGTCATTTGATTTAAATATGATCATAAACGTCCTTTGGCAATACAGATCTATATTTGCCAGTAAAATAAACAAGAAAATGCGTTTATTAATAAGGAGTAAACGATCGCTTTGCTTCCACGCTGAATTGTACAGTTACTTAATGAACTTTGGTCCAATCCCGAGGAAAATGTGAGCAAATTTGGTTTGTATTTTTGAGACGATAATTTTAGGTATATAGGGATGCTACCAGGCCCTGTTGAATAAAACTTACCCCTGATGGTAACTTTCTCTCAACAGCCGATCAAATCAAGGTTTCCATGGAAGTTACTATTAATGGCAAATTACCACCAATGCTATTTTTTTTTTGCAACAGGCTAGGACCGAGATTGTCCCGAGCGCAATGGTCCTTGTAGATACACAAGTAGGTCGGAGATTAGACCGCAATTATCAGTCTTAATTTCTTGATAATGTATTTGTATTTATTCTAGAATTTCATTCACATGGTACATGAATATTTTTACAAAAACCAAGGCATAATGAGTATTACAAATATAAAGGGGAAAAGATCATTTGAGAGATATATCATGGAAACAATATAAATAATTGAAGAAGTATGTATGCATTACTGCAAATTAAATTAATTGTTTAGAAAATGACAAATGGTAATTCTTACATAACCTTGTTTTGTCGATAATTTACCTGCTCGTGTATTGCATTAATTATGGCAAATGTATGGGTAAATCAGATAGCAATAATTAAAGCTTATCTGTACTAGTTTATAGGAGGGATTAGACCACCCTGCAAGGTCACTGGACAGGTAGTTATCTCATCCGACTCAGCTCTCAATTAACATGAGAAAAAGAGGATCATGGGGGACCAATGGTCACCGATTAGGCTTTGTTTTATATATAGAGGGAGCAAGTAGCTATAAGTAGTACAGTGGGCCTTTAAGACGAAAATTGCAATGTACAGTTAGAATGGTAAAAAAGAATTCAATTGTAATACTAATGATTCTATTGATTGTGTGATAACAATTATAGGTTCTACGTGGATGATGAGCTTCTATTGAATGTTGATCCTGCTACAGGCTTTTGGGACTTGGGTGAATTTGAGAATGATGCACCAGGCATTGACAATCCATGGGCTTACAATCCTAATAAACTCACTCCATTCGATCAAGAGGTACGTTCAGTATGAGCTTCTAAGATTAGTAAAATAACATTATTGATTGAAATTGCTTTTATTATCCTATACTTTAGATTAGAAATCAAAGTGAACAAGGGCGATTTGGTTTTAGGAAGAGGAATTTCTACAATGTGCATCAATAGCGAAATTGATGCAGTTCTTCTATTCTCTCAAGAGCTCCATTTCCTTCTGTTTCAATAAACCAGGGGGGGGGGGGGCGTTTCACAAAACTTGTCATCAGTGTCAAATGACAGTTTGGGTTATAAGCTACTGAAATCCTTGTTTCTGATTGGTTAACAGCAAATTTGTCACAGGTTTTTGCCATGTGTCATTGAAAAAGGGCTTTGTGAAACGCCCCCTGGTCAGTTTGAAAATGATTTTTTTTCTTCAATTTTTAACAATATTTTGAACAAATATTTTCGGCCAATTAAATTTTGATCGGACATCCTCTCCCTTTCCCCGTTAGAAACGTTCTAACGACGAGTTGGTCCCATACTTAATTTCTTAGATGGGATTATAGTGTACCGAAAGAATTAGCATTCGTTCCATTCTTTTATCTCTTTTTTTTTGGTTTAAATATATATATAGTTCTACTTGATCCTGAACGTAGCTGTAGGAGGAGTCAACTATTTCGGTGATGGGTTGACATACACCCCAGCTAAACCGTGGTCTAATGACTCCCCTACGGCCTCTAAGGATTTCTGGTCTGACTTTAACACTTGGTATCCTACATGGAATGGTGAGGAAGCAGCTATGCAGGTCAACTATGTCCGTGTGTACGCAGAACCAGGGCAGACAACTTATCACCTACGTGATCGTTAAATAATGTACCATCAAACCTGCCGTGATCAGTAAAAGAACCACGCAAATTAGCCCCATAATTTCCATATTAAAAGAAGGTAATTTCTAATGTTTGGATTCCAATGCAATAGAAAGTCCATTTTGTAGATGTTCGTAAATATAGCATGATCTTTTAATATTATAGTCTATATAATATTCCAATATATTCCAAAACGACGCGTACAAACATGAGTAGTTTACATGACTACAATAATGACAATATGAAACTATACAAGAGAAAAATTCTTACTTTGTTTTTGAGAACCATGTGAATAATACAGATGAGGTTTCCTGGGTAAACAACACTATTAATATATACTTTCATAAAACCTCCCTCCAGACCTTGATGGATAACACCATCTCTGACTGTCAGCATGCACTGTTATCAATTACTTAAATATAATCAATGGTTAGTTACATCAGAGTATTGACTATTATCATTGAATTGTATTTATGTTCATGGATCGATAACGTGGGATTGCCTTCAAATTTACAAATGTATCACCATCTGTATAGGTGTATATTATCAACACAAATCAGTGGTTTCTAAAGTCAAAATTCATGAATATTTCTGCCCTAGCTAAAGAGTTTGTATGCTACTTTCAGCATCACTTGGAATTACAGTTAAAATGAAGATTGAAATGAACCATTAATAAATTAACTTGCCAGCACTAGATATAGATAATTTCAGTTTGTCTGTCTGGTTGTTGTGATCCGGACCCCGTAACACAATTCTTGGCAATTGATCGTACGATTGATTTTTTTGCGATTGATCGCATTGAATACTAAGTGCAATGAGTTCACAAATCAATCGCAAAGATATGTGTAACAAGGCCCAGAACATAAAGAGAGAGAGAGAGAGAGAGAGAGAGAGAGAGAGAGAGAGAGAGAGAGAACACAAGGAGAAAGAGAGAGGAAGGGGTGGGAGAACAGAGAGAACGCAGAGAGAGAGAGAGGTGGGAGAACAGAGAGAACACAAAGAGAGGGAGGGAGAGAGAGAGAGAGAGAGAGAGAGAGAGGGGGTGGGAGAGAGAGAGAGAGAGAGAGAGGGGGTGGGAGAACAGAGAGAACACAAGAGAGGGAGGGCGGGAGGGAGGGAGAGAGAGAGAGAGAGAGAGAGAGAGAGAGAGAGAGAACAGAGATAACACAAAGAGAGGGAGGGAGATGTGGGAGAACAGAGAAACACAAATAGAGAGAAAGAGAGAGGAAGAGGGGTGGGAGAACAAAGTGAATACAACGAGATGGAGATGGGAGAACAGAGAGAACACAAATAGAGAGAAAGAGAGAGGAAGAGGGGTGGGAGAACAGAGAGAACACAAAGAGAGGGAGAGAGGGTGGGAGCAAAGAGAACACAAAGAGAGAAAACATGAAGAAGCAAAAAAAGAAGGAGAGAAGATGAATAACTCAGAGGGAAGGCAGAGGAGGGATAGGCCTATGGATATAAGAGTAGATGGGGAAGAGAGATGAGTGGAGGGGATGCAGGGAAACTGAGAAGGTATATTATAAATTTAAATTATAGTTATATGCACACAAACAGCCACCTTACCGACCCCATCTCTTCACACTCTCTCTCATCTATCTTCTTTTTTGTCTTCTTCATGTCTACCTTCTATTATCTCACTCATTTTAATACATTGGTCGAGAAAGCAGGCAGTCATTGAAAAGACATACAAAACAGTTTTATGTGATAGATATGATTTTCTAATTTATTTATCATTCATTAATTTTAAAGTTGCAAAGACCTGCTTGCATACATACCATATGTGAGTTTATACATTCACCTTTTCTACATGTATGTTATTTAACTACTATTTTTCACCCAAAAATGCCATAATATTCAGTGTGCTGTATAGTTAATTATTCAGAATTATCATAAGAATAAAATGAAGATGGATTATGTAATATCTATTTCAACATTTATAACAAATTAAAGTATTATTTATATATTATATATAAATGAAGTTTATCAAAAAGACAGACAATAGTTAATCAAAACAGAGACAAAATGAGCTGTAAAGCCTTTCTGCACTAGTTTGGCCAGGAGGAATTAGACCTCCCAGTGTGGTCACTGACAGGTGGTTAACTCATCAAATCAGCGCTCAATTAACATTAAAAAAGGGGACATGGGGGACCTACAGGTACCGCCTAGGCATTGTTGGCTATAAAGAGGGCGCAAGTAGCTCCAAGTAGTGCAGTCCCGCTTTAAGTCATGTGTTTGTAAAATGCACAACCATTAACAATCATTTTCTAGCGACTGAACATGAAGAGTTCCCATGTATCCTACACCAATATCGAAATGTGATTTCTTTAAGACCTAAACTAAACAACGCCAATTTTATCTAATCTAAATTGTGACATTTGTAACTCAAATCTCAACTCATGCCTTTTTCACCTTTTCAATCGTGCATGTATTTCACTCCTTTTCAGTTTTGTATTAACATATTCTCATAAAATCTAATTTTTCTTTCTTCTAAAACCTAAAACTTAGGTTGAATATTGATCTAACGTGATTCAGCCACTTAACTATTAACATGCGCCCTTTACATATTTCCATACCAACATAAGGGGAAGTTTCATCATGCATTCTATATATCATAATGCATATGGTGATGACTAGCATGTTTTTTTCTCTTCTGTATGTAATCACAGAACGCATGACATCTCACCGACACTGCATAAAATACCCTCTAAATACTACTAATAATAATATGTCTATTTCTTATATTTTTTTGTTGTTAATACACTTTTACACTATTACTGCTCCAGTGTCAAATCACAATGATAAATAGTAATGCCACTAGAATTGTATTACACTTTTGATTTACCTTATGGAAGTTATGACAAGTACCAAGCTAAACTTTGCATTTCACAGAGTGCAAATGGAATTAAAGTATTTATGAAAGTTCTTAAATATCATTTGAATAATGCTTTTAATTTTTAATCAAATTTGTACTTTTTGACCACTTGTGGTGTACAGTCAAACCTGCTTTAGTGACCACCTGTCTTCAAAGACCACCTGTCTACAAAGGCCACATTTGTTGTTTCCCTTGAAAATTGTTTTCTCATTGAAACATGTACTAAAGGAACCTGCCTACAAAGACCACCTGTCTACAAAGGCAACTTTTTGTGTTTCCCTTGGGTGGTCGCTATATACAGGTTTGACTGTAGTAGATTAGTCACTAGACTCTGGATCACAAAGTATGTGATTCAATGCCTGCTATGTATATCTGATTTATAGATTCTTTCGTTGATTTTAACAAAGATGGTGGTTTGATATCTATTCTCAGATTCATAGAGTTTACACCTTCAGTTACTAAATTTTCAATAATGGATGAAAATGAGGGATGAAAATGAGGGATGAATACATTTAAAGAACTTCTTCCATGACTGTAACATCAGAGAATTCATCATTTAAACTGGAGCCTTTCAGTGATTCTTATATTTGATTATAATAAGAAAACAAAAACAAAAACAAACAAACACTTCAAAAACAGTACAAAAAGTGCATAATAGTCCAAAGTAAAAACATGCATGGACATGTATGCTTTACAATCAATTACCCTGTATAGATTATATATAAATATATTGGTTTATTCGAACTCTACTTTGGTGAATTCAGTACTGGATAAATATATAGTTTTGGTAACTCGTGTCATATGACATATATGTATGCTGTGAATAATATAAACAATAATAGATCAAGATAATTATATACATCGACATATACAATAAATATAATAAACTATGTGTAAAGCAATACTTGTATATAGAGATAATGATGATATAATACTACCATAATGAATACATTGAGAAATGCCCTGATAAAGAAAAATACTCTTACATGAATAGCCATGATGTGATTAAATAATTTCTACATATATTTTTGTTTATGCCCACAAAATCAGCACTATTCAGCCAACGTTTTCAAATATATATGTAACTTTCCTGATATATGCACATGAACTCCCAGACTGAATTGGGCTTTTTGGTATCATCTTTACTCCAGTGACCTAAAGACAGTAGAGACCAATCAAAGAAATAACTACTAGACTTGAGAAAATTCACAAATCTTCCGAATTCAAAATGATAAACACATAACCGAGATTAAACGGATATATATATATATATATATATACATGTATTTGTAATGCCATACTGAATAAATCAAGAAATGCCCACAATTGATATCATGAATCACTCCAAAAATGATAACCAACATAACATGTATGAGCTATCCACAAGATAACTCTTCCAGGCGTTTGTATTCACATTTGGAATGTTTTTTGTGTTGCTTTAAAAAAAATATATAAACAATTTACAAGTTTAAATACTTTTATAACTCATTATACACAACAGGTGAACATGTATGTTTCAAGTGGTTTAAATGTGTTTATCCTACAATCTTTATTTTGTAATACTGTTGATCCTAACTATGTACTTAATGATAAAGTTGAGTTCTGGTCATGCAACTGCATTGTGAAAGAAAAGGTGTGGAATGGATCAGAAAAAGTTGATCATGTAGCATTTAAGTATTGGTGTGTACTGCAAGGTTCTGGAGTCATCAAAATCATAATAAATTTGGCCCAGTCTTGGCAAAGTAACAAGCACTGTACACAGAAAGATGTATATGAGACTACACAAATGGTGTCCTGATTTCCTTATCTTTCTATGCTCATTACTCAGCCAGTATACATTTTCTACCAAAATTGTTTGACAAATGACATTTATTTGTAATCTTGAACATTCAGTGGACATTTTGTTTGATTCTGTGAGAATTTATCTTCTGTTTTTACCAGAACTCAAGTTTATCTTTAATACATAAATGTAGGTAATGTATAGCAGTGCTGTGGTCCAATGGCAGATACATACAATTTACATGTGGAAATACTTTTATAATTCATTATACACAACAGGTGTATTTTTCAATTGGTTTAAATGTTTTTATCCTACAAACTTCATATTGTAATACTGTTGATCATATAAACTCTGTACTTAATACATGACTGCACATGTAGGTTTATATATTTATATAATGTTTATAGCAATGGTGTGGTCCAATGACGGAGCAGTGTGTATGAGAATGATTACATTCATAAGATTGGAGTGGAAAGTCACTGTTAAACCGTAGAAGCATGTATGATTTCTTGACAATGAAAGGCAGTGATGTGGTCTAATGACGGAGCAGTGTGTGTGAAAATGATTACATTCTCAAGATTGGAGTGGAAACTCACTGTTAAACCCTAGAAGCACGTATGATTTCTTGACAATGAAAGGCAGTGATGTGGTCCAATGACGGAGCAGTGTGTACGAGAATGATTGCATTCTCAAGATTGGAGTGGAAAGTCACTGTTAAACCCTAGAAGCATGTATGATTTCTTGACAATGAAAGGCAGTGATGTGGTCCAATGACGGAGCAGTGTGTATGAGAATGATTACATTCTCAAGATTGGAGTGGAAAGTCACTGATTAAACCCTAGAAGCACGTATGATTTCTTGACAATGAAAGGCAGTGGTGTGGTCCAATGACGGAGCAGTGTGTACGAGAATGATTGCATTCTCAAGATTGGAGTGGAAAGTCACTGATTAAACCCTAGAAGCATGTATGATTTCTTGACAATTAAAGTGTAAATATGCAAAGTACAAGTAAACATGCTTTGACTCTAAATATGTGTCGTCATCTATTTGCGAAATTGACAACCTGGACCACTTCAAAGCTTCACTCAAATCTCATCAGACATTTAAATGCTAATTTTATTGGAGGAGCTCGTGCCTTTTAATGTTTTTTTAAACAGATATATGGCGCCATACAAATGCTGTTCATCATCATCATCATGTTCATAGGTTACAAATAAATGGGTTGTCTTTTTTTTCATATCAGACTGAATAGAAATTTGTTACATATTTGAAAGCCCATTGTATATGAGATGTACCTGAGTATGGGATGTTTCCAAAGTTGGGACGAAAATGGAAAACAACTCTGTATTCTTTGAAGATTTGACAAAACAACTAATGTATAGAGGTTGATCAATAAGCCAAGCATCCGTCAGTATGACCATGGAACTCCTTCTGTCATCATTGCTGTTTTACTACCATTCCAATGTTAAGGGTGCAAAATGCCTCCAAATCATACCAAGTATTTACATAAAAACTTAACCCCAAAAAGGTCATATTTTGCTAAAGTGTTTTTTAAAAGCATTTCACAACCAGTATGCTAACTTTTAAATGATGGTTAAGAATTATTTTGTTGTTAGTTTGAACATATTTGTGGTTTACACCCAGTAAATAAGATCGATTGATCGATCTGTAATTGAAAAAAAAAGTCAGAAAAAATCTTGGAACCAGCGGAATTTGAACCTGCCATCTACTGCTTGCCGGGCAGCGACTCTCTCACCAGGCCATCACTGGTCCATCATATTTTGTTGTTGTTGATATGATTATTTGGTGAACAGATCATAAGATGAACCACTTATTACACAATGACTATAATAAACTCTCATTGTAATAACAAATCATTCATTTAAAAAAAAATGTTATCTGAACGAACAGAAGGAGAAAAAAAACTGAAGACAGACAGTCAAGAGCTATTAAAAAATAAGCAGGAAAAAAGACGAATAAATTGTGCACAAAGTGAGCAGTTAGAAAAATATAAAGGTGCTCAACAAGAAATTATATAATAATCCGATGATGATGAAGGTATCAATACTCTATAGGTAGCCACAGTCTAGCATTCGGAAGCTAGAGATTGTGCATCACTCTGTTTAACTCTAGAATGATCTACATTCTCATACAGACCCTCTGTAGGAAGACGATTCTCATAGTCCAGCTCCTCCTCTGATCTACACAATGTATGATGATGGGTAAGCAGCTTATAACATAGTAGGTAGTCAGTCTGCAAATATAACACAAGCAGGATAATTCATTGTGAATCATTACTAGTGAATGCATACACTAACATTTAAGATAAAGGCTAGTTATGGTCATGCAATTGCATTGTGAAAGAAACGTTGTGGAATCGATCAGAAAAGGTTGATCATCTAGCATATAAGTATTGGTGTGTACTGCAAGCTTCTGGAATCATCAAAATGATAAGAAATTTGGCCCAGTCTTAGTTACAAGCACTGTACACAGAAAGATTTATTTGGGACTACGCGAAATGTGCGCGATATCTATCCGGTCCAAATAGATATAATAATCTACCAAACATATCAATTAGTAGGCGGTTTCTCGGCAAAATTTGTATCATCACGTATTAGTCAAAACATATTCTTTCACATGATTGGTAATAAGAGCTTCCATTTTTATTTTTTGAGAGGGGGGCATTTTCAAAACTGGTCTTGACCTTTCAAGCCGAAACTAACTTGCCAAAGCAAGTTATCCATTACCAGATTTTCCTTGAACATTCACACAAATCAGTTTCTCTCGTTGACACCAACATGATATCAAGCTGGACTTCCCTTATCTCAATTAAACAATCATTCCAATCAAACATTATTGTGATAGGGGGACCCTCTTTGACTTTATCAATGTATTTCATACATCTTGTTTCCCCCATATGACGCAGCACAGCTCGCAATCATTACAATTTCATGCATTATTATTTAAAGGGGGAAAATTAATGAGTTTTCAAATAATCCAAAATGCAACCAAAGTCATGTTGTAAACAAGAGAGAAATACTCAATTAATTTGATTTATTTTAAATCTATTGTGCAGGAAAAATATATTTGACATTAGAAATGCTGTTAGCAAGATTTATTTGTACTGAACAAACCAAATCTTGCATGATAATTCCATTTGGCCATTGTTATATCCGGGAATTGAGAAGTCTTCTAATCGTACCATTTGAAATAATGAGAATGCCAGAAGAGAGAGAGATATCTTCCATCAAGTTTGAGTCTTCTCAATTTTAGCATGTTTCCAAACAAATAGGGTGGTATTCTCATAAGTTAAGCCGGGACTAAGTCCAGACTAAACAAGAATTTTAGTTCACACTTCAATGGAATGCTAGGTTTCATCTTCCTCTTTCAATATTCATGACAAAGATAATCTACCAAAGACTTTGTTGAAATTCAGTTCATACTCATATTATCCTTTTCTTCCCATATCATTGCAAAATTATTTTTTTTGACACTTTTAATTAAAGGATTAAAATAATCTGTACATGGTAAATGAGTTGGCAACAGGCACTCCATAAAAGTGTGGGCTAACTTAGTACGCGCTACCGGAATACTACCCAATAACCTTTTACTCACAAGACAAGAAAACAAAAACTGGAAAAAAAGAGGGGAAAATATCTTACCAAAGTTGGAACAAAGTTTGGCCTGGAGAGCCTTAGTAGCCTGAGATTTTGGAAGACATCAATAGCGCCATCATTGTTGAGTTGTTCTAAACAATTCATCACAGTACAGAAGACTCCACTTTCCTCTATGCCACTCCTATATAAGAAACATAAATGGACTCATCTCATTATATGTTTTCATTGAATTACAATCTTGGATAACCTCATCATATCAACTAGTAAACCCCCAGGATTCAAATCATTATCTTGTCTAAATCTAGGGATTCTCAGCTTTCGAATTAACTCTCTCACATAAATCCATGTTATTTCAACAACAGCAGTGCATGATACAAGTAACATTATGTTTCAGTATTAATGACAAATTGTATTATCTAAACTTTTTCTAAATACATGTAATATGTACTTAGAATAGTTCAAACATAATTTCTAATGATTACATGAATGTGGCCAAGGTAAGGATTAGGTTGAAATAGCCTGACACAGAATGGTTATCTGTTTTAATTCCTGCCAAGCAAATTAGCTGATCTCAAAGCTTTAGCCATGGCTGTGAAAAGATACATGTATACAAGATAAAGCTTTGATCAATTAAGTTCACATTCTATCTTTTGTAAATCAACAGACCAAAGAGATTGATCCTTCCCAGCACCCAGAATGTTTGCACCTACAGATACAAGTAGATTTACTAATATAAACACTATATCATTGTGGAGAAAATTTTAAAACTACAAAATACATGCTACAAGGAAAGGTCTCTCAGACTATGAAAAATTAATTAGGAATGTAGATGGAATACTGATAGTAGACTACAGTACAGTACACTACATGCTTATGCTATGGTCACAAACCTTCGTACCAACGATAATTTCGTAGGAATCTCCGTTTTTCCATCGTCTTCCCAAATTTCAATTGTCTGAAAATCGTTTGTACAGGGTTCGTAGCAGTTCGTAATGGCATTTGTGACCCGGGCATTACCAGCCATGGATTAGAATAGGTGTCCTATGAATAGTATACTGTGAGACATGCTTGCAACGATGGACTAGACTTCATGTAAATAGGTGTTCCGTGAAATCACTACACATACTTACAAGCAATGTACTAGGATAGGTGGCCCATCTCCAGGTCTACTCTGTTCACTACTTCTCTGGATCTCACATTTGCGAAGGTAGTCCATGAGTTGAAGGACTGCATCCATACACTGTTCTTGAGACTGGACCCCGTCGGACTGGATCCAAGTGGGCCAAGTCTGAACCTCAAACTGACGGATCTCATGTACCTCCTGTTAACAAGATGCATTCATTGTCACGATAGAGTGTTAGAAACTATTTCATCCATGTCTTCTACCCTGTAATAATACATAACACACCATATCATTGCAGTAGCAATATCATAATTAAAAGAGTATCATCAGCAGTTTCCTGATGGACAGACAATCTAAGGGTGGTTTACTTGAGTGGCTAGCTGCCCTGTAGTAATCCCAATGGTCCAATTAGACAAACAGTTTTAAGCTCAGTTAGTCTAAAATGCATCTTTAGATTTTTCACATTTTGCCAAGGTTTGAGACTGCTTGCCCTTACTGCCAAATTTGCGATTTGCAAACAGATGTCCAACAAGCAAGCAAGTAAGCAAGCAACAACAACAAATTAAGTCATTATAATAAGCCTCTAATGTTTACATGGTCATCGATATCATACCCCTGCTTCTTATTACTCCCAACCCAACTGTCCACACCCCCACTTTGTGTACAGTAAATTTTACTATCAATATTTGCTCAGCTTCTGAAAGAGAAAACAAATACAGGCAGCTACATAGGGATATAACCTCAAATAATGTTATTGTATGGTTTACTGACCTCCTTGTATTTGAGCTCTAGTGTGCGAACTTTGACCCGGTTCATGTTCTCTGACCCCTTGTGACCCACGGTGAAGGGGCCAAAAGTCACGCTCCTAGTGTTGACAGGCCAGTATATGCTGCATGTCTGCAAGAAGTTGAAATTAAACACAAGATACAATTGAGAAACTACAAAAATACAAGATATTGGTGATTGAACCGATGACAAATTAGAGACATGGTAGGGGTAAAATCAGGAAGAAAAAAAGAAAGAAAAACAAATCGGGGAAAAATTATGAAAAACAAAATCAGGAAAAAATCGATAAAAAAATAAAATAATTGGGAAACCAATTTTAATCGGGTAATTATCAGGCCTGGAGATAGTATCTGTGTAACATGCTTGATATCCAATGAAGATAGTTGAGTGAATATGACAAACCTTATCATTGAGTTGGTTGAGCATGATGATAGTTGAGATACGGTAGTCATGTACTAATCTCCAGAAGTCCAGCACAGTGCTATCAAGAGGCATTTGTGTTGCGATGAAAGCATTCTTCTTGGAGTAACCCTGATGGATAATAAAAGAAAAATGAATAACGAGCTTTACCTAGAAAATGATGCCTCTGCCATAGAGCAATTTTACAAACCAAAACAGAAGGAATTTTCTGAAAATACAAGTTTGATTACAATCTATTTTTTTTCATATACATGTATGACCCTTTGATCTTTAACCTCCTGACCCTAAAATATAATCAGTTCTTTGGCTCTGCAAGATACATACATGTCCTGAGTTTGGCGGTAATCCATTAATCAATTCTTGAGATAATGCAATCACAAGCTATTTTTGCATACATAATGAGCCCTGTGACCTATGACCTTTGACCCTGTGACCCCAAAATCTAATCAGTTTGTAGTGACTTGACCTTTGGAGGACTTTGCATTTGTATATATTATTGTCTTGTCTATATTGTGTGGCTTGAAGTCTAGCCTTTTATTCCACTGTCACTCATTTCTTTAGTGACACCTGTTACATTACTAGAATGCCACACATACTTATTCTGGCAAGCACATTCCACACCCTATGGGTTGGGATGTGCAACCGCCTAGTGGTATAGCTTATACAGGCACATTACACTGGATTGCCACACCTATTTTCATCACTTCTCCTGAGCTGTTCATATAGAGCACACATATTCTAGAGAGTCTTGAGTCGATCTACAGCAAAGCTAATTCAGCTTCATCTTAATTCTTGTCCTATTTCTTCGCTTGTTTCTCTACTCGGTTCTGAGGCCTTATTACTTTATAGAGATTATAAGTTTCTTCTTCCTTACTTAATTCGCAAAGAAGCGTCATTACTTTGTACATGGTCTTACATATTCTTTCTATGGGTGCTGTGCAATATTTGAACTACTACTTGTGATATAATATTTGTTCCAAGTGTCTGTACTCAACAGGTGTTTCTACGAGACAAATAAGGAAAGAAATTTATTTCTATTTCTTTTATTTAGGTGATTCCCTAAAATTCCCTAAAAGTTCATTGGCTCTGCAAGATAAATACATGTCCTGAGTTTGGCGGTAATCCGTGAGATAACGCGATCGCAAGTCATTTCTACTTCTCACATAACAATTATAATCATGTACAACACGTATAGACATACGGACAACCAGAAAACATTATGCTGCCGGCTACTTTGTAATGGATACATCTAATGAAGAACTCTCCTGAGAAGAAACTGTATATTCAGAGAAAAGCTTGAATATATATGCCTACAACATAGTGGTAGTTCATAACATTAATAATGGATATTAGGAGCCACTTAAGATATTTAGTACAAATGTGCTTACAAAATCAAAGATTATGAAAGCAAAACAAAATATGACATCTCAAATGATTTAAATCACATCAGCCTAAAGCAGAGACAATGATTTTTTTAAATATTGCAGACAAATATGCATTACTTAATTCAACAGACTATAAAACTTCAAAGAATGAGCCTGATTTTGTTATTGATAATCCCTGTCATAAACATTACCTAAAAATCAAGACTATTATTATACAAATGCTTACAGACATGAAGCTGGCATTGATGTAGTTATTAGAGCCTGCACGGTCACCAGGAGTCATCAGATAGGGGCGACTTCGGTCCTCTATAGGAAGAATAATAATGTGAAAAAGTAATTACTAGAAAGTGATTCAAGTTTAATGAGTAGATTGTAATCATATCTGTACTAAAGATGAATGGACAGGAAAATTTTAATTCCAAGACCAACCTTTAGCCTCGGTCACAAATGCCATTACGAACTGCTACGAACGCTGTACGAAAGATTTTCAGACAATGGAAATTCAGGAGAAAGACAGGGAGATTCGTACAAAATTATCGTTCGCACAAATCTTTGTGACCGTAGCATTACATAACAAATAAATAATAAATGCACCCACATAGCTGGAGAAAGTATTGTGAAAAATCTTGTCAAATATTCATAGTATAAAACCCTTGATTTTTTGAGAGCATCTGCAATTTCAAAGATCATTGGCCAAGACTTCCAACATATATACTGAGTCCTTCTGAATGACTACCTGGAATGTACAAATAAATATTACAGTTGGTGAAGGCAGTGGTAGCTCTAGGGGGTAGGGGGCTCAAGCTCAAGCCCCCTCCCCCTAAAAAAAAAAATTAAAAAAATAAACAAATAAATCATGAGGCACATGTAAAATGAATGCAAAGAATCTATGCCCCCCCCCAAAAAAAAATATTTATAAAAAAAATAATAATAACAATAATAATAAAAATAATGGTAATAATAAAATTAATAATGATAATAACAATAACAAGTAACTTGAATAAATAAATATGAAGAGAGATGTCTTACGAGGAAGAATGTTTGGATATCTGTTCTTCGTCTCATTCTCAGGACTACTACCCGAACAGCCGACATTCACGTCTGATGATACAATGTCCAATATCTGAAACAAAACAAACTCTCATTCATTCTACATTCAAAATGGTGGATTCTAACAAGAAAAATACATTTCAAGGCTTGTAATTTGAATTTCTGATGTTGGGCTTTTTCTGGTTTTCCAATCAGTATAAAAACATAAAAGCTGACGTTAATCACTTGCCATGTGATGCATAGATCACAGGCTCAAGCCATAGTAAGGCAGCAATATGTCAGATAACTTTAAAAGCGAGACATACATGTATTTCTCTACAGTGTGAGTCCAAAAAAGGTTTACACCTAGAAAATAGCTCATTATTTTAAAAATCATGAATAGTAAATGATTATACATCTTATGAAAGAGTGTTTTATCCCAAATCATTTGGTATCATTTTTGTGTGGTATGTGTTCACGCTTGGACGAACAGGATTTACTGTTCATAGATGATTTTAAAAATAATTAGCAATTTTCTAGGTGTAAACTTTTTTTTGACTGACACGGTATTGCTTCTCTGCATCAAGGTGTTGGTATACCCTGTATTATACAACACCTACGTGGATCCCTGCCATTTGATTGGAGGATTGTTGGTCACATGATATTCAATATATGGTATATTGCACGGTCATGCATTTTTGGTTATATGCGCCGTGCATTTTTGGTTATATGCAGACTGCGTACCTCTCTGCCGTGCGCGCGCGTATCCCTGCGTGTATCTGACGCGAAGGCAATCTGAATGTAATCGAGAAGGCTTGAATCCAACTTGAATTTTATCTTTAATATAAGGAGTAAAGCATAATTTGTTGATTAACGTTCTATTAGATCTTCTTCGATGTTGTATAAAACAAATAATGAATGGTTATGAGTTCAATAGTGCGAATATTTTCATTCGTTGAAAGATTAACATGAATTCTATTCAACTCGGCTGACGCCTCGTTGAATAGAATGTTAATCTTTCAACTCATGAAAATATTCGCACTATTGAACTCATAACCATTCATTATTTGTATATTATGCAGACATCATGTGGTTGGGATAGCATGGGCCTGTCTGTCAATTGCTGACCGGCTGGAATGTCTCAAAAATGGAGTGACCATAGATGGTGCACAGAATCATGAAGAAAAAAAATGCTGAAAAAAGCTCTTTCTATTCTCGCATCCATGCTAGAGGTTTCATTATTATCACAATATTCAGAATTCCTCAAAAACATAGATGTACATATATATTATGAATACCTCAAATTCTTGTTGCAATGGAGACTTGTCTGTATGTGGGTTTGGCCACTGTATTTGCTCCACTCTCTCGGTTATATCGTCTTCTAGGATCAACGTATCACCGCATAACAAACCCTCTAGCACAGCCTCATGAACAAAAGCATATTGCTCCTGCAAACAAATGAAAGATAAGAGTGTTAATGGTAACTTGCAATGAAACTTGGCATTAAAGATAAAGATCAGTCCTGGTCATGCGATTGCATTTTGAAAGGAATGTTGTGGAATTGTTCAGAAAAGGTTGATCATGTAGCATACAAGTATTGGTGTGTACTGCAAGGTTCTGGAATCATCAAAATCATAAGAAATTTGGCCCAGTCTTGGTAAAGTTACAAGCACTGTACACAGAAAGATGTATATGGGACTACGCGACACGTGCGCGATATCTATCAAGTCCAAATAGATATAATAATGTACCAAATATATCAATTAGTAGGCGGTTTCTCAGCCAAATTTATATGATCACATATTAGTCAAAACATATTCTTTCACATGATTGGTAATAAAAGCTTCCATTTCATTTTTTGAGAGGGGGGAGTTTCCAAAACTGGTCTTTACCTTTAATGGTAACTTGTCAAATGAAAGTTGGCATTAATGATAACTCTTATGAAATAGATGATTCACCTAGCTTATGACTTGTGGGAAATCTATATATCTTTTTTTAAATTTACTTTTAATTTTTTTAGTGCATCATGTACTTTTATAGACAAATTGCAACAAGATAAAGTAATGGCAATTTCAACAAGATCTGTAAATAAGAAATGATCAGTAAATAGAAAAATAAATAAAAACACAAGACTTAGTGTATGAGAGAAATTGCACAAATATATGTGCACTGGCATAAAAACACCATAAATTGTAACCATGATTTGATTTTTCACATGAGTTGCTCAAAGTTCCAGAAAATAAGTGATTTAGCCTAGAATTTGACAATCTACATATATCTTGTAATGCATCATACATGTATTTTTGAATTATCAATACCAATATACTCTTATGTTTTCTTCAAGTATCCTAGAATAAATGAAGATGTACATTTTTCTTAGTCCATGTGTACCCTGTGATGCAAATGGATGTACAGTATGATAATGAAATCTGTGAATGCTTAAATATAATGCTCAAATAAATGATTCAAGTATTCAACCTCAAAAAAAATGCACCAATTCGATTAAATTGACATCCTTTGAGATGAACACATTAGAGTAGTTGAAACACATTTCTTACATGAAAAATAATCATGAAGACAAGATGTTCAGTATCGGCAGACTTACTAATTTGACATTTAAATCTAAATACTAGACACAAATTCTCCATGAATAAGCATGTAGGGCCATAAACATCCAATGGATTTATAGAAGAACGCATATAAAAATCTAAAAAGAATTCTACACAAATATATGGCAGTGACACAAAAAAAGAGAAGAAGAAAAATAAAAACTGAAAGAGAAAAGCAAACAAATGTAAATAAAGAGGAATGAATGAGATATGAGTAACTCACAGGAGTTTGAACCATCTGAGGTCGGTTGTTTCTCATTGAGTTGATGAAAGAGAAGATATCAATCTGATCAGACCTCTTGGCTTCTCGTAAGATACTATCTACAGCAATGATCACACCTGTTCTTCCAGCACCAGCACTGTTATAAAACCAAAACAAATCTATGTTAGATCACAAAATATAATAAAGGGACCCTAAAGACAATGGTATATCTACAAAAATACTAGCAAAGTAATCACTTTTGTCATACTCTGAAAGTGGCATAAAGAAATGTTATACAGTAGGCTTGCAGGTGCACCATGTGAGAGAGAGAGAGAGGGAGGATTGAGGAGTCCTGAAAAGGACTCTCTGTAATCTTTCTTGAGGGTGAGTAGTCCTGAAAAGGACTGTTGGTGTAGTCCTGAAAATGACTGTTGGTTATCTTTCTTAGCTTATAGTTTTAAGGAGAACTATAGCGCTTGGAGAGGATGAGTGGCGGGAGTGGCTTGACGTTTCAAACAGGTTGACTATCCATGACCGTGTGGGCTTGAGTCATCGGAGAGTGGACATGGGTGGTCTACTTGTCCGTCTGCTTGTCCGTCTGAAATGTTGTTTACTGTTTGAGCATTGTTTCAAAGTTGATACAGAATCAGGGTTTTACGCTAGTTTGAACATCATATCCTTTGAAAATTGTATAAATGGGAAGACTCATTGTCAGAAAGCCCTGATAATTGGCCAGAAGTCATGTCAATTGATCTCATCAAAATAGTTTTCTTGACAAAAAAAAATCTTTTGACGGTGTTGTTTTCTAGGCTGGAACTCCTTTGCTATACAATGATTCTTTAATTACATGTTTCTTTAAATAACTTTCTTATAAATTTCCTATAATCTTGTTTGACTGCATGACTGTAGTCTATAGCATATCAGGGAAAAAAATACATGGGGGCTCGGGGCAAATTAGCCCCCGAAATACCCAAAAGAGCCCCCGAAAGTCATAAAAAAGCCCCCTAAAATTTTCATAGAGTTCAATGCAAAACAAATTAAAGGGTGTTATTTTCATGCAAGCAAGCTTGAAAAGTAGCCCCCAAAATTTTTTAAACATTTTTTCCCTTGTAGCATATATGAATTTACTGTTTATTCTAGGAGAAGTTACCTGCAGTGAACAAGCAGTGGTCCATCCCCTGCTTTCTCCTGGCTCTCATTGACATCTTGGATCATCTTGAGTACAGGTCCAGCAAACTTAGGTACTCCTTTGTCAGGCCAGCCTTGGTAGTGGTATTGCTTTAATGTCCTTGATTCTATGCCCTATACAAGATAAATATCAGGGGTGATAGTAAGCAATAACAAACATTTTTTTCCCCCTCAACCACGCCCCCCTTGACCAACAAAAAGGGAAGAGGATTCAGGGGGGAAAAGGCATCTAACATCCCCCCCCCCCTGTTGAGTAAGAAAAATTGGTAAATAATAGGGAAAAATAGGGAAGAATTGGAAAAGTGAGGGAAAAATCAGGAAATCAGGATAAAATCGGGAAAAAAACAACAACAACAAAAAATCGAGAAAAAAATATTTAAAAAAAACGGGAAGAAAAAAAAAACGGGAAAAAAAAAATTGCGGAAGAATTATTTAAAAAGCAGAAAACCAATTTAAATCAGGTTATTATTAGGCCCGAAATATGTCATCTATAACTAGTACCTCACTCTAATATACCCTGTACTGTATTTGTACTGTAATTGCAAAATGGGAACTGATTCAGTTCACGGGGGCACTATGATAAATTACAGTCTTTTGATCAAAAACAAGTGTTTCAGTTAGTTGTGAAAACAGCAGAGCTTCAATAAAAAATAAAAATATTCTTAATGAAATTCCATTCAAGAAGAACATGCTTAAACATTTTTCCAGTGGCAAACATGATCTCAAGTATTTTATCAACATTTATACAAAATATAGCAAAAGAAAAGGGAATTCAAGTTGTGTAAAAAAAGCAAAAAACTGAAGCTTGCACATGAAATCAGAATTACTAAAATACACTATGAATATTTGTGTTTGATCAATCACCACTGTACAAAATATGCTCTTATCCTTCTTTGACATTTTCTACTAACATTACATCTTCTTTTGCCTTTTTACTTTTAATATAACTAAAGTGATATTTAAGTTATATCTAAATGAGCCAATATGTAAATTATCATTTTGAAATATAGAGAATTGGAAGATTTCTTACATTTGTAGTCATTAGAATCCTGATGACATATCGATGGCAGACATCCACACGATGACATGTAACTTGAATGTTACCATGCGTCTCAGTGTCACCTTCATTGGGCCAGTACTGTAAGCACTTAGTCTATCAAGGAAGAGAGTAGTACACAGTTAAAAGTCATTTCTACTTCTCACATAACAATATATTCATGTACAACACAGTGATCACTATACCAATCATTGGATCAGAAATTCAATTCCAACTAATGCATAATAAAACATAATGGTATGTACCTATTGAAGTTCATGCAAGATAGAAATGACATAGTCTGCCACAATTCAATTTCCTAACTTTTTTTTCTTTCTCCAGAAACACACATTCCTTCTCTATTATCCCATTTGGAATGCCAGGGCTATACATTGTTTCATATCTCCACAATCTTAATGTTTATCATTACCAAAAGGATGTGCACTAATTCAGTTCAAAGGTAAACATGGCATTAAATGATATTGTAAAAATGGATGACATACAGGTACCTTGTCCTCTACTCTGTACCAAAGGAAACAATACTTAAAGGGAACCAAAGAAAACAATACTTAAAGGGAACCAAAACCTTCATACTAAGTTACTTTTATTGTAAAGTTTAAGATATTTGAATAAAATCAGTGAAAATTTGAACAACATCGGGCAAGGAATAAGGAGTTAAAGCTTCTTGAAATGACTAGTCACTAGAGGGCGATATTCAATTTGATGACATCATTTGTGGACAACTCTCCATGCCTTTTGTACATCAAATTTCACAATTCTTTCGTTTTCTTCGTATTTATTTGTGTTCTTGATCCGACTTCATAACATGTGAAGTAGAATATCATTTTGCATTCTATACCTTGCTTTCAGGGGAGTAGATTATGTCAATCACAAAAAAGAAGGAAAAACATGAAATTTGATGTACAAAAGGCATGGAGAGTTGTCCACAAATGATGTCATCAAATTGAATATCGCCCTCTAGTGACTAGTCATTTCAAAAAGCTTTAACTTCCTTATTCTTTGCCCAATTTTGTTCAATTTTTCAATGATTTTATTCAAATATCTTAAACTTTACAATAAAAGTAACTTAGTATGAAGGTTTTGGTTCCCTTTAAACCTTTGCCTACCTTTCCCTCCTCAAACAGGTTGGTCACCATGACGATATTGTGAACATTCTCCATCCATACCATCTTCCAGAAGTCTGATAGAGATGCTTTATTAGGTCCTACAAAACAACATTACACAAACACATATTGATATATTTCACGAACACAAGCATCAATATGAATGATGATGATAGAAGTATAAGTATTAGTAATAATAGTACTAATACAAATACATCTACTTCTACTACTACCTCTTCTACTACTACTGATAGTACTACCTTCTGCTGCTACTACTACTACTACTACTACTACTACTACTACTACTACTACTATTACTACTTCTACTACTTCTACTACTAATACTACTACTAATACTACTACTTCTACTCCTATATACTACTGCTTCTGCTTCTGCTACTGCTACTACTACTACTACTGCTACTACTACTACTACTACTACTACTAATAGTACTACCTACTACTACTACTACTACTACTACTACTACAACTACTATATACTACTAATACTACATGTACTAACACTACTGCTACTTCTACAACTACTATATACTAATGCTACTGCTTCTGCTAATGCTTCTACTACTGCTGCTTCTGCTACTACTACTACTACTACTACTACTACTACATGTACTACTACTACTGCTACTTCTACTACTACAACTAATATATACTAATGCTACTGCTTCTGCTATTGCTGCTTCTGCTACTGCTGCTACTACTACTACTACTACTACTACTTAGCATTCCAGCGAGGCACCATTTTATAGATCCTCACAATGCTCAGCAAAATAAATGAATTTGTGCATCCTACCAGGTACCCATTTAACACCTGGGTGGAGAGTGGCAACATGGATTAAGGTCTTGCCTAAGGACGTTAGTTTGGGCTAGGATTCAAACCCTCAACCCTTTGAGAATCAATTGAATGAATCACTATAGTATACCACGACACCCCCACTAACGTTAGAGGACAGAACACAATACCAGTGCATGAGCAGGGAAAAAGAAACAAATCTATATACATGTACATGAAAGCCTCCACCAATTAGAGGGTACAATACTCTTAACATTTGCTTTAGTTAATGTAAGTTATATATGCTCCAGGTCTATTTCATCAATGATAAGGTGTTAATCATTATTTATTTGGCAAAGGCAAAGTAGAGAATCAGTGAATACAAAACAACAGTAACCCATAGGAAAGTGAAAAGTATGCCGCAGACCTGCCGCAGACCTGCCGCAGATCTGCCGCAGACCTGCCGCAGACTTTTAGTCTGCGGCAAAGAGTATGCCGAAGTATGCGGCAGAAAGAAATTTTGCTGCAGACTTGCCGCATACCAGTATGCCACAGGAACAGTCTGCGGCAGATCTGCGCCAGGATGAAATTTTGCTGCAGACTTGCCGCATACTAGTATGCCACAGGAACAGTCTGCGGCAGATCTGCGGCAGGATGAAACTTTGTTCCAGACTTGCCGCATACTAGTATGCCACAGGAACAGTCTGCGGCAGATCTGCGGCAGGATGAAATTTTGCTGCAGACTTGCCGCATACTAGTATGCCACAGGAACAGTCTGCGGCAGATATGCGGCAGGATGAAATTTTGCTGCAGACTTGCCGCATACTAGTATGCCACAGGAACAGTCTGCGGCAGATATGCGGCAGGATGAAATTTTGCTGCAGACTTGCCGCATACTAGTATGCCACAGGAACAGTCTGCGGCAGATCTGCGGCAGGATGAAACTTTGCTCCAGACTTGCCACATACTAGTATGCCACAGGAACAGTCTGCGGCAGATCTGCGGCAGGGCGAAACTTTGCTCCAGACTTGCCGCATACCAGTACGCCACAGGAACAGTCTGCGGCAGGTCTGCCACAGGAAATCCCATTAAAGTCTAATAGGGCCAATTGAAACCAATCATCTCATGCATATTCATTATTACTTTACACGTGTGACAGAAAAATACATTTATCATGATTTGTTAAGCAAATTAAGACAATGCACATAATTTTTTTGATTTCTATTTTCCTTTTGCCATTATTAACCAATAGATTATTTTGTCTGATCATGTTACAATTACATTCACGTTTAAGCAATAGATATATTGATTACTAACCAAGAAACTATGATTACTAACCAAGAAACAATATACATATTTAGTATATATATGTGTACGAGCCTGTGTCACTTTAAATGTTACTCTTAAATACACTTCAAATGATCAATGTGATGAAGTTAATACAATTGAGAATAGAATATACCTAATTGGTAAAATCAATATATATTGGTATTACCTAATTGGTAATATCGATATTGCCAATATTGATTATGAAGTATCAATCAGTTTATCACTGGTTCTTCTACATGCATACTTTATTGCCACGTACTGGATATGAAAGAGTATGCGGCAGGTCTGCAGCAGGTCTATATGAGATATGAATATTCATGACGAAGAGTCTGCGGCAGGTCTGCAGCAAGTCTGCGGCAGACCTGCCGCAGACTCTTCATCATACTGAAAGAGTATGCGGCAAGTCTGCAGCAAGTCTGCGGCAGACCTGCTGCAGACTCTTCATCATACTGAAAGAGTATGCGGCAAGTCTGCCGCAGACCAGCCGCAGACTCTTCATCATACTGAAAGAGTATGCGGCAGGTCTGCAGCAAGTCTGCGGCAGACCTGCCGCAGACTCTTCATCATACTGAAAGAGTATGCGGCAAGTCTGCAGCAAGTCTGCGGCAGACCTGCCGCAGACTCTTCATCATACTGAAAGAGTATGCGGCAGGTCTGCAGCAAGTCTGCGGCGGACCTGCCGCAGACTCTTCATCATACTGAAAGAGTATGCGGCAAGTCTGCGGCAAGTCTGCGGCAAAACTAATTTGCATGTGAAAAAGATGACTGTCTGCGGCAGGTCTGCTGCAGATCTGCGGCAAGTCTGCCGCAGGAGTATGCGGCAGGCTCATTTCTTTCCTATGGGAAGATTTGGAGTGAGCCACATGGATGCCGGCAAAAGAAAAGGATTAACTAAATATTAACCCGTTTACTACTGAATGTTATAGGTCCCATAGGCTTAACACAGGGACCACCAGGTTCCCGTAAGCAAAGGGTTAAAGTATGACCCTCAGATATTGTAGAGATAGGGTAGTGAAGTTACATGTACAGGTTTAGTATTATGCTGGGTTTACATTATGTTCCCGGTGGCCACACCAATCACGTTTCAGGCCACCATAAACATATGGCATTCCCACCTTCTTTTCACTTTATTCAATACTGCTCAAATATTTTTCCGCAATTGGATTTTGCCCAAATCATTATGCTACATATAAAGAACTGTTGTTCAATCTACATGCATGCATAGAGATAATAAGATAAAGGTTATGATACAAATGTACAAAGAAAGATTACACCATTAGGCTTTATTATTCCACTCATTCACAAAGAAAAGAAAAGCTTGAGAAAACAATGTATTACACATTTCACGTACAATGTAGGATTAGCAGGTATAAGCATAGAAAATATAATTAATTGAGACTTCACTGCAAGAAAAGAGTTTATTAGAAGAGAAAAAATGAGAGTGAAACATCAGCATACAATACACTGATTACATCCATACCATTTGAGGAGATGGGAATTTGTTAATGTTGTAAGGATGAAAATCTTCCCCCACCCCAAACAACTAGACGGTCAAATTAAGAGCAAAAGGAGGGAATGATATTATAGCAGAGCTGCCAACCTTGTGCAACCAAAAAAAAGAACCGTGATGGCACAAAAAAAGGAACCATGATGGCAAAAAAAAGGAATTTCAGGCAAAAAAAAGGAATTCATTAAAACGAAACTTACAACCACGCGCGACACACTTCCAATGCAGAAATGTCCATTCCTAATGCTGTTTTTTCCATACAAGCAGGTTCATTCTTCTTTCATTCCTCGTCAGTCTATATTTTCTCTTCAGGTATGTTTCCAAGTATGTTTTAAACTTAGTTTTCTAGTGAATTTATAATCAAATCAACATTTTAGGGCAGTTGTTTGATGTGCGGTATGTAAACAAAATTATTTAAAAAAAAATTATAAACAAAATTATTTAAATTTTTTTAAAAAGTGTATTTTATGAAGAAAAAACGTACTACCGTAATTTGGAGGAAAAACCGAGTAATTCCGGCAAAAACAGAATGGTTAGCAGCTCTGTTATAGTAACTTTGGTGCGTACTGAAATTTATCTGAAAGTCTGTACAACTTAAACCGGTATTCACTGGATCTGCTAGCTCCCATATATTCTACACCTGTACCATACATCCTATAAATTGTATTTGTTTATACACAATGTCACCTTTATTCATTTATAAATCGCACTGTGCCAAGGACATGGGTTTACATTTGTACTTCTATCATTTGAAATAAAATTGTTGGCATTATCTAAACATTTCATTTATAGGTAGAAAAATAGGCTTCTGTCAGTCTGAATTCATTTTGTATGCCATCAAGCTCTTGAATAGAATCCCACACATTGTTAGCATGCAGTCTAGCTTTAATAAAGGAACAGGTTACCACCAAGAATACTTCCTTTTATACACACCACAATGACCAGTTAATAACATGCATTGATATACATGGATGGTTACAAACAATACCTTGGGTTGCAATGTACATCTTTTCTTTATCAAAACTCTGCAGATGAAGGGGAAGGGGAAGAGGAGTTTTTTTTAACATATCACATTCCATGAACAAGAAACTACATACTTTACTACTTTACTAGATGTTTCAATTCATTAAGGTATGGATGGCACATAAAATAACAACCAGTAATAATCTTGTTTCATTCTGGTTATTCATGCATGCATGTATATGTACATCAATGTGCCATTTCATACTGCACTTCATGCATACGTTATCAAACAGAGCTGAGACATCTATACTATCTTTATTCAAATTTTATTTGCATGCATGTGGATGAACAAACAATACTAAATAGTTCAGTTATCTCCAATAACAGTCAAACCTGCTTTAGTGACCATCTGTCTACAAAGACCACCTGTCTACAACAAGCACATTTTTTTTGTATCCCTTGAAAATGGTTTCTCATTGAAACATGTACTAAAGGAACCTGTCTACAAAGACTACTTTTTGTGTTTCCCTTGGGTGGTTGCTATAGACACGTTTGACTGTATCAATAATATGAATATGAATAAAATTCATTACTTACATTGATATACGAAGCATTGATGTAGTCTGAGTCAGGCACCCCTTTCACTTCCTCTAACATCACTCGGGAATGATCGTCTGGAAATAATTAAATTGATTTAGATCCTTTGAGAAAACTTTTCAGGAATTAATCTCATTAAAATTCAATTTATTTAATCAACATTAGTAAATTATACATCCAGGACACACCCTCCCTCCCTCCCTCCCTCCCTCCCTCCCTCCCTCCCTCCCTCTCTCTCCCTCTCTGTCTGTCTGTCTGTCTGTCTGTCTCTGTCTCTGTCTCTGTCTGTGTCTCTCTGTCTGTCTCTCTCTGTCTCTCTCGCATAGCTTGGAATCAATTACATTCCTGTAGAAAGCCATATTTAGTTGCAGCTGGGTGAAACACGAGAGATTACACATGTCCATGCATGCTGTTTAAAACTGACTTTTATAACCTTAGTTTTACTTCATAAATGTACTATCTACAGTATAGTTTACATGTGCATGTAACTATTAAAGAGAAGATTGAGTTCTGGGAAGAGGTGAAAAATAATTTGTGAGCGTTATCATTCTTATTATGCAAGTGTGGAAGAACATCAGATAAGACATGTTCCCAGAAGAGCATGGCTCTTCAAATGCCTTTATATTCTAAATATGTCATGTAACAATGTAAAACTCGGGGGTAGGATTTTTACGCCAAGTGTTTGTGTAGTCCCATATACATCTTTCTGTGTACAGTGTTTGTAACTTTACCAAGACTTGGCCAAATTTCTTATCATTTTGATGATTCCAGAACCTTGCAATACACACAAATTCTTATATGCTAGATGATCAACCTTTTCTGGTCGATTCCACACCGTTTATTTCACAATGCAATTGCATGACCAGGGGGGTGTTTCACAAAGATCCTAAGTCAAATTTAACTCTAAGTTGGACTTAAATATTATGGAGAGCCATTTGTAGCCTTAAAATAAAATATGTTCAAAGCGAAAATTCAAGTATTTTAGACTTTTTATAAATTCCACATCAAGAACATGAATTCTCCTTGATAATAGAAAATTATGAATGATTTGAATCAACATTTTATGCCTCTTAAAAAAACTTTTACAAAATATTTTCAAAGATGCTAACGGCTTTCCATAATTTTTAAGTCCAACTTAGAGATAAGTTCAACTTAGGATCTTTGTGAAACACCCTCCAGAACTCAACTTCATCTTTAAAGGTAAAATCCAACTCCTTTCATACTCACATGCCAATATGTTGCGATATCGATTCTTGACCTTGTTGTTTGGTAAGCTGGCAATCTGACTCGGTTGACTGAGGCCAGAGGGTAGCAACTATTACAGAGAATCAATATTCAAGAGATATTATACTACTTTACAATGTAACGGTACATGTAATGAACTACCCTCAAACACATGAAGCAATTATGTATACATGAAAGTCATAATTGGTAATGTATGATGGGCAACCCTACATTGCATATCTGTGACCCTTGAAGATTTGTAAGATTTGTTTCTATTCATACAAGATATTTCTATATTCCTCTAACAAATAATTATGTAATCATTTCTGTTATGCTAAACAGTATGCTCATTTCTGTTATATCATTATGTTTATTATTGTCCGTCATTGTTTATATTATGTGAAAAGAAATTTAAAAAAAATTCGCTCTGTATAGAGCTACTACTACTACTACTACTACTACTACTACTACTACATGTGTGTCAAAAATCTCATAACAATTTGATAAAAGAACAATCTACAAATTTCACAAGTAAAGATGACAGTTGTCTCATTTTAACTCTTTTACACAATGAAAACCTTCTTTGCCTACAAACAATTCACTGATTCTGATACTCACCGCCCATTCATCTTCAAATGCCCGAGATCTGCGATTATTTTGCACATAATCAGCAAAGTCTGCTACAATGATAGGTCTCTGGCTATGTGATGCAGGTCGCAGGGCAGTAGGAGGGGGCGCCTCACAGGAACCAGGGACCTCAGGAGGTGCTGATAGAGGATGAGAAGGGGCTTTCCCCTTTTTTTCCTTGTTCATTTTGGAATCCGTCTCATCACCGGCAGCAGTCAGGTAAGTCTTTTCTTCATATGCTTCATTATGGTTCTCTGCTGTCATAGATATTGAAGAGAATACTTCAATTTGAATGTTCAAGTGTTTATGAAAAATGTAATAAAAGGGCAAAATCCAATATTGATATAAAAGCACTACATGTCAAACAGGAAAAAATGGCTCATCGATTCCATGCAATTATCATTATGGTTCTCTGCTGTCATAGTTTGAATGTTCAGTTTGAATATTCAAGTGTTTATGAAAAATGTCATAAAAGGGCAAAATCCAATATTGATATAAGAGCACTACATATTAATTAAGATAAATTGGCTCATCGAATCCTTGCAATTTTCATTTTGGGAGAATATCAGCTATTGATGTTTCATGCAAAGTGTGATATTTACTGAACTGATCGGGCCCAAGAAAATGAGGCCATCAAAACTGTTGTCATAAAGACAGCCTGTATCTTATACAGTAGGTTGCGGATGCACCATATGAGAGAGAAGGAGGATTGACGAGTCCTGAAAAGGACTCTCTGTAATCTTTCTTGAGGGTGTGTAGTCCTGAAAAGGACTGTTGGTGTAGTCTTGAAAAAGACTGTTGGTTATCTTTCTTAGCTTATAGTTCTAAGGAGAACTATAGCGCTTGGAGAGGATGGGCGGCGGGAGTGGCTCGACGTTTCGAACAGGTTGACTATACGTTGAGGTTACACTCCTGACAACGGATAGTCAAACTGTTCAAAACGTTGTACTGTATAACTACATCACCATGCAAGCCGATACTTACGAGCAGCATCTAGCTTGTATCTTGCTTTAATACACAGGCAGGCCTAATACAGGTGACTTCAAACAGATTCAGATGCAATATTTCTGTCATTAATTTCTGTTAAAACATAAATTTTGATGAGAATACTTACCTTGTTGTTCATCATTATAATCATTCATAGCTTGGGTTTCCAAGACGATGCGTTCTCTTCTATTGTGGTACATCTTTCGTCTTTTCCTGCATATGGCAAGGAACAACAAATATATGGAAATTATTCACATACTTGAACATATATTCTATTTTTGGAATAATAACCAAATAATAATAATAATCACCAACATCAACCACCACCATCATCATCACCATCATTCTGCTGTGCGACAATTGCTCTGGGTCCATTTCCTGAACTGAATACTGAACTCCAAACCTAGACCCAACACTATACCTTACCCTAATTCAAACCCTAAACCTAACCTAAAACACCATCACAACCCTAACCCTATACCTTTGACAAAATAAGGCTCAGAGAAATTGTTGTAAGAGTAAATATTGGATCACCCATCATCATCATCATCAATCATGTTATCATAATCATTACATAATCAAAAACAACATCATCATTATTGTTCATATCATCATCATCATCATCATACTCCTCATCATCCCTACTACATCTTCACAAACTTTATAATTAATAAGCCAGTTCACAGATACCATCTGAGCATAGACAGATGAAGGTAATTTGTACAAAATAGTTAAACCAACACAGGACAATACTGAATATATGCTCATGAAAGTTATATGATAATAATAATCCATTTTTCTACAGCACATATACCACATTACAAAGTATGTCCCTATGCGCTTATAAAGAAAAGCATAAAGAAAATAGGGTACTGAGTTCCTTTTACTTGTTTACAACAATTGAAATAAATATGTTTCTGGGTGGACTTAAACGTATCTATTGTGTCAATGTAAAGTGATTCTGGGAGGCTATTCCATAAAACTGGGGCAGCATGGGCAAATGAATGTTCACCATATGTGTTTGTCAAAATAGGAGGAACAAAAAATAGATTCTTTTTACATGATCAAAGATTTCTTACTGGTTTATATACAGTGAGTAATTCGTTTAAATAAAGGGGAGCTAATTCATGAAAACATAAAGCTAATAACAATATTTTGAACGGGATGCGATATACTGGACTGGTAACCAATGTAAATTTCGTAAGACAAGGGGATATTGAATCCTGTTTCTTAGAACGTGTAACTAGTCATTGTAACTACCGCGTTAAGGCCGCAGCGCGGTATTAGACCGCACCCTCGATTTTGACATTTCGTAGACAAAAAAAAATTGTTTTGCTTTTTTGCGGACACCATAGGCAGCAAGCCAGATGCCGTCTTACTACAGCTTTTTGTCCGCGTGCAGGCTGCGAGGATTGAGGTTGCTTTGACGATGGCACAAACTTAGATCTAGATCTACCGAAGCTTTTGGTTGGTAAGTTATGAAGTTTATTCACGAGATTGAAAAAACTTCATGTCAACAATCTAACACAAAATTGTCGGTAAGACATGTGTTATTCTAGACAGTTATTCTAGAAATGTCCAGTACCATTCATTGTAGTCCCATATGTACTAGTTTGTAATGTTTTCATGGTTTTGACTCTTGTGGCGCATTGGCCGCACCCAGACTTTTTGATATTTTCTCTTCCAAAAGTACTGCAGCCTTTACGCCGGCAACTACGGTAATCATTTCATTTATGCTACAACAGTACATTCTATGATACAAAGGTGGAAGTATTCTTCCCATGAGGGCAAACAAAATGTATTTAAGAAGCACCTCCATGATATTGGCAGTGAATATTGGAAGTGGCGTGGTCGAGTGGTTTAAGGCACTTGACTGGAGATGCGAAGGTCGAGGGTTCGAATTCCGACACGGCACTAATATCCTTTGGCAAGATATTTACCTGCACTTGCTACTCTTCACCCAGGTGTCAAATGGGTACCCGGTAGGATGCGACTGTCATTGTTGGTCAAACAGCTTTTGAGCGTCAAGTAACGCCTGGCTAGAAATGCTCCCCAGGGAGTGGAGATTGTGCACACAGTGTGTGCGGGCAAGCACTAAATCCAATGACCAGGGTAATAGTATATTTGTAAAGTGCTTAGAGACATTTGTATTAAGCGCTATATAAAAATTCAATATTATTATTATTATTAATATTCTAAAATGAAGGAAATGGGACCTCTCCATATCTATAAGATCTGTGGTTATTTGGAGTCTTTGTACCATGTAGTAACTACAAACTGGTATACTGTATCATCAGAGTATTGAATTGTTACATCTACCCAGTACTTATGTATGGTAGTGAAACATGGACTTTAGCCTCTGATACTAAAACGCATTTGGAAAGTTGCGAAATGTGGTTTTTAAGAAGAATGATGAAAATTCCCTGGACTGACAAAGTTAGTAATGAGGAAGTTCTTACACGAGCTGGAGTGCAAAGGAAAATGATATGTGAGATGTTGATTAGGCAGTTGAAGTTCATGGGTCACATTACACGTAAAGAAGGCCTAGAGAATATTGCTTTGACAGGGAAAATTACGGGAAGAAGGAGCAGGGGAAGAAGGAGGATACTTTGGATGGACAGTCTGCAGAAATTGTTGAAAGAGAGAGGAGTGAAAGAACTGGAAGTGGTACTAATACAGAAGGCTAGGAACCGAGGGTTGTGGAACAGCATGATTGCCAAAGTCAATCGATATGGCACTTAGAGAGAGAGAGAGAGTTTCATCGTTGCCAAAATTATTATTAACACACCATCATCATCATACTCATCAAAATCATCACCATCAGTAACTTCCTACCCACTATCATCTCTTACCTTCTCTGAACCCCAATGGTAACCATGATAAGAACGATGATGATGATGCAGATAACAATGACTACTGGTATGATGATGTACAGGAGTACTTGGTCATTGGTAGGAAGAGCTAATGTCACTCCCGAGGGTGTCGTTGTACTCGCTTCTGGCGTTGGCACTGTTGTCATTAGGGCTACATGTATATGAATAAAGAAATTATGAGTTGAGAATGTTTACCACTCACTATAATAGACTGTAATTCATTCTACATATTAATACCAGGATTTAAGTTCATTGATGACTGATAACCTTTTAAAGATTCGAACATTAGTATTCGTAATTTAACAGCCCTCCATGACTTCAAACTTGCTCTAAAAACCCATCTTTTTCTAAACAGTGCTATTTAATTAGGAAAGTTATAATTTGGAGTACTGTAATACTTTGTGTTGTTTTAATTTACCTGTATTTTAGTTAAGAAAGTGATATGTATCTACATGGTTCAATTTAAATAAGCTATCTATTAATGTAGAAAAAACTGTATATATGTACTTCTATAATTTAAAAAGTAACAAAAACAATGCACATGATCTGGTGGTTAAAATCAACAAACTTGATATAAAACGAGTCTTTTCTACCAAATTTTTAGGTATTGTAATTGATGAAAATTTATCTTGGAATAGCCAAATTCTTGCCGTAACTAATAAGACTTCAAAAGGTGTCGGTATCATTAGCAAACTACGTTATCTCTTACCTAAAGAAATTCTTATTCTACTATATAATACATTGGTTTTGCCTCATCTTAGTTATGGAAATATTGTTTAGGGAATTACATATCCATCAAAGTTAGATAAACTTTTAAAATTACAAAAGAGAGTAGTTAGATGCTGTACTTTATCTGATTTCCATGCACATTCTAAACCTTTATTTCTCAAACTGAAAGTACTTGATATATATCAGCTTAATAAGTATTTAGTAGGATTAATGCTCTTTAGATATGTTTACACATCACTGCCTGAAAATCTGCAAATGCTATTAACTTTTAACAATGAAATCCATAACTATAACACTCGTCATAGAGAGAAATTTCATATATTCAAATGTACAACAAACTTTGTGTCCTTTTCTTTTAAACATACTGTACCTCTTGTCTGGAATGCACTCCCTCAGGAAATATGTCAAACTAGAAATTTTAATGGATTTAAAAGGAAACTCAAATCTTATTTATTAGCGAGTACATAACCCCTGTATACTATTTTATGTGATAAAAAGAATTTCATTTTTTTGTTTTTTGTTCCTTCTTCACTTATATATATATATTTGTTTCGTTTTGTATTGTTTTGTTATTGTCCAGTAAATTATTTATGTACATACATGTAGTTATCTATTGCAAAAATATTTTAATTCAAACCTTTGGCACAGCCTTTGCAGTGACCCAAATTCCATTTGATTTCTTTACCTTTAAATGTACTGATTAGTGACATTCTGATGTTTGTATAACTTGTATTTCTTTTTCTTTTCTTTTTTACACTTGTATTATCTTTTATATACATATATGTTTTTTATTGAATGGAATGAATAAAATCTTGAAATGTTCGATATTGTAATAATTATGTGCAGCGCCATGAGCGTCAGAGCCTGGCGGATACCGGCGCTATATAAATATCCATATCATTATTATTATTATAGGATTTACAATTGTTTGGAGAAAGCAGAGAGTAAAACTGTATCTTAAATGAATATCAGAACCCTGTCCCATGGTGATTATTTAGTTTTCTGAAAGTTTGCCAAGCTAAATATAATATATTCTTAAATTAATGAACTATCACGGTAACCCTAAACAATCAAGGGCTTGTTACGAGATAGATTAGTGCAGCATTTTTCAACCAGGGTGACGCAAGACATCTCTAGGTGTGTCACAAGAGGAATTTTGTTGCAACAAAAAGTTATTTTGGAATAACATCCATTTTGTGAAACACCATATATTAACAGCCGCTAGAGTGTGTAATTTCGTGAAGGAATAGCATTTTAAGATAATAAAGTGTCTTTCTTTCCAACTCGCATTATTTAGAAAACAGGATGACTTCAGGCAGTGAACTATCTATAGTAAATACATCCATATTTTAGCAACAAGGTGCCTAAATATCAATTTATTTGACAGCAACGTACCAAATAAATGTATTTATCTTTTATATCTTTTATACCAAAGTAGCACTTTTGCCATGTTTGGTTCACTCGCTTTCGCTCATTTCTTTTTGCTCACTCGCTTTTCTCACTCGTAAAGGTTATGAATATATGTGTTCGTAGGTGTGTACATGGTACTTGACAAGTTTCAGATTGAAGCACAATCAATATTCTGTGATGAATTTGGGATTGGGATGACGCGAAAAGGGTGACATGACTGAAAAAAGGTTGATATATGCTGGATCAGAGGAGATATCAAGGAACTGACCTGGTAATGTTACTGGTTGTGAGTTGGGGCCTTTAGGTCCCTCTCCCCCTTCTCCTTCTCTCACTGCTGCTACAGAGAAGCTGTATGTGATGCCTGGTGAGAGGTTTATCACAGTGTATTCATAGCGTCCCATCATACCACTCTCATCAGATGATACAAACTCAGCCATCTGCACACTCCCATCAACCTAAAGACATAATAATTATAGTAAATAAATATAGTTTCTATAGTTTCTACATCAATGCATATTTACATATATACTTACCGGATGTGTTTTTAAGGCATCACTGTGTCAATCGGATTGCCAATTTTGATACATCATGTAGGACAGAACGAAATAAGAATTGGCGACAACATGTGTGCACATAAAGATGAGCAATGTAAAGATACCAATTAGCTAATAATCTATATTTATAATCATTTATTCTCTTTAATGTCCTATTTGCAGGCCCAAAAATGAAAAGGTTAAATTCCAACGGCATTTGAAAGATAATACTAATTTAGAACTTCCCTAAAAAAAAAAGGGGGGGGGGGGGCTTGAAAATGTCTTTAAGTGCAAAAAAAAAAAAGGATTATTAGTGGTTGAATCGACTTATAAGTGCTACCAAGTCAGTAAGTAATAGTCTGATTTTCAGACCATTGTACCAAATGGTTGTACGTTTTGTGCTGCGCAATGATTCAATCAGTTTAATTTTGGCCATTACAAGAAGTGGGTTATTGATGTAGACAAATGCTCATGTACCCTTTACAGCTCATTTTATGTATGTTATTACCAAAGAAGAAAAAAGCCAGTCAGTCACTCAATAGTGTCTGACAGTGAAGTCTAGCAAGTAAATGGGTTTCCTTGCATAATTTGAATATTAGGACACTGCTAACGTTTAAATTTCACAGATAGGACATACATGACATATTCCAAATTCTCCAAAGTTCTGCAGAATTTAATGTTGGCTGCAAAAGGGACATAGTATCTTTAATAAAATGTATATCTTTAAAAGTATATGATTTTTGTTTTTCCTTTGTTAAAAAATACCAAAATTATAGTGCAATGGTACTATAGTACAATTTGGAGGAAGGCAGAGTATAATGAATTTCCAAACAAAAAGTTGATATAAAGATACAATATGGAATATATATATGAACATTGCTCATACTCCTTTACCGTTAACCTATAGAATGCCAGGTAAAAAAATAATCATTTACCGGTAAGTTTATACATTGACACACTTTTACATTGATTCAATTTATGCATAGGAATAAATAAGTGAAATAATAAGCCTCACTCACATGATAATATACGATGTATCCAACAATCGGACCCTCTCCCGCATCTAGTGAATCATTATCTGCTTTCCAACCAAGCCAGTCAATAGTAGCATTCTCATTAGCATAACTAAGAACAGAGGGAGGCATCGTCAATGTTGGAAGAGCTGAAAGTAAAAATAAGTAGATAAAGTAAAGATATACATGTACACCTGTATGTAGCATGTATCGAACAGGCGATCGCACGGCCTTACCATGGCCATGTATGCAGCAGCAGTGTAACTGGCAATACGCGGTAAATCTATGCAAAAAAGCGAATACAAATTTGCTACTCGAACATGCAGCCATTCAACACACCCAATAAGGGAACTCTCGAATTGGGGCACATGGCAAAACAAGACAAATTTGGCTTTAAAAAAAATATTTGGTCATTCAGAATTTTGAGGTTTTAAAAATTCAGAAAATTGGAACAGTTGGCATGAATGCACTAATTTCAGAGGAGGATCCTCAATACATATTCCCAATGATGTGTACTGTTTAAATTGCAATCAAATTTATGTCATTGGGGACATAAGCTGGATTTCGGAACTCATGCAATCTGAATAAGTATCTATTTTAATGGAGAAAAAAAAGTTAATTTTAAAAGTGAGAAATAATCTCAAAAAAAGCAATCAGTACATGTTGATGTCATTTACATTTTGCTCAATATGATACACCAGAAATCTCTCAAGTTCTTGGGCATCTAACTACAAGACAGTACAATATATTACAAAACGTTTTGAGGGGAAAGTGTGGACAAGGTATTTGTTATAGAATAAAGTTTTGAAAATTGATTTTACCAAAATATTCAAGAGGAACTCCCGAAGAAGCAGACAATCCACCAGTAGATATATTGCAAAACGTTTTGAGGGGGAAATGTGGACAAGGTACAATGTATTCGTTATAGAATAAAGTTTAGAAAACTGATTTTACCAAAATATTCAAGAGGAAATCCTGAAGAACCAGACAATTCACCAGTAGATATATTACAAAACGTTTTGAGGGGAAAATGTGGACAAGGTATTCGTCATAGAATAAAGTTTTGAAAATTGATTTTACCAAAATATTCAAGAGGAACTCCTGAAGAAGCTGACTGTCCATCAGTAGAGACTTCACAGTAGATTACAGTCTCTCCATTAGTAACTATAAACGTCACATTGAAGAGGTTTCCAACCATCTCAATGTCGGTGGAGTTTACCGGAGGACCATCAGCTGCACCAGGCCTGCCCGACACGGTCAAGGAAGACATGCTCTCGGGAGACTGGAATACACACATCACACTAACAGGTTGACCTTGGTTGACCTTCTTATAGGATGAGTGAACAACACCTGTAATGTAGAGAAATAACATGGAAAGTATTATCTACACATCAAAGCTCATTAAAAATAATAATAATAATAGTGGGTTCTTGTATAGCGCTCATGTCAGTCAGATTTGACCCTCCTGGCGCTCCAGATTATTACCCTGGCTTTAGCACGGCTGCCATACGGCGCTCTAGCATTTCAGACCGAAGTTGCAAAATAACCCTCTATTTTAACTAGCCTGATCTCAAATTAGCCAGCTAATTTGAGTCTTCATCAGCTACAAACTCTACACTTTAGATGTTTAAACAGTTTGCTTTGCTCTTTGCATTAAAGAGAAGGTTGAGTTCTGGGAAGAGGTGAAAAATAATTTGTGAGCATTACTCATTCTTATTATGCAAGTGTGGAAGAACATCAGTTAAGACATGTTCCCTGAAAAGCATGGCTCTTCAAATGCCTTTATATTCTAAATATGCATGTAACATCGTAAAAATCGGGGGCCGGCTTTTTACGCCACGTGTTCGTGTAGTCCCATTTACATCTTTCTGTGCAAGTGTTTGTAACTTTACCAAGACTTGGCCAAATTTCTTATCATTTTGATGATTCCAGAACCTTGCAATACACACAAATTCTTATATGCTGGATGATCAACCTTTTCTGGTCGGTTCCACACCGTTTCTTTCACAATGCAATCGCATGACCAGAACTCAACTTCATCTTTAAACTACAGTGTATCATTCAATAATATCACTAACATGAAAGCAATTTTTTTTTAATAACTTAAAAGAGAACATTTGTTTAAATAAAAATTAAAAGAAATATCCCTGACCTTTTCAGTGTTTATAATACCGTAAGAGGATTCTAATTCATTTTACATCCTGAGAATGGGATATTTTACATGTATTTTGTATGTTTTAGTTTTTGATACTAGTATAACAATCATCCTTTACCACTATCTGTATTAGGAGGCTGTTTAAAAAAAAAGATTACAATGTAACGTTTCTTTTACAAGTTTCACAACTCAAAACTTCTTAACGATCTTAAATTAACATTTTTTTAAATTTATTTAATTTGTTGACCGATTGACCAATTGATGGATGGATGGATGGATGGATGAATGAATTAATTGATTGATTTTTACTCTTGCTGTGCCTATACCACAGATGACAAACAGTATAGGTTTCATGTTAAGTAGATTGCACATTGCTCTAAATAATTGAGAATATTTTTTGGTTTTCGTACATAAATTACTGAAAGTAGAAAGTTGCTCAATTCTCATGACGGCAATGACGATGGATTTTGGTTTTAAATTACTAACGTTATTATAAGGGTGTAGACAGTTTGAAGTGGATTTGGTATACTTTATCGAAGGCCACATAAAATATTTACCTTGTCTATTTTGTAGATACATTAACACAGAATTAATGAAAAAAAGAAGAAAGATATCCTCATCTTTGTACATAAATTTCTGAAGATAAGGAAGTTGTTCAATTCTCATTACGGCAATGACGATGGATTTTTGGTTTTAAATTACTAATGTTATGATAAGGGTGTACTCAGTTTGAAGTGGATTTGGTATACTATATTGAAGGCTGTATCAACTATTATCTTGTCTATGATCGAGATACAATTACACATAATTAAAGAGAATTAAAAAAATAAAAAATTCCCTTTTTTGTACATAAATTTCTGAAGGTAAGGAAGTTGTTCAATTCTCATTACGGCAATGACGATGGATTTTTGGTTTTAAATTTCTGATGTTATTATAAGGTGTAGTCAGTTTAAAGTGGATTTGGTAAACTATATCGAAATCAAATATTTACCGTGTCTATTTTTTGAAATACAATAACACGGAAGGTAAAAAAAAGAGTAAGCAAATAAGTTAATGTTTTCAATAAACTTTGTGTGCGTGATATAAGTGAAAAACCTGCTAAAAGATGTTAGGAACACGCTTTAAAAGAAAATGATTTTATTCTCAGTGTCCTGTTGATGATATATCTTTTGAAGGTTCTCTGAATAGTGCTTTTAAAAAGGCTTCAAATTATTTTCATTTTCATGCTTATTGTCTTCACAAATTAATCCTTTTGTGATAATTTGAAAATTGGCACATTTACAACCATTAACCCTATTTAGCCTGGGGGGGGGGGGGGGCCTTTAGAAGCCCCCCCCCTCGACATTTTTCTCGATAATTTTTTAACGCAAGAAAATCTTGCACTGAAATTTTGTGACTTTTTTCTTTCGAGTCTTGCGCATCTTTTAAAAGAAATTTTTTGAAAATCGGACCTACCATTACAAAGTCACGTGTCCTTTTGTATTTGCATGTCAGCCCGAAAATCGCTCATTTTTGTGATTTGTGTACAAAACATGTGGAAATCTCATTTTTCAAATAAAGAGATAAAACATTGGTTATTTGGTCTTGTTTATAGTTTAGGTGTTTATTTTGAGGTCAAAATAGTTGAATTATAGTTGGAAATGAAATAAAACAACAAAAACAATAAAATACATAAGTTTAAAAAATGGTTTTTAATTTTTTGTGTTGTATTATTATTCCAAATGGTCTAACAAATATATGTAGTGACAAAGAATGCTGAAATATGAATAATGTCTGATTTATGGGCAAAAATGTGAATTTCATGACCTTATTTGCATAAATTACCATAAATATGCAAATGAGTGAATTTTTCAAAAAATTGAAATTACCATAGTATTCTATACACTTCACTTGACACGTTTGCAAATTTTCGCGGCGATCGGTCGTTTCACGGCCGAGATCATAGGGGGGGGGGGGGGGGGGAGGGGGCCTTAGAAGCCCCCCCCCCACCCCCGGGCTATGCAGTTTCAAAATAGCCCGGGCTAAATAGGGTTAAGGCCTCTCAATGTAATGTAAAAGGAATTCATTTCATGTCAATCAAAGTTGAAAATGAGGAACTACTTATCGATGCCAAGATATGAATCGCTGATGTGATGCCGAAGATGAAGGACTGTGTCTTACCTGTTTGACATGCCGGTCCTATCCATTCTGATTGACATCTCACTGCACATTCTCCAGTTACATCATCACATGACGAGGCACCACCCCGACAGTGACAGGTCTTACTACAATTCCCAAAGCACCCCTCATCTGAGGAAGAAAAAAAAAGATAGACAAATATCAAAAATAGGAGTACAATACGCCTCTAAGATATAACATAAGCTACATGTACAAGAATAATATGCATACAATATAGAATGATGTATCAACTTTAAAAAAGAATGTGCTATTCCTTTTAGAAATAACATCCCGTCAAAACTTTAAAGAGGCTTATTTTAAATAACATGAAATGTACTCTGAAATTAGGAGGCGGAACTGCATCCCCATTTTATTTAATTTTATTTCATTTTTTCATTTTTTCATTTTCCTTTCCTTCTTGATGTTCTACTGGCGCTGGGCTTTATCATAGTGACACCCAGTACACCTAGATGAGTGCAGGGAACTATGTCATACAACTTGTTATCAAAAACAAATGCATGACTTCAGTAGCTTATAACAGTTATTGGAACTTGTTCTTGATAACAAGTTTTATTAAACACACACCAGATAAATAATGTGGTGTTGATTTCATTTCTATTCTGAATGGTTGGTGTAAAGCAAATTAAAGCCATTTACTACTGACTTTTCTCATTCTCCAAGGCTAAACCCATGGACCACATGGTTCCCAGTGGAATTAGGTTAATCCCAATTCTGACCAGGAGAGAGAGAACTTACATGATTGACAGTCAGCGAGTTGAACTTGATTAGAAGCATAGCCAGGCATACATAGTCCTCCAGTATTGTAACAGTTACCAGTTGTTTTATCACAAGCTCCATTGTCTAAACAGTGACACAGATCTGTACAATTCACCCCATAGTAGCCCTCAGGACATGTTGCAGGAACTGTCAATACAACATGGAAAGTGTTAGTATTAGTCTTCAGGAACTAGCTGCAACCACTATGAACATGATGGACAAAGAAAGAGGACAAAATATACAGTTCCTCATTCTACCCTCAACAATTGCTGTGGTAGACAAAGGAACATCCCTTCACTGCTATTATGTAAAAATTAGTAGAACAGGTGAATATGCATGTGACACCTGTTCTACACATTTTTACGTAATAGCAGTGAAGGAATGTTCATTTGTCTACCACATCAATTGTTGAGGGTAGAATGAGGAATTGTATATTTTGTCCTCTTTCTTTGTCCATCATGTTCCTAGTGAACAGTGACTTCTAAGATGAAAACAGTCTTCAGGAACTACATGTACTGGAAGACAGACATATAGATTCAATACAGTCTGGGAAACACAGGGATGAGACAGAGAAATTCCCCAAAAGGAGGAAGATTAAATAGGGGTCTGGGGGCAATGCTCCTGGCGGGGGTTCGGGTTAGGGTTAGAGTAAGGGTTAGAAGAAGAAAAAAACAGTCTTGAAATCATCCCTGCAAACATCAAAGTAGCAGACTAATTTGGTAAGAAATTTGGAATGCTCAAGCACCCAAGCCTACTCTTTGCTAGACCCAGGTCTTGACATCAAAAGGGCATAAGTATACAACAGCCCCTATATTTTTCAGTTTCAGTTTCAGTTTCAGTTTATTTTCATATTTCACATGTTGTATAATACATCATTACATTTGACATGTTACATTTTTGTAATCATTTTTGGATGCATTTATACAAACAAAAAGAATAATACATAACACTAAGTTAAATAAAGGAAGAAATATGACGGAGCCTAAAGAGAAAGCAATGCTCTTCAATACAGAAGTTGACATTGAAACAGGGGCTCCATACTGTACGAATGCACATCGACACTAAATAATTCAATCTGTACCAATTGTGAAACAAGTCCATGTATACAGTATGTAGTTCATGATAAAATGCTCGACTCAATGATAGGCAAATCTCATATGCCCGAATTCACAAAGGAGGTTTACATTTAACCCATGGTTTAAACCCCCATTTACACAACCCATTGTTTAAAAGTTAGTGCAAAATAAGCGTACCTTGCCTTGTGCAAGTCTAATATTGGACCTCTTGACTGTGTTGGGCTTATTTTGCGCTAATTTTAAACCATGGGTTATGTAAATGAAGATTTAAACCATGGGTTAAATGTAAACCTCCTTGGTGAATTCGGGCCATAACGTTTCTTCAGCTCCGCTCGCCATTCATATACACATAATATTTGTGTTCATTGTACTGGATGGATTTGAGATAGTTACCCTGACAATTTGATCCAGACCATCCATCTTCACATTGACCGTCAGAGCATTGACCAGTAAACCTATCACATGATGCAACACAGTGACAGCTCTCACTACAACCAGCTCCAAACATACCAGCAGGACATGCTGCAAGAAAATATCATAATATACACCAGAGCCCCGTTTCACAAAACTTGTCATCAGTGACAAATGACAGTTTTTGTTATAAGCTACTGAAATCCTTGCTTCTGATTGGTTATCAGCAGATTTGTCACTGATTTTTGTCATTTGTCATTGAAAAAAGGCTTTGTGAAAGGGGTCCCAGAGGATCATGAGGGTGAAATCATTCTCCTCCTCCTTCTTATTCCTCTCCATCTTCTCCTGAACACCATCATTATTATCATTATAAAAGGGGATTTGTTTTGTTTGTTATGCAGTTATTAAAGGGGAATTAACCTCGAATACATGTTAAAGATAAAGTTGAGTTCTGTTCATGTGATTGCATTGTGCATGAAAAGGTGTGGAATGGATTAGAAAAAGCTGATCATGTAGCATGTAAGTATTGGTGTGTAGCCTACTGCAAGGTTCTGGAGTCATCAAAATCGTAATAAATTTGGCCTAGTCTTGGTAAAGTAGCAAGCACTGTACACAGAAAGATGTATATGGGACTACACAAATCATGTCGGGCTACCTACCTTGATTTCCTTATCTTTCTATGCTCATTACTCGGTCATTTTACATCTTCTTCCAAAATTGTTTGGCAAATGACATTTTTTGTAATCTTGTACATAATACATTCAGTGTAAGTTTCGTTTGATTCTGTGAGAATGTTTTTTTTTTACCAGAACTCAATTTTATCTTTAATTTCAGTTTGTAGGCTACTTTACCGGTATTTAAAATATTATCTGAAAAATATAAAACATCGTACATTTGACGAAAGAGAGGACGTAACTTTCCTCCAATGTACATTTACACATTCAATGACGAGATAAATTATCCATAAACCAAGTAATGTCTATTTCATTCTGCCATGTATCTGAGCAATAACAACAGCAAATAAGAAAATGTCTGTGCACATGCTATTGTTCTCTTACTGGCCCCCTATGATCAAAATAGCAATTATAAAATGAAACATCAAATAACCCTCCTACATGGATTTAGAAACTAGAACATAGTCATGTAGTTGTCACCTTTTCCAAGAGATTACAGATACATACATGTACAATGCATATTAAATATTTTAAGATCAATATTTGTCATTTGCTTTATTAAAGATGACTTTAGAACAGTTCATTGATATGTAGATTGATAAAAAATATTAGCTGAAAGTTGCTTGTACTCACCTGAGTTACAGTTGTTTCCAGTAAATCCTGAGAGACAATTACATCCATACGGATCAGGAAGACATGCATGACTACCAGCACACACAGCTAATGCATTGCCTTCTCCACAGGATTGACTACAGTCCCAACCAAACTTAGACTCACCACAACCTCAAATAAAAGATACAAATTGTGAAAACAATCAGATTGCCTAACAATAAACAAATTAATCTGTATTGTTCAAGTAACTTTATGAAAAAAAATTACAAATAAACTAACACATTGCCAGATTTATGCAAAAAAATTATTTCTTAAAAACAACCTTGAAAATATAAACTAAATACTTGTTTCTAATTTCTATTTCATTAAATAAAATCTAGTTTTAGTTTGTCCAGACATAGTACATCATGAATATTCTCAGTTGGATGTATCACCTTCATGTAGGGCAGAGAGGGTGGGGCATCAACATAAATCATAGCACAAGTCCGAACCATGTAAACAAGAAAGTACATCCATGTGCATACATGCCAACATTTGAAAATCAGAAATCTGTACAAATTATGCTATTTTCAAAAAAAAGAGGAACAATCCTAACTCTCCTATTCAATACTACAGACAAATTTGTACAGGAAGAGGAACACCTGCATTAAAATGATAATTATCTTCTCCCAAAAAGAGGAATGTTCCTCTTTAATCTGAACAGTTGGCATGTATGCATGTGTACCACTCACTATACATGGTAGAGAGAGAGAGAGAGACATGTGCAAATCATACAATCCCTTGTTCAAGGACATCAACAAAGGATTAAAACTGGATATTAGAAAGGGTACCAATAATAACTACATTTAACAATATATGTTGCAAAGGAATGTCAAATCAGCTGCAATGTGTGCAACTCTGTATACAAGAAGTATGTAATCATACAGGAAACATAGTATATTACAAATGGTGCCCTACATGTATCTAAGGGCATAAAACTTTTCCTTTTTTTGTAATCAGTGGTATTGCATTTTATGGTCATTCAGGAAGGAAATAAACTTGCAATAATCTAGAAGCACTCAGCTTATTACATTTTCATTTAAAGGTTATCAACATTATATATTGCATTTGCATTTTATGGTCATTCAGGAAGGAAATAAACATGCAATAATCTAGAAGCACTCAGCTTATTACATTTTCATTTAAAGAGAATCAACACTAGTGTGGCTATGAGGGATTATAAACCACACAGCGAGGTCACTGACAGGTGGCTATCTCACCAACTCAGCTCTCAAATAACATAAGAAATAGAGGATCATGGGGAACTAACAGGCACCGATTGGGGAAGTTTTCTATATAGAGGGAGCAAGTAGCTACAAGTAGGACAGTGGGGCTTTAACATGACCATGTACATGTACATGCATCTGGATGTAAAAACAAGTTACTATGATTTTTTGTTTCCATCAAACAATTTCTTGTTGTCATTACCTGTTAGACAGTTAGGTCCATCGAAGCCTGGGGCACATATACATTCCCCAGTTACATCACTACACACACCTCCATTGTAGCAGTTAGGACATACAACATTACATGAAGGTGCACTGTAATAACCAGCTGGACAAGCTGAAAAATAAAATGAAAATACAATGTTAAATCACTAGTATCAATTCTGTTGAAATTCTGGTTTCAAGCAATTTACATTGCAGTGAACATATATTTATACTGGCATAATGTCAAATTTCATATTTTAGACAAAAAGAAACTGGCCATTTTCTCCATCTATTTATTCTTTTTTTAATATAATACATATACATGAAATGTTTCAACAGAAACAATGTTTGAATCAAGATGAAAAAGGCACAAATTGTAATGCCTCTTTTTTTCAGACCCTAATTTTTTCACAAATATTTTCCACAGCTCTATCAGAGCTTTTCTGAGCTAATGACTCACTGTCCTTCAGTGTATTTGGTTTTCAAAAGTGAGTCGAGTGACACTATAATGCCTAAAAAAAGAAGATGTTCTATTGCCCTTTAGTTGCCAAAACATGGGTTGGTCAGTCAGAAATTGTTTTCCTTTTTTTCTTCATTTTTTTCCTTCCTCTTTGGGCTGATATTTCTCAGTTTTTAATACTTGAATACATATTTTTAATTCTTGAAACATTTATTTTTTTTAACTGTAAAAAAAGATTTTTTTTTTTTAAAGCCTACCATAGATTTGAAGATTTTGATTTGAAGGGTCGGTTGCAAAGTGCAATACAACATCTTTTCTTGTTAAAGATAAAGATCAGTTCTGGTCATGTGATTGCATTGTGAAAGAAACGTTGTGGAATCGACCAGAAAAGGTTGATCATCTAGCATATAAGTATTGGTGTGTACTGCAAGGTTCTGGGATCATCAAAATGATAAGAAATTTGGCCCAGTCTTTGTAAAGTTACAAGCACTGTACACAGAAAGATGTATATGGGACTACGCACACGTGCGTGACACGTGCGTTTATCTCTCAGTTACCAATAGATAAACTAATTTACCAAATATATCAATTAGTACCGGTAGGCGGTTTTCCAGCAAAATTGTTATCATCATGTATTAGTCAAAACATATTCTTTCACATGATTGGTAATAAGAGCTTCTGTATCATTTTTTTGAAATTGGGGCGTTTCCAATACTGGTCTTTGCCTTTAAGGCTTAAGAACAAAAAGACTGGATACCTCTAATAATAAGTTTGATAAGACTGTATCTGAGTAGCATTCTCTGGCCTGTCTGGAAGGTGCCATAATAATCAGCATCCTCTGGTCGTATGTCTACTATAGTGTATGAAAGACCACCCATCTGAACAGATGTGAAGTCTGAGAAGCGTTGCCATTCCACCCCACTCTCATTCGCACCAACAAGATTCTCCACCGACAGTGTGATGGTGTCTCCTATGTTAGCTCTCACTGTTACACGTCCTCCGGAGGGCTCAAAGTCCCCTGGGGAAACACAATTATACATTGAAAAATAGTAAGTTTTTGAGGGATATTAGAATACATGTCACAAACCTAATTCACACATGAGGACATTAGAGTCCCATATCAACCAACATGATGAGCCAGTCAATACAGTCGAGCTTGCTTTAGTGACCACCTGTCTACAAAGACCACTTTTAGTGTTACCCCTTGAAAATGGTTTCTCATTGACAAATGTACTAACGGAACTTGTCTACGGCGACCACCTGTCTACAAAGACCACTTTTTGTGTTTCTCTTGGGCGGTCGCTAGATACAAGTTTGACTGTACCATCATTGATCATCATTGTAAATTCATCGCTATGAATACTCATAAATTTGACCTAGGAGTACATTCCACTGTACAGGATGCATGTATGTTGGTTATATTCCATCTAATGAAATACTTGCATGTTTTCATGGATGATTGAACATCAAAGATTTAAAGGGCCATGTCGAAGTCTCTTTGTACCATGTTTGGGCCGATGCCATGGAATTTACGCTAAAATCCTTATTAAAACTTGAACTTCATTTATTCATCTGTCTTTCCAAATAACAATAACAACAATTACAGTAACAACATTACTACTACTACTACTTCTATACTACTACTACTACTACTATTATTACTACTACTACCACCACCATTACCACCACCACCACCCCCACCACCACCACCCCACCACCACTACCACCACCACCACCACCACCACCACCACCACTACCACTACCACCACCACCACCACCAGCACCACTACTCCTCCTACTACTACCTCCACCACCAACAACACTACCACCACCACTACTACTACTACTACCTCCACCACCATTCCCACTACCACCATTGCCACCACCACCACCACCACCACCACCACCACCACAACCACCACCACCACAACCACCACCACCACCACCACCACCACCACCACCACCACCACTACTACTACTACTACTACTACTACCTCCACCACCATTACCACCACCACCACCACCACCACCACTACTACTACTACTACCACCAGGAATTTATGGACAGTTGGACAGTGTCTTTATTAATCATTATTATTATTTTCTGCTGTCGGGGGGGGGGGGGGGGGACTATTTATGAAAAGTACAATTAAAAGTTCCCCCCTCCCCACCACTACGCCAGTGGTGGCAGGTACATAATGTACTCAAACCTTGTATCTTATAATCCACCATCCAGTGGCTTATTATCCACAAGACTACAAAGGTCTATATAGAGAAAAATCTGACTTACTATTGGAAGCATGAATGATAATGGTTGAATCTTGACCATCTCCAGTAGTGTCCGTACCACGGAATGCTCCCACTGCATTGTTATTGTTTGTGCTTAGAAAGTTAAGTGTTGCTTGGTCATATCCATAATTCAATGTAGACAGGTTCTCCAATAAGGGATTGCTGCCTAGCTTGACAGCTCTTATAACAGTGGAAGTTCCAGAGTTTGTAAGGAAGGCAAACCTCGCTTCCTGGCCAGCTCCATAGGGTGTAGAAGTAACACCTATAATAGAAATGCTTTGAACTGCAGAAGAAAAAAAAAAGTAGAATATAAAATATATAAATATAAATCATTTCAAAACATTATCACTTCATTTATATCAAAACTGCAATAGATTTTTACCTTTTCAGTTTTCCTAAAAAAGCATTGTGAGCTGATTCCTAGTGGTCGATGTACTTAATCGGTGAGCAACTACTAGAAAAATAATAAGCGAATCCATCAATATGAGAGTGGTTAAACCTATTCCCACCAGACCCCCGGACAACAATCAGCCTCAAGACAGGACCAGGATTGATCTGACATCCATGACAAAGATGTATGAATTGACGGCACGCTAGTGTAGACAAGTGAATAACTGAGCATTGGATTTTTAAAAATAAAATTGCCTGAACAAAAGGCTCTTATCTGATTACTAGTGATACATACATCTATTGTTGAATGCAAAATCAGAAAACAAAAGTACAAAACTAAACATCAAGACCCACTAGTAACTACTTTTAGTTCTATACTACCCCCTACAAGTACAAGGCTACATGTAATAACTCCAGCAGAGCAGTGCAGGGCCAGGGAGCTCCGCCGCCACCATCGGCGTCGGAGCTCCCTGGAGTTACCCTACATGAGATCTAACCTTTGGGACCGTGCCGTAGCAATCGCCACTGGTTGTTGAAATTTCTGTTGCGCCATTACATATAACTCTCTGAATTTCAGTGAAAAAACGACAAAATCAACTTAGATTAAACTATGTGTGAACACTCTTTTAATACAAATTTGTTTATGAAGTTTACCTGGTACAAAGAACATCCAACTGCTCGAAATCAGTAAAAATATCACCCGGAAACGGAATACCACTTCCATGATTTTAGATACATTGTCCGTAATTGAAAATGAAGTAACTCGAGATTCAGCTATAGCAGGGCCATGGGAAGGGGGGTGGGGGGGGGGGGGGGGGGGGGGGGGGGTCACTCGCATACACAAATGCTTCCCATATCAACCAACCTTTGAAATATCGAAATGGAACCCTAATGGCGTATCGCACCTTTTCTGAAATGACCCTTTTTTAAAGAAAATGTCGGCGATACTGAACCTGTGAATCTGAAAAGGTCCCCTTTTTCGGTTTGTGCGATCAAACTTCGACGCCGTCGTATAAACACCATTTCGACGCTTTTTCTGGACGCGGGTGCGTAGCCAGTCATGTAGGGAGTGACCCTACAAATTCGGATGATGGTGATATTGACAAAGCAAAATATGATGATGATGATGATGATGTTGATGATGCTGACGATGATGATAATGATTAGAATGAAAGAAGAGATGACATTATGATAAAGACTGAAGAGTTGACACAAAAATATTACCTTGAATATTCTGATAATAACATCGTTTTAACTTTAGCCTTAAGGGAGAGGAAGCAACAATCATGATTTATAGATTCTGGGAGAGAGTTCCATAGGTCTGGACCATGGTGATTTATGGATCTATGGGCAATTAAGGAATTTCGGGTTTACTAGATCAAAATTTGAGGAATTACTGGTATAGGGTTATAGAGTGAATGGATTCAGTGTAAAAGTTTTGAAATGAAAGACGGGGTTTGGCCGGGGTGTGCCGCCGCGCTCAAGCCTCAAAACCCGGGCCAATTTTGAGGGTCATTTTGGCAAACTTTTCTTGAAATATAGGCAAATTTTTCATAATTTTCGGGTGATCGCCATGCACACACCCTATAATTTTAGAAATTTTGGAAAAACGGACGCATGTTTTAATAATTATATTTTTTTGTAAAAAATGGGGCCCATGTTTAGGGATTTTGTGTGAAAAAGCGACCTGTCGGTTAGAGCGGCACATTCCTGTATGTCTTAATATGTGAGCCCCCCCCCCCTCGATATATACATCCGTAAATTTCTAGATATGATAGAGAGCAAAGAAATTTAAGAACCAACGTGATTTAAAGCATGTTACGTGAAAAGAAAATGTATATGAGGCGTATGTTCAGTAAAGGACACATTTTTGCGTGGGCCAGCTGGTGCCTTTATAAGTTACCCTAAAACAAACTTTCCAGCTTTTGAATATTGCAGACGAGCGAACCGAGAGAGCAGATATTAAAAACGTATCATGTTAAAGCGCGAATTCATTAAAAATACACTCTAGATAAGATAATTTAAAAAATACATATTAGGCCGAAATCGCTGCCCAAATTTAGGGATGCTTGTGTCCGGGGCTTGTGTATCTCATCTTTGACGGAATATAGGGTGACGATTGCCTAAATACGTAAAATAAGGACGTACACTTACTGAGGATCGGATGAAAGATATTGAGACGAACAAGAAACAACCAACAGCTATATTGGAAGGGATAGAAATATCTAAAATGATATGAAGGAGAATAAATCGGAAAAAAGAAATTTAAAAGAAAATGAAATGAGTGTATTAACCGGGGAAAAAAGAGATTAACCAAAATATCGTAGGCCTATCACATGGTTACGATTGTTGTAGTTATTCGTCTCCATAAACGTGAGTATAGGCTTTCACGTAGCTATTTATTTGCCACAGGATGGTCAAGAGCAATACCTACTACTTCCTCATAATTGTTGTATCATGACAAAAACATTTAATCCCCGGTTTGTCAACCTCGCGAGTGGGGGTGGGGGTAATGAGACCACTAATAACATGATGAACTGTCGATCTCGAGAACCCTTTAACAAAAAAGATCAGATTGGAGACATGAGGAAGTTGAGAGACCGACATTAAGCTTTTTATGGGCTGTATAGCCATGATTACTTTGCAAACTTTCATCTTTACATGAAAATAATGGAATTGTTTAAAAAGATGAAGTTAAGGTATGTTTAATTGATTTTGTGGGATCATCAAATCACGGTTTTATAAGCGATACGCACATGTGGGTAGATTTTAAAGGACCATGCAGATACGTAACAAAATGTCTATATAATATACTATAGTAGTTCGTACCAGGAAGTGAAAATGCAGTTTACTATGGGTTGCTCAACAATACGACGGGATCATTATAGGCTACAACAGTCAACAATGACCTAATTTCCTTGTGACGTGCATTTATTGTATACTTGTGCCTAAATTTTGTCCATTTGTTTTTTCTCCTTGTCTATTTTTTTCTGGCGATGTCTACTCTGCATTCAAGTTCCAGCAAACGGAACTCACCATGCCAACACAGTGTCTTGTACATTTCGTCCTTGAATGTACATCCACCATGGCAACCATGGTAATCATGGTATCAAACAATGAAATACATTGTTTGATGACCCTATGTTTATCATTGTTTGATGACCCTATGTTTATCATTGTTTGATACCATGGTCGATAGTAATTTGGACAAAAAAAAACATGGTTACCATGGTACTTTTTTTATAAGGGCATATGTTTATTGAATGATTATTACAATTTCATCATAAATCTCTATGATAACCGAAATGTTCGGGACCTATAACAATTAAAGGCCGTGTGTCCCTTTTGCCGTATCAGGACAATTACCCCCTGGGCAATCACACCCGGAAAATTACTTCCCGGAAAAATACCCCCCCCCCCCCCCCCCCAAGCAATGTTACCCCCAGGAAAAATTAACCACGAGGACAATCTGATTTCCAGACCCTTATACCGTATGGTCGTACGTACAAAGAGTCAAATGAGCTTAATTTTGGCCATATACAAGAAGTGGGTGATTGCCATGTACAAAATTAGTGTACCCTTTACCGCTCATTTTATGTATGTTATTACATGTACCAAAGAAAAAAAAAATCAGTCAGTCAGTCAGTCACTCAATAGTGTCTGACAGTGATATGTAGAAAGTAAACGGGTTTCCTTGCACAATTTGAATATTAGACACTGTTAACGTTTGAATTTCACAAATAGGACATAGTACATGACATATTCATAATTCCTGCAAAGTTCTACAGAATTTGATGTTGGCTTCAAAAGGGATGCACTAACTTTAAAGCGATGATTTATTTTGACTCCCTGGCTCTCTTCCTATTGCCTTAACATGCAGTGGCGTACGCAGGATTTTTTTCAAGGGGGGGGGGGGGGGTTAAAATCAAAAAAGGGGGGGGGGGTTTCCAAAAAAACATACATAAAACATACACATAAAAAAACTGTTAAAATGTATATACTTTTATATATATTGAGAACTTACTGTAGTCAGCCTATACTAGGTTCTCAATATCAAAACCCTCTAGTACATTAATTTAATGATTTATGGCCAACAAAAAATGAGCAGAGAATTCTCGTTAAATAAAGTAGATCTAGGTTAATTGCATGGCAGTTGGCAAATATTTGAATTAGTTTCTTTTACATTCAGCATCATTCAAGTTTCATTTTGCCATACATGTATATAGGTTGTCTCGTCAACTTATGATTAAATTCATCATTCGGATCCAAGCAGATTATTGTGTATAAATTAGAGGGTTTTATTATGGAATGGTTTATGGTTTATTGATATAGTTACTTCCTGCACAACTTGGTCATTCCCTACGAAATGTTTAACACTTATTATGTCGAAGTTTCGTTCGTATATCCATGCGTTTCCGAATCTTGATGCAGATGAGCAAAGAAAAGTGCAAACAGACAATTGTGATTAAAGGCCTAGATAGGTAGGCTCAAGGTTGGGGAAAATTAATGGATGAAAAGAAAATATATATTCAAGTATTTTTTGGATTCGCTTTGGGAATCAAGAATTTTTGGGATTCGCGTTGGGAAGTTCGACTCTGATAATAGTCGTCGCGGATTCACATCAATGCCCATTATGCTTGCTCCACCGACCCCCCCCCCCCCCCAGCCCAGACACAACGCAGTCGAATAAAAGCTACCACAGAAATGTTTACCTTATACTGAAGAGTAAATATCTAAATATAATTATCTTCCCACAAAATAATAGCCCATTATTAGACCCATAGGAATTCGGTGATTACTCGCCCAACGAGCCAAATTGATCTAGTCGTGTGTGATATAATTCAAAATGATACTATCCAGATGCTGTGTTCAAAAAGGATAAACTCGGCTGTTCAACTCTTTTACGGAAGAAAATCAATTCTAGTTCGATCTGGACCTATACATCTTCCGACTTACTTTACTACGTATACAAAGAAAGGGAGAAATGTGCGATCGATTCTTCAGTTCTTAGCTACTCTGTCTGTGTATAGCCCTGATGCTTATCATTGCGTAGAGCATTCTATATTGTTCCTTCAACCTATATTTTATACTATCTCAGTATGAACAGAGAAAAGCATCGGGACATCAGTATACTCCATTCTCTCCGCTGGATATCTGCCATCATTTATCTTATTTCTACTCTGAAAGTAAATTTCTAATTGAAATATGTTTGGAGAAATGTTGCTGGATCATGAATCGCGCTCTAAGAAGCCTAGAACGCTGAAATCATTTACTGTCTATATATGGTGCTGGCAAAGACTTTCAGCAGAAGGTAGGTTTGTCATTATTTTTATTTTCCGATGATCACAAAAAAAGCTATTTTACTCAACTGCTTCTTATTATTATATTTGACAAGATCGATATTTGAAGAAGTGAGTATTACAATGATTACCGTACAGTGCTATATAGTTTAAACAACGTGTTAGCTGTTAGCAGTTCCTTCTAAGAACCAAAATATCAAGTAAGAGAGCTGATTCAGTGAGAAACGAAGATATTTTTGTTTGTTAGAAGTATAGTCATTAAACTCTATACCTATCAACAAAATACAAACTTTCTCGAGACGCAAACATCGGTCTGTGAAAATTAAAGTATATGATGAATGTCATAGCTTAATTGAGGATAAATTTTTAATAGGGCAATATCTATATCGCACTATTCATTTTTTTTAAAATCTGGTTTAATTACAAAAATAGTTTCATACATTATAT